TTAAAGAACGACAAGATTGACTACAAGCACCCAAAAAATGAACTTCTCTCTGGAGCTGCAAATATATTTCTAGCAATTGCAGGAATAACTGGACAAGAAGATGACATACTAGATCTAGTTGAGAGTATAGAAAATGCGTGCAGGCTACAAAAGTTAGAGAACGAACATATAGATTATATCACAGATAAAATTCAGTTGATTATTACATCGCTCTCTTATAACAAGAATGTAGTAGTGAGCTGCGGTAACATAGATTTTTGGATAAGATCAAGTGGCAAGGAAGATCTTTTCTTTCAAATCGATATTATCTACGGATTTGACGATAAAAAGCATGGGATTTCTCTATATATAAACAGCGGGCATGCTTCTTTGAGAATTCTTCAGCTATCCTCTATACCTGCACATATTAAAAACAAGTATGAAGAAATTAGAAAAATATGTTGTAAAGAAGAGAACTACATGACATGCGCCATTGGTCAGTATATTGAGAGAAGCTTAGAAGAGTTAAAAAATTCAGATGCAGAAAACGAAAGTTATAATCTATCGAAATACAAGCAGATTTTAGATTTAGGGCATGAGAACATATCTAAGATATTCTTGCAGGGAAGGCTTACTGATATTGACTGCAAGTCCTTTATTATAAAGAACTTTATAATATACTCTGCAGACAAGAACTTAGGCTTAGATGACCCTGCAATACGCATTACTGCTAATATTCTGGGGTCTGTCCCACTGAATGACCCTGCTACCAGAAATAGCATGATCTTAAGCTTTTATTTCCATCCCACCTGGCAGACGTACTATCCAAAACTTGGGTTTGCACAATCTGAGCATGTGCAAAAAGGACAACTCAGTGAGCTAGAGTTATTTGGTGTATACGAATATATACTAGAGCAGAAGTCAGCACGCCTTGCAGTAGACTCTCTCATCACGTATATAAAGCTGGAAACAAATAATTATAATATGTTTTTCTCTCTATCCGAATATGAAGTCTCTAAAATGCTCTTTAATATTATAGTAGAAGAAGGAAAAATAAGTTGTTTTACAGAACTTAGGGGTGTATTTGAAGTGTATGTGAGGCCTACAGAGAAAGAGTATGTTAACTTTATCTACACTACTTGGTTCATTTTTGTATGCGAAATGTCTCCTCTTCCCTTGGAGATTACTAAAATACTTTACAGCTTTATAGACTGTTATAATTTGCATGACAGAAGCAACAGACTAAAAAATTACAAGCACTGCATATACATTGCTTTATGTGTTCTAGAAGAAGAAAAAAGTCTTTTTTGCCTAGAAGGCAGTGACACAAGTATGGACAACTATAAAAAGATGGTACAGTTCTTAAAAAATGCCATAGATAAATAAATTACGAAAAGAATGAACTGTTTGGTATAGAATTCTGGTGGGTTGAATTAGTCCATCCATAATTTGTGATTTCATCACTTTCTACTACAATCATCAGATGATTATTTGTTCATTTAGTCCTGGCTATGTTGCTGCATCCCTTCTAGCTCTATTAAAAGTATCCAAAATAAAAGCATAGTGATCTATTCTTAACCTGATTAAACTATCTAGCACCAGAATAAACAGTATATATATGCAGAAGATAGTAAACTAATTTAAGTATCCTTTAAGCAAAAGAATTTATTGAAGATTCTTTTACTATAAAAATAAAAGGTCTTCACTTAATTCGGGCTGTAATGGGCTACTGTTTTTTTAAAGTGAATTAATGAAAACTCTACGGATTTAAAATAATTTACAAACTATATATAAACATAGATGAAGAGTTTTTTTATAAACATTCTTATTTATTATTTGGAAGCATCCTCTTTAGAAGAGTCAATCGCAGCCTTTTTGTCTTTCGGATTTGGATTTGCAGACTTTGCATCTTCACCTGCTTTATCTTTGGCTGGGTCTGCTTTATCTTTTGTTACATCTGCTGCCATACCTACTGCAGCACTAGCTAGCGCACCCTGTGGTGTTTTGCTAGCAAAATCCGCAGTTTTATTTAAAGCAGCTGTAGGAGAAGGTAGACCGAATGAGTATACTAGTTTTAATGAAAGAAGTAAGCATATAACTGAAAGAACTCGCATGAATTTCTAAGGATTTCGTTATTAAATACAAAATATTATTTACACCAATAGAGCTGTAGTATGCACACCCAATCCAGTGCAATAAATATCTTGATTAAAGAATAAGAAACCTAATACTTTACTTCTAATTACGTAAAGGTAAATACCCAATCATATACATTGTTTTCTCATTGAAATCGAAGCATCTTTTGAGCAGTCACATAAATATATAATTCACTTGTCTTTTTATAGTAGAGAAAGCCCCTTCTATAAAACCCTAATGTCAAATATTTATTGGGCACAGAAATATGCAAATATAATTGGTCCATATGCATGTCGGCATATTCGGATTCTCTGCCCAATAAGTACGCAGGTATTTCCTGAGATACACATAAATTCAAGAAAAAACAGTATCATAGCCGAAATCTATTAGAAAATTCACTGAATATATAGCTGTGCTTTAGCTATGAAGCATTCTAGATTATTCTATAATGATCTTTACAATGCTTAGTTTAATGCAAGTATCTCACTGTAATCTAGTATTTGGGAGTATCCCGTGTATATGCACAGTGCTTTGTGTATGTGAAGTACTAAGCGTTAGATAAAATTTTATTGCTGTTTTCTCATGGATGGAAATAAAGACAGACCAAGAGAAGTATCCAGCACAGACGGAGGAAGAAGGCACAGAAGGGACAATGAAATTGTAAGAGATCCCAGGTTCTTTAACAGAGAAATTAACCCTTTGTATCTGGCAGAGGCATATTCCTTTCTGTATGACAAAGAAGAGGAGCAGCTAGCAGAAAAACAGAAAAGAGGAGAAGACGTAAAAAAACAGCTGGAAAGAGTAGAGGCCAGAAAGAGGCTGTTGCACTTAAAAAGACTGCAAAAAGAAGCCAGAGAGACTGAGATGGAAAGAGTAAAAGAAGGAAAGACTCCATTCTATCTTTCACGCAAGCAAGCAAAGGTCATGCAGACACTCCACACAGCTAAGACAAAAGGGGTAGACCATGTGCTTAGCAAATTGAAGAAAAAACAGAAAGAAAGAGACAATAAATCCAGGAGAGCATACGAATAGAGAATCCAGCTGGATGGTAGGTGTTAAATAAATCAAGACGTATTTAGAGGTTTAAAATCATCTGATGCAAATATGAATTCACATTAAGAGGCTTACAGCAAGAATTATTCTGGTGCAAATCCACACTGTCCAAATAAAAATTGTCTTGTTGAAATATATGCACGAGTACCAGTAGGGTCCTTAATTGCATAATATACGGGTTTAAGTCCTTTCCTGTATAAAAGCACTGAAGTAGGCTGTCACATATTATTTGCAAAAGCACTCCTGCAGAAACAGTGCACCAAAAATAAATCCAGCAAGAAATACGCAAGTATAACATAAACTAGAGGTAGATTTATTAAATGCAAATGAAGCAAAATTATCAAAAGGCCTGAATGTAATTTTAGCAGAAATCCTGCTATATTATGATAGTAGATTGTATGCAGCAACTAGGCGTATACTAATTATATGTGCATACTTCTATTATAAAGGCATTGTAGTTGTCCAGTAGACTCTATTAGAAGCTACAGAGGAGCAGCTTGGTATGGCTTTAATTCCACATAAAGCGCAAACATGTAATTTAGAATGAATAGAAGTGTAACTCCAACAATTATCTTCAAATTATCAGTAATCTCAACGAACCCATTCTCCTCTTGCTCTGTTTTCTCCATCTCCGCTTGCATGTTTCAGTAGCTTTCATAATAAGCATATTGAAACATTTAGAAGAGAATTTAAAAATGCAGTCTGAGAGAGCTCAGAGTTCCATTACACTGCAGAGCAACCCAAACACAAAGAAAATAGAAGAAGAGGGGCAGGTGTATTTTGAGATATATACAAAGGATGGATTTGCTAGGAGCATTTCATCTCCGGTCCCTCTTACAAAATCGCACATACTGCCAGGCCGATTCATTAGGATGCTTGATACAGACGATGCTCCAGATATTTTCTCAAAAACCCGCATACTGTACAGTATAAGCAGCAACAGGAATTCACATGTATTTCTGGGCGTACACACAAGCACACAGCAGCAAATGGTTATTAAAATCATTAGCACAAGAATTCCAGAAAATCAGAGCCAAGCAAAGAATGAAACACAGATTCTTCCACTTCTCAGACACAAGAGCATCATAAAGTACATTGGAGCAAAGACCTTCCTGAGCACAGTCACCATATATTTAGAGTACTTCAAAGGAACAGACTTATTCTTTCTTATAAAGAAAAATAAGATACTTCCAGCTGGGCTTGCATTGAAGATCTTTAGAGAGCTTGCAGATGCCATAAAGTACTTGCATGTAAACAGGATATGTCATCTGGATATTAAGCCAGAAAATATCATGATAAATAGCAGGATGCAAATTAAGCTGATAGACTTTGGTCTAGCACAGAAGTCATTGAAGAATGGCTTAGTTGAGTCGTATGGTGGCTCCATAAATTATGCGTCCCCAGAGGCCCGGAAAGGAGGAGTGTATAATGGATTTCTGGCAGACTCCTGGTCATGCGGGGTGGTTCTGTTTGTCATGGTTAATGGGTTCTTTCCAAGTTCCTGCCGAACACCCTCTCTTCCGCATGTTCCTGTGAAGATAATTCAAATTATTCAGAAATTGCTTGCTATTTCCCCTGAGGCAAGATCACCAATCTGTTCATTGGATTTAGAATAAATAAAGGAAAAGTAGGGGAATTATGCAAATGGATGGCGCGGGTAGCGAAAAATTTAACAGATTCCTTGACACAGTCCAGGAAATAAATAATGGGATAGAGGAGGCAGGCAGAATATACATTGAGTACACTGCAGCACACGACTATCTTGTGAGCAGAGGAGCCGAGTACAAGCAGCTAGTCAAAGAGCAAGCGGAAATCACAGAAGCATTTAACACGCAAGTGCTTGATGTGACAAAGCAGATAGAGCAGCTATTGGAAAAGTCAAAGAGCTCACTCACCAATCAGAAGCAGCACCATATTGAGGGGCTGACAGAAAGAACCAACAGAATAATCAAAGCATTCTCAGCTGAAAAGCTGAAAAGACTCAGCAAAGAGCACGAACGGCTGAGGGAGCAGTATTTAATCGCAAATCCAGAAGCAACCTCAGAAGAACTCGAGAAAATAGCAAGCGGCCCAGCAGGAAAAGAGCTAATAAAGAATACCTTTGGCTCAAGTGACAGAAAAGCCATGCAGATCGAAGATGCTCTGGAGAAGAACAAAAATATCACAAAACTACTTGAAGACATAAAAGAGCTAGAAATTCTATCCCGGCAGCTGCAAAACACTCTTACAATATCAGGCACCTACCTAAAGCCAATCCAAAACGCATCCTATCTCTCTATAAAAAGAACTGAAGGTCTCAACCAAAACATAGAAAGTATGACAGTAAAAAGAAGAAGACGAAAGGGTCTCAAATTGCTTAGCCTGTTGCTACTTTTTACCATTGGGCTAATTGTAGTTGGGTATACCACAAAGATATTCAAGTTATTTAAATAAACAGATACAAATCATGCTGTCTCTGCTTCTTCCCAACCGATATATATTTGTATCACTTTCTACTGCACAAGCACATTCTTCTGTGCGTATTAAAATAAAGTCAAAACAAGAAGAAATATCAAGTGACCCAGAATAGCACACGCACAATACACAAAATTAATACTATTCTGGTTAACACATACCTGTTATATCCGTGTCCAAATAAAGCAGCTCTTTTTTGTCAATACAAACAGTCACAGTCATTGGCAGGGATAAATAAGCGCATGAAAGCTTTCTCGAAGGGCTAGTTTTATGAACAATTTTCAAATATATTTCAATTTAGCAGAAGACAGCCAGATATATGCACTGCATGCAAAAAATAGGAATCCATGCATGCAGCATGCCAGCACAATAAAGACTAATTTAGTAATGTGTATTTTATTTTGTAATGACTCTTGCAACTTATAAATATAAAATCCAAAAACAAGCCTAGTCAGTCACTTGAAGTTGCTTGCACTGTTTTTCAGCTTGAAAATTACTATTTCACAGGAGAACAGTGTAAATAGCAAATGATTTCAGACAACCAATGAAAATGCGGTAGTTCTGCTCTACTAGATACTACACTTTATAGCTCAAAAAGAAATAGTCGCACTAGGATTATTTCTTAATTAATGCATTACACTGAGCCTGTTACATTTTGTGGTGGAATGGGCAGGTCTTGTGTGCTTGGAACTAATGTATAGTATAGTTGAGCAAATCCGCTTCCAGTTAGAAGTGTAAAACCCAAACCCATGATGATAATTGAAGCATAGTCATACCAAGACTTTCCGTGTTTATTAGTGATGTGCTTGTTGGCTATCACAAGAATAGTGGGAATGAGAAAGGAAATGCATGAAGTAACTAATGATGTAAACAGCTGAATAATGTATGTCAGCTGAGCATCCAACAGGACAATAGCTGCAGTGCCTGCAAATATAGCTGACCCAATGATATACCGTAGATATATCTCTCGTGTAAGCTCTGGTAAATCACTACTTTTTTCTGTGTTTAGACCTATTAGAGTGGATAGACCTTTTTTTACACGCAGTGGTATTTTTGAGCTAATCCACCTGCATGCATTTGCGAATGAAGAAGCGCATTTTGCAATAATCCTATTCTGTCCTATCTTGCGGATGTAGAAGAATGGATCAAACTTGCTTTCTCCCTCTGGAGTGTATGCCAGCCGCAAATACGTATCAACAACCAGCTTCCTAGAGGAATATGACTGCCATATAAATGCGCATAGAAGGATCAGACTAATTGCTAGCTTAAACACCACAAGAATCAGCTCAATGTAAATGCCAATATTTGTGTTTGCTTCTGGATCTGTGTAGTTCATGATGTCCTCCATTATGAAGAAGATATTCTTTCCTACTTGATTGAACCGGTTTGTGTATGCCAAAAAACATCCTAAAATTCCAATAAGGCCTGTTACAATATAAACCAAAAATATCCCTCTAATAATAGGTATGTTCATTGATGTTTTGCTGTCTAGCTTGGTTCTTACTAAGTAAACAGGAAGATTGTGCTGCGGATTGAACCCGAATGAAGCAATTGAAACAGAACCAATGAATTCCTGCAAAGAGAATTTCCTTCCCACCATGAACGCGAGTAGTGTAATGGGCTCTAAGTCTTTAGGTGGAGAAATTACCATTATACGCAACATCACAATTATTGATAGAAGAATTAGCAATGAAAAGCAAGCACACACAGATATTCTTTGCATGACTCGGCTGTCCCCAGGCGCTCTTTGCACAAGATATTTCCAGAACATAAAGAAAATCCCTCCACACACGACTATCTTGCACATCAATTCAGCCCCTGATGACCCACCTGCCAGTCGCATGCCAACTTCAATTATGCTGTACAGCCATTTTATAATAAGAGACTGGTACACAACTAAAGGCACTGTAGTCTTTAAAAATAACAGAAATGTAATTATATGCTTGATGGCTTCAGAGCTTGGGTTTACCATCCAGATAAACGTGACCTGCTTTGAGAATACAATGCCTCTTTCTCTTTCATCACTAATGCAGGATTGGTATCTGTGGTAAACACATTGAGTAACACTCAGTATACTCACAGAAGAAAGAATTGTAGCACACAGAAAGGAAAGAAACCCGCCATTAGCAAACGCAGTGTACAAGAAGATAACCCCAGCCCCCACCATAGAGCTAACCACAGTTATAAATAAATTTATACCAGATATGTATTTTTTGTCTCTGACATCATTCAGTTCACTATGCTCTGGCTGCTCTTTAAATACTTGAGCAGCTTCATAGTCATATACTGCAGGATTTTCGGTTTTATGCACTGAGCTACCTTGTGCATAACAATTCATTTCATTGTTAACTGTATATGTACGCCCCATGAATAAAAGTTTTCGAATAAAGCATTTAAATAGATTGTGTTAGATTAAAAGAAACTTGTCTGTCATTAATTTTGACATAAACATTTAGATCTTTTCTTAATTTTTGTAATTAAAGATAACATATCCTTCTATGGACACTTTTTCTTTTCTGCAGTTTCTTCTGTCTCTGTGCATGCCATATTGCATACAGCACATATGCATTAAATATAATGACTTCTTGCAGCGTATGAAAAACACTTTTATCTCCAATTTATTTGCATAAGAATTAAAATGTAGTGTACGTATCTCTAATAAATCTAGTAGTTCGCAGTGCTTTGGAATGGAAAAAAAGAAAGACTATCGCAAATTGTACAGTTTATTTAGATGCTGTCTGCGATCTCTTTTATTTGGAGCAGGGCCCATGGAATAAACAGGCTGGCAAGATTCATCTAAAGGCCTGCTTGTATATAGCTACGCTCTCATAGGATGGAATTCTTTTATGGACAGATTCATGCACTTTTACAAACTCAGGCAGCTTTTCCTCAAACTCCTTGGTGTATTCGCTGTTTATGACAATGTAGTGATAGTCGTGTGGCCCCAGCAGCATAATATTGTCTACCATGCAGGACTTTGCTGTATCATGCTCTTCTATTCGCAGCTTGTACTCTGGGCTCTGGAATCTCTTTTTTCTTTGCAGTGCCTCTATCATGGGAAGAATATTCGGGTTATTATCCAAGGATCGCGTGATGACTCTTTTATGGCCCAGGTGAGTAGTCAGGGGAAGCATGTACGGTGTAAACGTGTTTAGCACAAATATTGGGGCATCTTTCCTTGACAGTCTAAAGTAGCACTCGCTCCTGAGGTAGTCAATGGGTCTGGATATATTCTGGTGATCTAGCCCTATGAGTATTCCTATAATGAAGTTCCCAATGAAGACGTACTTTGAAAAGACAAGTCTCTTAAGGATGCTTACATTCCCAGGGCTTGAAAAGAAAGAACTCTTCTTTTTCTGCGGATATTTCCCGGAGGCCTTCCCGTCTGAAAGTGAACTTCCCAGCTTCTTAAGCTCCTGTGCGATAATTATATTCAGGAAGGGAAGGATCGGCAGCAAGAAGCGCATTTCCTTGTGGGCAATCAGCCCGTGAGCAATCAGATACACCATGGGGCATATCATCTGTATAGCTCGCCAGTTGTACTCTGGGCTCAGCATGCTAATGACAAGCATGCCTGTGTATCCCCCAAGCAAAACAGACAAGAAAAAGAAGACATACATGAAGGGAAGTGTTCCAAACAGGTGAGACACTTTGTACTTCATGTTGATTCTGTAGAACTCAACCATGCTGCAGACAAACTCCTTATAGAACAAAGAGTCAACAAGGATGCACGCTGCAAGTGCACATATTCCAGATAGAATATTTGGCAGACTAATAATCCGGCTGTGCTGCAAGTATACATGTGCGTATCTGAGCACATTCTTTACCTGTTTCTCCTTGCTTCTCCAGGCCTTGTCAAAAGAAAGTATTTCCTGGTATGCAGAGTGCATCCAGGCACAGGATATGGTAAGAATGGAGGTGGGCCTAAGGTATATCATAAACACGGATAGGAATACGCTTATAAGATGGGATATAATCTTTTTGTTTTTGTCTTTGCACTGACCACTGCTAAGCAGCCTGTAGAATATGTATATGCTAATTGAAGACTCAAATGAGTTAATATGAGAGCGAGTGGAATATAGCCACAGCCCAATATTCAGAAGAGTCGTGATTATTATCTCTGTTGGCACACCAGACTGCACGTTATACAGAATCTTGTATGACATGATGGTGCTGTAGTCACCAATTGCAGAGATGCATGCTGTCACTGCCTTCACCAAATATGGTGCGTACGCCATAAACACCAGTCCGTCATTGTGTCCATTTGAGGAGTATGTCCTGATAAGTCTGTCAATGTACATGGAGGAGCTGTGGAATATCTTCAAAGGCACCATGAATAGGCACACGTACACGAATGACCTAACGCCAAAGAACCACTCCCAGGTATACACCTTCTTATTGAGAATAACCGACATGGCTACCTCCACAGACTGAAAATACTCGTCAGGCTCGAAATGGGTCTTCATCAAGGCGGAGTTTATGAGGCGGAACCCGAATAGAAGAGGGAAAACGAAGGGTGCTGTAGCGAGTGTCTGCAGCATTGTAATTAAAACAATTTTAATTTTTAATTTAATTATTTTATTTTCCTTTCCTCTGTTTCTTCTGCTTCTTTGCAGATGTTTTTCTTTTCTTCTTTGGTTCTGGCAAAGAATCTTCTTTTTCAGCCAGGCTGTTCTGCTGCTGGATTATCATCTGGTGGGAAATGGATGCCCTTCTGATCGATCTGTGCGGAGTGCTTGGGGGAAGAACAGTAGTCTCAGGCCTTTCCACAGCAGCAGATGTGTCCATGTTCTCTTCAGTCTCTTCCTGTGCATTTTGGCAAACGGCAATAGGCTCTTCCTTTACTGGGCAACTATTCAAGATGGACTGGTCTGCAGGACGCTCAGTAGCTGCATCTGTCTTTTCTTCTGGCTGTTCAGCTTCTGCAGGCACAGACTGTTCAATGAGGGTGTGCTCATCAATGGCGCAAGGCATCTCTGAGACAGCAGATTTATCATCCACTTCCTGGTCTACCTCTAGCTCATCTACAATGTTCTCTTGCACTGTCTGTTCTATGCCTAGATCTTCTGCTGTATTTGCAGAGGTCTCCTTAGGGTCTTCTGGTGCAGAGCCGTTTACGCTAGTGTCTTGAGCATTCTCAGTAGTGCAGATATCTTCATCCTGAGCAATTTCTGCAGGTGTCTCTATCTGTGTCTCCTCAACTGCAGGCACTTCCTCCTGGGCCTGCACTTCCTGCGGAACTTCTGCAGTTGGTTTCTCTAAATCGTTTGAGGAAAATTCCTTCTTGTCTGTATCCATGCAGCGTGCTCCTGCCTGTATATTTTCCTCCTCTGCAGCCGGTTCCTGTGAGGCCGTGTTTGGCTCATACGGGATGCCCTCAAATATGCTTATTCTGGACATATTGTACGTTGTGTCCTCTGCCTGCATTGGATCCTCTTTTGCCTGCAGATTCTGCAGCTCAACAACAGACTCAACCACATGCTCAGTTGACTCTAAAGCATCTTCCTGGCACATTTCTATCTGTGTTTCTTCACAGGGCATCTCAGTCTGGGTTGTGTCCTCCTTTGCAGCAGTTAGAGTACTCTCTTCCTCAATACACTCAGCCTCCTTCATTTTCTGGAGTCTCTCCTCCTCTTCCCTCTTAATATCATCAGAGTGCATCTCTGGCTCCAGCTCTTTGTCTGTGTCCTCGGACTCTCCATCCAGCTCCATTACCAGATCCCGAAATTGGTTCATTATCTGCTGGGTGTTCTCCTGCACGCCAGGAAGGTCTTGCATATTCAGCCCGCTTAGCGACAGATTCTCCCATATTTCATCCTTTGTGCTTCCATCTATTGTGTATGTCTTGTTTTTCATGTCGTTGCTAAAACTTTCATCAGACCGATAGAACCCATCAGAGTCATGCTCTGCTATTTCCTCCATCTCAACAATTTCCTGCCGTATTATTGGGTATGCTGGCATGCGCTTAACTTCCTTTTCTTTCTTTATTTCCGTCACGGTTTTCGTTATTCTAAAGAGTCTTTCAGCTGCCTCAATAATGCACGGGTAGTGTATCTTTACTTCTGTCGTAATTATTTCTCCGTTCATTTTAATCTTCCCAGAGGCAACGCGCAGAGTGTTTTTCTTGTAATCAATTATACACTCCAGTGCCTCAGAGTGTGTAAGTTTCACGTCTGCTGTGCTTACTGTACCAATCGTGCACAGCTCCCCAATAAAATTCACCTTCTTTGGCTCTTCATTTCCGCAAAGTAACTCTAGCGTGTATTCTTCTGTCCGGTGCTCTGCAACTTCTGCCATGCAAAATAAAAAAAGAATAATATTTACAAAAAAACACCCAGTACGGGACTCGAACCCGCGGCCCTCAGATTAAGAGTCTGATGCTCTACCGACTGAGCTAACCGGGTACATATGTATTGATTCATCACGCTCTATCCGGATATAAACCAGACTCTTTTTCCTTCTGCCTCCAAACCCTACTGATATGTGGCACGCAGAAAGGCCCTAGGTAAAGAATATGTGCTGCAGTAATGCGATAATATTAGGAAATTGTATAGCCTTTTTATAGTATGTATTTTGATGGGAGACCATTTATTTCATATTGCATGCATGCTGTGCATTTTGGAAATCTTATGGGGAATGCCCCTGCTATTTATATTCAGTCTAGTGGCTTGCACTTGCAATTTCTGGTGAAAAAATAAAAATATTATATTTGGGCTTTAGTCATGTGCTTGCTCAAGTGAAACTATGTGCGCATGCAGGACCTGCATGGATATAAGCCACACTGTGTGTACATATATATGTTTGTGCTATTTTAGATGAGATGTCTTTGCGGAGTGTGTATGGTTTATCTGAGAGAATAAGCTAAATTATCCAGCTATTTATGTTTTCATTCGTATTTGTGCAGTACATGTGGGTGTATAGTATATATTAGTTTATTCTGATTTTGTCTCTTTATGGGAAATTATTTATTTTCTTGGGGATTATTTAATTTCTTCTGTGTATGCCTATAGTGGGCTGAAGCAGAAAGAGAATATTAAAATATGCAAGATTATTGCATGACAGGTAGACACCAGTATATGCATAGAATGGACACAGTTACTGATATGTATTTATTTGGCGTCTTGTATATAAGTGAGTAATAGATTGTACAATTATGTATATGCCTTTTTGTGTTTAACGTATTTCAGTAGACAGTTCATGAAAGTTCTTTAAGAGACACAGAAATATATTTTGTATTTTGGCTACTGCCCTATGTATGATCTTTGCAGGACCTCTGGATATATGCATATTAGAACCACGGAGCATATGCACAGAATAATGCAAATTAGGAAAATAAGCAGGAGAAGGTCCATATTGTAAATGAACCTGGCAAACCGCGATATGATATGTGCTGCAAATGCCACCCTCTCTTCAAGCTTTCCTATGAATATATGCAAAAAAGACGGGTCATTTTTGCTTCTTCCAATAAGCCCCCCTTCTTTTACTTTTTCTGCCATGGTAATTAGGCAATTCTCCATGCGCTCTTTGTAGCTGCATATTTCCATTTGGTTTGCAGTACATATTAAGTGGTTGTGTATCTTAGGGATGTACGAGTGCATGTACCACTCAAAGACCGCATTATCTCCATCATCATTAAACCTCTTTAATATCTCTGCCATGTTGCACATCTGCGTGAGCAGAGTATCAATGCAGACAGGAGGCCCATCAGGCCGCAGAAAGGAGAATAACTCTCCAATAAATGGCTTAAAGCCGCGGTACCCACTGTTGTCCCTTGTTTTTATTAGAATGCTCTCTTCAAGGTATTGAATAGGGGATAATAATGTCTGTGTAGCCGTGTTACTCAGAAACTCCTGCAGGCAAAAGATCTCCTTTTCTGTAATTGGAATATTCTTAAGATTTGGTACAACTTCCCCCCGTTCATTGGATATTGCTAAATTCCCTCCATATTTTCTAATTGCTTCTATTGCTATGCTCAGTATAGATCTTGCTTCTTTGTCTTTTGCAAAGAGGTATTTATAGCTGAATATATTGTTGTTTTTTATACTACCTCTGTCAGGCTGGTCCTTTAAGCCAGTGCGCATGTCGTATAGGAGAAACTCAAATACTTCAGGAATCCTAAGCATTTCAGAGAGATGGTACGTATTAAGAAACTCATAGTACTTGTCTATGGCCTCCTGTGATGCAAGCACGTGTTCTACCATTGACAGGTCATCTATGATATTCACGGTGTCATTGAATGCCTTTATCATTTTGTTGCCTGTTAGCTCGTCGGTATCCAGCATGTCCTTTTTTTCATTCTGACTAAGCTCGTGGATGGCTCGAATTATAAAAATATTCGATGCTAGTTCTTTGAGTTGATTATTTTTATTCAAATTATTCAATATATATTGGTGCTTTGTAAATGTTCTTTTTAAAGCGGCATAATAATCTAATTTGTCTTCTATATTGTATTTGCATGTTCTTTTTGGCTTGAGTGTTGTAGAATCTTTTTCTGTTGTATTCATGTGTAGTGTAAAAAGTTTTTAAGAAAAAGTCATTTGATTTTAGAGTATTATAAATTTGTGTGCGCTCTTTATGTATTTTATTCCTTGTATTCTTCTGTCTTCTGCTGTATTACTTGTCGTTTTGATCTTGTTTTTGGCTTTATTGCATCTGGCTAACAAGACACTGGCTTTAGCTTTGTTTTCAGCTAAATTATTCTATGTGCCTTTAACTATGCGTCTATTGCAGGTACTGCAACCTCAATAATGCTCTAATTTTTGGCATATTCAAGTAGAGCTGATCCCTTTGTCTATTACTTTATAGTGTGGATTTTAAATGTTAATATTTTCTGCATGCACTGCGTGTGTTATTTTAAATGCTTTATTCATGTACATATATTGTGTGTTTTTCTTAATTGATATTCTAATTAAAGTAAGTGTGCTTATTTATTGAAGACCTGCATGGTTTATATTTTTAAGGCTGAGAATGAAAGCTTTTCATTTTTAGGCTTCTGCATGCACACTTATAGCAGAGACAAATAGAAAGAGAATAATTCTGTAAGTACAAGGAGAAGTGAAACTGTGCCTTTGTGGACACTGGTATCTGATAGCTCTAGTGTTATTGGTTTTTATTAACTATATTTGGACTATGCGCTGCCTGCATGTCTAATGTTCATTTAATATTCAGAGATAACAGAGCAAACCATAGCTATTTTCTGGGCGTCCTCTAAGTCAGGATGTACAACAGAGTGGCACACAATTGGGACAGGAGTATCTGAGAGTATCTCAGGAAGAGGGCTGCGCACTCTTACTTCCTTTTCCATGTAGTAGTACTTTCCTTTGTATGCGGTGATAATATTAGAAGCAAAGCACCATGCAAGTATCTTTCCGCATGCTATTCCAATATCAGCATCAATAGTATTAATGCTCTGGCTGAGTGCTTTTTTCACTGTTGCATCTACATCTATAGCACTAGTGTTGGACGAGCTATTCTCTCCACATTCAAGGAGCTTATTAAATGCTTTGAGAATGTGCCTTGCAAGCTTTGTTCTATTCTGTGTGTGCGTTGCAGGCCTTGAAAGAGTTTCAATATATGTCTTAGTATTTGGGATATAATTTGGGATGTAGTGCACTTTCTTAGCATTGTATGTCTCAATGGACACAATGATATTCAGCATGCAGTCTAGATTGCTGTGCGACTTGCTGTACGCCTGCAACAAGGCCGCGCCTAGCATAGGGCTAATAGGCAGGGAGAGGCACTTCTTTCCAAATGAGGTTAGTTCTTCTTCTGTTACAATTGAAAGCCTTTTAAGAGTCTCCAGCTCTGTGTCTATGGCGGTGAGTGGAGGTGCAGTGATGCATTGGACCCTTGCGATTCTACTTGGGCGCATTCCAGCCTTCAAAAGCGCAGACACCATTGGAAGCACCCGCTCTCTCTCAATTTCAGGCTCTCTATTACTGCCCATTTTTTCATATTCCACTGTAGTGTACACCCGATAGCACACTCCATTGCCAACTCTTCCGGTTCTGCCTCTTCGCTGATTGGCACTTTCCTTTGAAATAAGCACAGTACTGTACGTATACGTGTTTGTACTGTAGTTGTACTTCTTCTGCACCTCTCGCCCTCCATCAATAACGTACTTTACGTCTGGAAGAGTCAGAGAGGTTTCTGCCACATTTGTTGCTACTATGACAACATTAGAGCTGCCCAGGATTAGCTTCTGCGCCTCTTCTGTCGTATCACTGTGCAAAGAGTATACTTCTTTGTTGTTCATCTGCAGCTCTTCCCGCACTCTTTCTGTCTCTTCCTTTGTCGATACAAATGCCAGGATAGATCCATCTTCTTCATCAAGTGACTCTACTCTTCTTTTTAATTCATCCAGATAGTTGTACGCCCGCAGTGGAAGGTGGTGTATCTCCACGCTATGCATCTGGGTTTCAATCTGCACTTTGTTTATTTTAGCGCCTGATATGCTTGCTACTGCTGCCACATATTCATCTGTTATTGATGCGCTCATTAGCACAAGCCTTATATTTGTCTTAGCCACCAGCTTAGACAGAACAAGAAGTATTGTGTCCTGGTGCAGAGACCTTTCATGGACTTCATCTAAAACTATAACAGAATACTCTGACAGGAACGGGTCATCTGATAGCTCCTGCAGCAGAACCCCTTCTGTTAGAACAAGAATTTTTGTGGAGTCACATGCCTTTGTGTCGTATCGCATTCTGTACCCGCAGACACCTCCTATTCCCTGGTTCTGCTCCTGGGATATTCTATTCGCAACTGCATATGCTGACACTCGCCTTGGCTGCGTAATACATATCTTCTTGTGCTCTGCCAGCCCATTCTCGTATAAGAACTGGGGTACCTGTGTTGATTTCCCTGTTCCTGTTCCTCCTGTAATGATTGTGATGTGGTTGTTCTTCACGGAAGAGACAATTTCGTCTTCCATGTGGGTTATTGGAAGAGTGCTTGCTATCTCTCTGTTCTTTGAGTGCACCTTGTTCGTCTTTATAAGCTTCGCAGCCACGTCTGGCTTACTCTGCTTCACTGTGTGAGAGATCTCGTCATTTTCGCTGTCAGACAAAAGTTTTCTTTTTTCCGCTTTTTTCCATATAACTCCGTCACATAGCTGCTCACTGCTGACAGTTTTCAGAAGGTCAGATATGGACATCTTTGTGTCCTCGCTCTCTGGTGTAACTGGCTCTGCAGTTGAGACAGCTTGGTCTTTAGTGCTGGGCTCTTCTGCTTTCTCAGCTGCTGTCTTTTTATCTGTTTTTGCAACTGTTTTTTTGCGCCGCACCAGCAGGCTGGAAGATGTAAGAGTGCAGGACTTTATTTCCTGCGACTTGCTTTGCAATACTTTCAGTTGCTCAACCAAAGAATCTCGCTCTTTTTGTCTCTGCTTCTTTTCCAAGTATTTCTCAAGCAGCTTCTGTTTTTTCTTTCCAGACATTTTCTTTGCACAAATTTGCACTGTATATGAAATAATTATTTCCAGAAGAAATAATTTTCTAGAAAAGGAAATCTTCCATTTTGGTAAATTCCAAGGGCTATAAATTTCTTCTTTTGTTTTTGGGTATGAAGAAAGTAATGGCATTTCAGAAGGAACACACAATACAGACCAGCAAAAGGCGCGCGCCAGAGACATGGACGGAGACAATCCGGCCATACAACACCAAAGAGGCAAAGCATGATGAGATTAAAAGAGTTTCGTTAGAGACTTTAGGGTTCCTGCAGGGGGCAGCTCCTAAAACAAAAGTTATCGTAAGAAATAAACCTTTACCAGTACAAAGTATGCTCAGCTACATGTCATTATGTCCGTCCTTCATCAAAGTAGTGTATTTAATGGATGTAGAAGATGGGGTTATTCCTATGGAGGTGTACTCCAAAGATACTCATACGATCACTACAAACACAGCTGTCAAAAAAATACGGTATGCTAGCTGCATGGCACAGGCAGTGACTGAAGTGGATAAGTCCCTTAAAATACGGCAGGGCCTGTTCCAGATATCAGATCAGCTAGTGCCCATCTATGATATAACCCAAAAAATGACAGTTAAACAGAGGCTGACAGTTGTGAATAAACTATTAGCAATAAGTATGTCACTCAATCATCCTGTGCTCAACAGGGATAGCATATTTATACATGAGAATAACTGTGATCTGTTATATATACCGGAGAAGAGAAAGACTACCGGTACAATGGAGTACATGGTGGGCTTGCTTGGATTATTAATGGACACATACACAATTATGGAAAGAGTCAAGATCATCCAGAATTTAGATGTAGAAAACAAAGAAGAGTTAGAAGGCCCTCTTAAAATAGCCTCAATAATATATGATGGAATGAGAAGTGAGGAGTGGAGGAGTGCGTATGCCACAGCATCACGATACATCCTTACCTACCTAGGTGCGCTTTAATAAATGTTCTATAACCAACAAATGCGAGTTCACGTATCTATATTCTATATTATATCACTGATTGAATCCACTTCTGATATGTCCGGAATGATTATTATCTTAAAGAGTTTAGTAATGGTGCCTTTGTGAATATGCTTTCCAGAGGCAGCCAGTATTTGACCCTGCATTGGGGTGTCATTTGCAGAATTTCCTGAATATTCAGGCAGCGCCCATGGCCTTTTCTAGTTCTGCAGCACCTATGGTCTTTATATTTTTAGAGTGGGCCTGAATGTCTATTAAATTCTTAAAAATAGTATTTATGTGGGGTATACTGGATTCTTTCAAATAAACAAATAGCAGAATAAGTTGCACCACTAGTTCACACATACGCACGTGAGTTAATATAAAAGCAATGGGAGGTGTAAATATACGGCAAGCACTAGTTTTCCAAAGAGAAATTTGGGTATAGCATTGGCTGCGCTCTTTCAAAGGAAACGAGAAAAGAAACTGAAAAACTAAGCAGCTGAAATGTAGAAGAATATATTTAATTATTATTGAACCATATCAACAGGAATACAATTACTACTTCTAGAAAATACAAATTGTAAATGTTGCTGAATATTTTGCGTAGGAATTGAAATCAAAAAGACAGTAAATATCACGATTGATCCAAGTAAAGTAGCTAGCATGGTTTTAAGTATCAGAGTATTGATAAAAGTGTCAGTCATTATTCTTGTTCTAAAGAATTGAATACATTCTTGTCTAAAGTCAATAGGGATAAAGAAATTCGGTCTAATTAGACGATTTAAAATGTCACGATCTATATATGACAGGCATGCGGAAAGTATATAAATGTATGTTGCCAAGATTGTAAATAGTTTGCTGTAAATAAGGCATGTCTTCATGTCAAGTGACCCAAATATGAGTATTCCTACAATTAGCGTCCAAAGTAACCAGCACAGGCATAAGAAGATTTTTTTAACAGCGGTTCTTCTATTTTGCATTTTAACAGTATTTGAGCCATATGTCTTTTTCTTAAAGGTAAATAATAATCCAGCCACAGCAGCCAGCCCAAATACAGCGTATAAGACTCTGCATATAACAATGTACTTAAACCCATCTGATGTCTGGGTAAGCAGTGGCACCCAATCTACGATGTATCCGAGTAAGAAAACACCAGATATAAATCTATATAACCACATATAGTTTGTATCTAAACCATTAAAAGCAAGAGAAACCATCCTCATGTATGCCACTAAAGATATTAGAATTGCTAACAAGGGCCCAAAATAGCCTTTATATGAGTAATTCGTTAGAAGTATTAACAGTTGGCCTATTATATGAAAATTTTGTGGAAGTGCAACTATCCTATTTGTTGGTATTTCTCTTGCCTCGTATAGATCTATTATATCATCTACTGTCTCTTGTTTCCCTGTTTTTAGATTGGTTAGTATCGGCTCATTTGGGTGGATAATGTATATGATCTTGCCTGGCAGCATTCCCGCCACAATAAGCTTAAGATACTTTATGTCTTCCTGAGATACCTCCACATATATCTCATTGCACTCTGAGATAAGAAGTGCATTATCTAACGATATAATATCAGCGGCAGTCTCGTAATCAACTGAAGCCAGCTGGATTATTAATTTATCTAGATTTTCAGGAGGTGTAGTGTCTTCTATCTCATTGCTTACATAGTTATTTTTGTCATGCACAGCATCAAATATATGGGTTAAATTTCTGTTTTTTTCTATTATTCTTATCTCTAGGTTGTGCAATAAAGATAGTCTTACAATTGGATGCAAATAGTCTAGGAATCGAAGGTTATAAGAGTGCTGTGCGCCTATTCTGTCATCTTTCAGTATTTTATCTAATGAAAATCTATCATTAGCATGTTTTAAGTATACGCTAGAGTATTCATATGGCGTAGTGTTCAGTGCACTGTGAATTGCTTTATATCTATTAATCTTTTCTAGGTTTTGATTGTTATTGTTATTTGGGTTGTCATTTGGCTGAATATATTCGTTAAATTTTTTAAACCCAAACTCCAAGATGTAGCTTAGTTTTTCTTCTTTCATGGTGTCAACTAGCTTGCCAAGGTTGTATAGACTTCTATCCATGAGCTCTTTATCTAAAGTATTCTGAATAATGTCTGTGTTGAGTACAACGTGCATGTACAGTAGCATGAAAAAATCAGTTGTCTTACTAAGAGACACAGGCATATAGACTTCTTGGAATGACTCGTATAAACATCCAGAGTTAATTAACTCCTTAAGTTTATCTGATAATTTTATATCAATTGTCATAAACCCGTAGATTGGGTTTTCTACATCAACATTCTCCATAGCTTGACTAGTAATAAGTTTAATCAAGAACACATCATAGCCCTTTTCATTGATTATATTGGATAATACTTCTTCATTCATATTATCCAATGCCTGTGGACATATTGATTCATTCTTGCAGTACTTCATGGCTGCTGCCACTCTAAATATATTATTTACCTCATTTGCGCATACAATATTGTACAGCCAGGGATCTCTTTTTTCGAGCATTTCGAAATCTATTTGCTCAATGCACTTGTACAAACACTCTTCAGATTCTTTTGATAATAATAAGTTGTACATACCATTTGCTGCCTGCACAGATGCTGCTAGAAGCACAAATGCAAAAAAAACTACTTTTGCAATGATCACTCTCTTTATATGCTTCATTAATTTTGTGATGAAAATATTTTACTTATTTAAATAACGAATAAAAACTACATTCTATTGTGGCTTTCTGTCCTGAGAGCAAAAAGCAATTTTTCTGGCTCTACGATATACATATCATGCCAATAATCATTTTCTCTAAGAAAGAATACTCTGTATATAGGCTACGTGTCTATTTATTCTAAATATTCTAGGTCTACTCTAATGGAATGATTTAAAGTAGTTTAGCACCTTTTCATAGTTCTCCATACTGGTTCTGTTGTATTTAAAGCAGAAAACTCTTTTTCTATTCTCTAGCACATAAACAACTTTTTCTGTGTAGTATGCTCTTAGCTCTTTTTTTTCATTCATAGACAGACTGTCAATGTGTATAAATCCATATGTTTTCTCAATCAACTCTGTATAGTCTGCGTACTCATTGCATGCAGAAATAAACCAGACAAGATATATATAGTTAAGATCCTTAGCGTCCAAGGGCTTCTTGGTTTCTTCAAGTGCATATTGAATACTTTCCAGATATTCTATTTGGCCTTCCTCTGCTATATGATTAAATAAATATGCATATAAGGATAGCCTTTTAAATAAACAATGAGTACTGCCATCCGCTATAGGTGCCCTTAAATAGGTATACATGCATTTGCTGGCGAGATATGCTGATTGGCGCGCCAGTATATCCACATATGTGTTATATAAATCATTGCTATCCATGTATGCCTCTGGTAGGCACTTTGATGGTGCAAACCCAAGCTTTGGATAGTAATTCTGCCAGTTTGGATGGAAATAAAAGCTTTGCATTATTTTACGTCGGGTAGCAGGGTCATTCAGTGGGACAGACCCCAGAATATTAGCAGTAATGCGTATTGCAGGGTCATCTAAGCCTAAGTTCTTGTCTGCAGAGTATATTATAAAGTTCTTTATAATAAAGGACTTGCAGTCAATATCAGTAAGCCTTCCCTGCAAGAATATCTTAGATATGTTCTCATGCCCTAAATCTAAAATCTGCTTGTATTTCGATAGATTATAACTTTCGTTTTCTGCATCTGAATTTTTTAACTCTTCTAAGCTTCTCTCAATATACTGACCAATGGCGCATGTCATGTAGTTCTCTTCTTTACAACATATTTTTCTAATTTCTTCATACTTGTTTTTAATATGTGCAGGTATAGAGGATAGCTGAAGAATTCTCAAAGAAGCATGCCCGCTGTTTATATATAGAGAAATCCCATGCTTTTTATCGTCAAATCCGTAGATAATATCGATTTGAAAGAAAAGATCTTCCTTGCCACTTGATCTTATCCAAAAATCTATGTTACCGCAGCTCACTACTACATTCTTGTTATAAGAGAGCGATGTAATAATCAACTGAATTTTATCTGTGATATAATCTATATGTTCGTTCTCTAACTTTTGTAGCCTGCACGCATTTTCTATACTCTCAACTAGATCTAGTATGTCATCTTCTTGTCCAGTTATTCCTGCAATTGCTAGAAATATATTTGCAGCTCCAGAGAGAAGTTCATTTTTTGGGTGCTTGTAGTCAATCTTGTCGTTCTTTAAGCAAGAAACAACCCTGCTCCATTGCTTGTGCATTTCATGGTCAACAACTTCCACTGGCGCAGGATAGCTTTTAAAGAAGTCCCTTAGTTCATCGCTTATTTTATCTCCCATGTGGCTTGTTTGGTACTCTCTTTTCTCTGGGTTATACGCCAGACAGCAGAATAGCCCAAGAAGGGCAGACTCTACACAGTCACTGTAGCTTAGGGACTCCTCTTCTTCAAAGCCAGTCTTATCCAGTTTATACCGCGGTATTTTAGTGTACACTGGCAGCTGACTGGAGTCACAGAAGGGGAATGTCATATCTTTATCCATGATCTTTGCGAGCTCGTAAAAGGGCTTAATGTATTTCATCTCTGCGCCATTGGAGTCCTTTTGCAGAAAGAACCTGTCAAATATCCGGTCCTTCTTTCCCTTCTTTTTTCCGCTGCTACTTTCTGTGGTCATTTGGTCAACCAGCAGCTCGTGCACGGCATGCACAAATTCCTTGTACGCCTGCACAGTATCGATGAACTCGTATATGTATGTCTGTATGAGGAAGCCTATACTGTTCAGAAATTTGCCGCTCTCAAACTCTTCTATGCTGGCTGGCTCTGCAAACTCGCCTCCTCTCTTTAGCAGTGGATTGACTCTGCACTGCAGAAAGAAGTTGACAATTCCCGTCACTTCACTTTGGTAAATATCCTTCTTGTGCTCTTTAGTAAATGGATCTATGCCTGCCATGTGCATCTCTACGTCCACAAACACCTTCTCGGCACATTTCTTGCTCTTTATCACAAGCCTATTTTTTTCTCCTGTGGGGTCTACTGCTATTTTAACGTCAATCCCCTCTGAGAGAAGCAGCAGGGCGGCAAAAATGTACTTTGTGTCTTTTCTGACGTGCTCTGCTCTTAGGAAGTTTGTGAGTGCATTTGGCCTTCCTGCCTCAATGGAAAAGTTCCCATCAGCAGACGGAAACATCTTTATGAGCATGGAGTGGTATGTGCTAAGATACTTGCCGGTTGGTGACTTTTCAGCTAAGTCTTTGTACACTCCGTCGTCAACAGGCTTTCTTGTGAATTCATAGTCTACCGTGCCCTCTCTGAGGACTTTTTTCTTTGCCATGGAGTAGCTTGTTTCTATTTCTGCGGAGAAAAATCGTTTGTTATAGACGTATCCATTACGGTAGCCAATGTAGCCGCGCAGCGGGGTAAGAGGGCCGTCCGGGTTGATAGTAAGCCCAGAGGCGCCATCTATCTGCAGTTCGTGGATTTTCATTATGTTTTCAATGCTGAGTCGTGCGAAAATACCATGCATCACTAGAAGGTGCATAATTATCCGGTGTTTCATTAAATATAAAACAGAAAAAGATTTTCTTTTTACCTGATTTAGAATACTACTTTGCATCATGCTAGAAGAGCTAGCTACTGATCTATATAAATATGTTATTTTTGCTCTGCACATCTATAGGACAATTTCGCTTATAAGCGTCCAGTAGTCTGATGCCATTATGCATTTTAATAGCTCAGTTATTTGCCCAATGTGTGTATGACAAATCATATTCTTTAGTCTGCCAGAAATTATCGTTGAGACATTTCCCCTAGAAAGAGCATAGTCGCCAATAGCCATTACTCTCCAAAGAAAAATGCCTCTTAAATTAATTGCAAATTATATTAGAGAGATGTATGCATATATTCTTTGCCCAAATTCGATAAATTTTGATAGTTATGTCTGTGCACTGAAAATATTATAAAGTACTTTGTGTTTAGTATGCTACATGTAATAAAAACATCTTTTTGTCTCTGAATGTCATAAAGCCTGAATGAACATAAACCCCATGTTAGCTCATGCATATTTTTTGTCTATACACATTCGTTTCGTTCTTTATTGAATCGTGCTATGATTTTAAGAATATTTAATAAGCTAGTTTCTTGTGGTGCTTCCTTATTCATGGTTCTCTGGTTTGTGTCACTTTTTTGATTTTCGCTGCCTATTGCCTTTTTATTGCTAAAAACTGTCCACTAAAATAATTGCTGTAGTATAAAAATATATACTTTGTTTTTTTAAAATATGTGCATAGAAATAGAAGGGCTTAGAAATAAAAAGAACGCACCATAAACAAATATACTTTCTAAAAGAAGACTACTTTTCTCAAAAGAGGGTGGCTCATTCTTTATATTCCGATGAAAACCAATCCTCTAATGAGATCGTAACAGACTGATTACTTAAGCCAATTATTGAATTTATTTCTATTAGCTGTAGCTCCGTGGTAGAAATAAAGCTTTTGGGTAATGCCCCTATATTGCATACTACAGAGACACTACTAAACTTTAGTATTTATTCAAAAAATTGACCTCTTAAACATCTTGGTTTAGATTTAGCAATTTTATTGAAGTATACAGACTAGTTATAAAAATTGTTCAATTAGAATTCTATTCGTATATTTTAACAAGTGTACATACAATGAATCCTAAAAGCTCCAAATGGCTTGAATGGTTTAGTATAAGTGTAATTGGCCTATAACGAGTAGAAATCTGTGCTAAAACATAGATACACTGCAAGGATATATAGCCAGATTGTCATACAAAGCACTCTAATGACTAAATTAAGCACAAGAAAATATAATATAAAATATAGTAAAAAGGATTTATTCAGCAGCCTTTTTTAGCCAAAACAAAAACTCGTCTCTCTGCTCTTTCGTTTCAAATCCTAAGTCATCGCACTTGTCACTAACTAAAGTAATTCTATAAGGATATTTTCCTCGCTTAACTTCTGTGGGCTTAAATGACATGAAGTACTCGTCTATATCAAACTCGCCTCGCCTTCTTCCATTAATATTTCTGTAGTATTTTATAATACCGTCCTTAGAGAGGGTGAAGTGCCTTTTTGTCCAAAGAAATTGAAGAAAATATCTTTTCTTGTAGATATCTGCTTCGTAGAGAATTTTCCCATTATTTCTATCCAGTGTAAGTGATGAATCGCTGGCAGCCTCGGGCTTAGATTCATACCTTCGGTTTTGATCGCTTGTCTGTGCGGATGGCTGCTGAGATGCAGGGTTGCCTGCGCCTACGGCAGAGGTACCAGCGGTAGAAGTACCATTGGTAGAAGCGCCTACGGCAGAAGTACCATTGGTAGAAGCGCCCACAGCAGAGGCACCAATAGCAGAAGCCCCAACAATTCCTAGTGCTGCTGCTTCTGTCTTGCTAATTGGCACTGCTTTCTCGGTTGTTGTCTTTTCTTCTATCTCCCGAGTGGCTACCCTTCCATTCTCTGTGTTGCTAATTTCATTTCTTGTAGTTACTTCCTTGTTGATGGTAGAGCCAGCGACACTAGCCTGGTTAGAGGGTGCAGAAACAGCTGGGGCTGTCTGATTGGTGGCCGCACCAGCGCCAAGGACTGCTCCACTTGCAGCTAGGGGTGCTGCGCATTCTTTGCTTTCTGGAATTTGGCTAGAAGTTGAAGGCCCTTTGTTTAAAACGGGATCTGTTGGCTTATTTCTTGGAGTTGGCGGCACATTTGCACTGGTAGCGCTGTTTGCATTGTTTAGAGAGACTAGCCCAGCAACCCTTCCTGGCTGAGCGCCCGTGACCTCAGTGCTTTTTGCCAAAGGATTTAAAGGCTGTGAAGATGCAGCTGGCTCTGCCTTATCCTTTGTTTCATCTGTAGAGTGCTTGTTCTTGTGGGAATGCTCTACAAATGATGTATCAAAATCATCCTTTGATTTATGAGATTTTTCTGTATAGCCAGAGTTTGTATCAACTACAATTGGCTTGCTCTGCGTGCTCTCTACGTTGCCGTGTTTCTTTTTTTTGATGTTTTCTGCAATTCCGGATCCCAGGCCGCCTGAAACGGTAAACGAGTCAATAGGTGCATGAATCTTACCAGAGTTAACATCTGAGCTAGAGGTTTTATTTTCAAGCCCGCCCTTTAGAGATGTCTCATGAGAAGGATTAATTTCCTCTGTGCCTTTATTGACTAGACTCATTGGATCATGCGCATCTTTACTGCTGCTTGAGGATACAGATGGCTTGACAATATCATGTCTCTTTTCAGAGATGCTAAGTCCGCCCTCCATACCTGTGCCTGCGCTATGTACCTCGACACCGCTTTCTGATGCTTTTAGCTTCTCCTTCAGTGATTTTGATGGCGCAGGCTTTTCGGATATACTGTTTATCACATCCATTTCGCTTGGCTTATTAGTCGCTGTGCTGTTTCCGGCAGCCTCATTCAACTTCTGGGGCTGACTTTTTTGCGCGTCAGGTGCACTGTCTGCTGTCTGTTTCTCCTTCTCCTCAGTGTTTTTATTGTTTTTCTCCGAGTTCTTTGCTACTTCTGTAATTTTGTCCATAAGACCCATTTCTCCGTAAATATGCCGGATATTATTTATAGCCATGCACTAGCCTATTGGTCAGTTACGAATATGTTTCAATTGGATAAATAGAATGAGCGAACAACGTCTAATCCAAATGCACAGACACTATATGGTAAACAGGATAATTAAGGAGTTAGAACATAAACTATATTTATTCTCTTTTTCTAAGATGGCTCATTGGAATTTTAAAAATGACTGTGCGAGCTGAAAAGGGCTCGTTGTAAGTAACATACTCGTATGAGATAGAACTCTTCCCAGGATACCCATTTGATGAGTATGGCTTTGACTTCAGCCTCTTTCCTGTGTAAACTAATGTTCCGTGCAGCCTTGCTTCCTGAGAGTACACATCATTAAACCCATCCAAATTTCCAATCTCTCTATCTTCCATATGAATAAACATATGCACTGGCTATAGCTAGAATTTTTTATTGGCACAACAAACAAATAGATCGATAGAAGGAGACTGACAGCACTATACAGACAATATAACACATGTAATAGGTATACAGTAATAATCATGCACCTTCTAAGGTCAATTTATAATAAGAGCGGAGTATTATAGCAGCATCACCAATCTACTCAGAAACCATGCTCAAGCAGAAGCTCTGTCTTTTAACAATGCACTTTGCAGATTCTCATTATATTAGTATATGCAGCTTTTGCAGATTGCCTAGAAATTAAAGCTATGATTCCCAGTATAGCTCGCTGTATTAAGATTCTGCAGCTGTATTTAAAGGCATTGGTCTATTTTCAGAGTAATCTATTTGAGTAAGGCATGCTATAGAGTGCATTATTTTAATAGTATGCGTAAATCCACAAAAGTGAAAGTTTCAATAAACTCCTAGCTTCTTTAAATTAAAATGCACATGAGATCCAGAAACAACCCAAGATCCATGCGGAATAAACAAGTAAATGCAACAAGCAAAATCACAACTATTTTTATTTTCATATAGACCAGAAGATGATTTAAATCAAGGCAGCTGATCGTTTAAATAATTACTCTATTGTACTACTGCTATAACTCTAGAATGACTTTCTAGATAGAAATAATTTAGTATTTATATTCTACATTACAGAGAAACAGATATTTCACTCTTCATTTCTGCATAGTAATCATTCTATTTGTTTTTTGATGTAAGCTTGCCACTAACCCGAAAACAAATAGAGTTCAGGTTCTATGAGAGAGCTATACTGCACCTTGGGATAGCTGGCCTCTTGTGGCCTGATGGCATACAAAGACAGCATTCTAGACCTTTGTGTTTGTTTTCTTGCAGTGTTTTAAAATGCAGGCTATCGTGCCTTAGACTACGCCAGAAAAGTGCAGGAATTCTATAAACGATTCAATGAGTTTTCACAGAACACTCAGCATCTGTTATTTTCTGTGCTACAAAAAGAACATAAGAACTCCTATAGATTTATAAAATGCAGAGTATTTAAGCGTGGCCAAAATAGATATAAGCATAAATGACTCTATAATCGTACGAATAACCATTTATATATCAAGTAGCTATCTATCCTCCCAGACATTATGCCTGGAGAGTATAGCATCTATAACTTTGCCTGCTAGTGTCCTTCTAATTGGCTTCTTGCTTCCTGCTATGGAAATAACCTCATCATTTGCTGTTAAGCTTAGGAAGAATGAGATAGGCACAGACCATACAATCACGAAAAAATAGAAGAAAATTTCAAACAGCCCACAGCGATTCTTAAGCATTGAGCTAAGGAAAAACATGTGGTTGATGAATGCAAATACTACAGCACTAATAAACCCAGCGCCTGCAGTCTCAATATTAGGGTAGTCCTCTAATAAATTGTAGAACAGTAGCTGGCACACCAGAGAGAATCCTATAAGAAGGAAAGAGAACTCTCTAAAAAGCAAAATTATGTGCATCCCCCATACAGCGTAAACTAAAAGTTTGATTCTTTCTTTTGCTCTAACCGGGTATTCTTCTATAAAGTGTATGGATTTGTAGAGGAAGGCGATAAATCCAACAGACAGACCAACTATGCTAAAGCCAATTAAGAATGTCTTTAGTAGAAGAATAAGAAACATAAAAAACAAAAAAAATGAAAATAAATAATAGAGTATTTATCCTCCTAAATAACCAATTGTTCCCAGATATATTATTAGAAAGAAAATTGCAATTAAAGTGGATGAAAACAATTTGAGAAATGGCTGGGCAGGCTCTATTCTGAATTGAATTGGAATGGCTTTAGTCAGAATACTTTAAAGGAGTTTTGCAAATTCTGAAAATTTACTGACAACGAATAAATTTGAGCTATAGCTAACTATGGCAGGTTTCTCTGCCAGCCAGAAGACAGTTAGCAAAATGTTTGCAGACATAAACTTAAATAGAAAAGCACTTTCGTAAGCTTCTGGATCTATGCGCTTAAATAGGTATACAAGAAAGCAGGTTCTCATTTAAGCTTGTTTAGAAAGCCTGGGGCATCACACTGAAGCAATGACAAAGATGCATCTTTTATTTCTGTAGTTAGCATTCTAGCAAAAATGGATATACATTTTAGCATGCAGAGCCTTATTTCAGAGATTTTTGGATTTGTTCTTACTTAAAATATTTGGGCTGCAGAAATACACATATGCATGTGCGGTTTGCACTTACAAAAAGATTATGACGTCTCTTAGCATGCTGGCTATAGTTCAAAAAAGGCATGAAACTAATACCCAGAATGCCGTATAAAGAACGCTTGTTCAAGAAAAAGATGTGTGTTTATTATATTCTATCCATAACCTCTTTGCTAAAGTCTTTGCTTCCACCTGGCATTTTTCTAAGTACTTTAATGAGCCTGTCCTTTGGCTCCTCTGGAAACTCTTTCAGATAGAGCTTTACCTCTGATGTGCACACGCTTATATTGTCAGAGGACGTGATCGAAATGAAGTAGTCCATGCGCTTAAGCGTTTCTTTAAGGGCATTCTTAGAGAGGTAGTTTGAGAAGAATTCTCTGTATCTCTTTCTGTCGGTGGCCACAATGGACAGGTGCTCCTTTCTGAAAACAGCTCTTTTTTTTACCAGCTTGTCAAAGTACATGTCTATTGTGTTATTTAAAAGAGTGGTTACAAATAAGGCAAATGAGTAGTCTATCATGCTTTCCTTGTAGTCTGACAGGTAGTCATTGTAAGTCGTGATAATTGTCTGTGTTGCAGGCTCTGATATCCACTTCTCAGTAAAAATGCACTCGCTTGCTGGGGAGACAACAAATAGGATATTCCTAATAAGCGCATCATTTGAAACTACCATACAGTCATAAAACACTTCACTAATAGACTGGATGTTTGGGTCGTTGTAGAAGGGAAGCGTGTGCAGACAGTCCATGAACTTCAATCCACTATTTGACAAGGCAATGCAGTACTCTTCAAACCCATTGTGCGCCTTGTCCTTCAGCACCAGATCCAGCTCCTCCACAACAGCCAGCATTAGCACTTCTTTGAACTTCTTCACGCACTGCAGTATGTGGGTTGAAACCCGCTTAAATATCACAGGGTGCGCATACATGGGATCCAGCTGCTGGCGAATAATGTGAAGAAGATCCATAAATCCAATGCTTATGAACTTATTGTCGCTGTCTAGATCGGGGGCTTTCTTTCTCTCTCTAAACCGCTTGCTTTCCATTTTTGCCAAATTCCCTATCCATTCAGATAGCTTATTCTCAGCAACATGCACGTACTTGTCTACTAGTGCTCCTTCTTTCCCAGAGAACAAAACAGGACCAAGAGAGCTCTTCATTCGTCCAAGATTCTCCATTTCTGCATAATAATGCTTGCACCAGAGAAGAATTCCTATGGATTCATTTGGGTCAAATTTGTTTGTGTTATTCTCCAGGTATTCATAAAGCATTCTGTGATACTGAATTGACGCGAATGAGAATATTTTGTACTTTGAAGGAATTGCTAGCTGCTCGGTCTTTTTTAGAGCCTTTAGATCGTTCAGCACAAAAGAAAGATCATCTGTTCCAATTAGGCTGTCAACATGCAGGTGCTCTGTAAATCTTCTGCTCACAGAGTCTAAAAATACTTCAAATACTCTATTCCGGTCTAAGCTGCAGTCAAGCCGACTACTGCTGCTGGCTCTTTCTACTCCGCTGGGCAAGAGTCCAAGTAAGTTCTTTGCGCTTTTCTCGCATGCAGACGACTCGTTTAAAGAAACCTTTACAATCTTCATGTACGATATGGCGCCGTCTTTTTCAACTATTTCCGGAAGAGAGTCAATTATTGTGAGGATAAGAATTTCAAAGTGCTTTTCTAGCGTGGACACCTTCTCTGATATCTCAGCAGTTGTGCTTTTGAGGCCAATCATTCCTTTTATCTCCGTGTATATTGTTAGGAGGCTCTCTGTGCTAATGCTTTCTGTGCACTTCTTCATTTCCTTCATAAGCTGTGCATACTTTGTGCTGAACACCTTCACTTCACGAAGTAGCCTTCTTGTTTGCTCTATATTCATGTGCACAGTTGACGAAGTTCTTACAAGGCTGTCATTTTTAAAGGTCTCCAATGAAGACAAGTCCTCTCCAATTGACTGGAATGATTCCTTGGCCTGTGACATGTGAGTCTTTATTTTTGAGAGGGCATTTTTTATTGTTTCTGTCTCTTTTATTAGGCTTTGAAGTGGTCCTCTCTGCATTAAAAATCCAAACAAATTTCCATAAATTATCGAAGACATCTATAGATGACTTATGCGCTTTTATAGAAAAGGCCTATTATAAATGTGCTAAGTTGTACTTTCATGTGGGTTTGCGTAATAGATTGCATAGCCATTATAAAATATCTGGAATAAAGAGTTTAAAAGTACAGGGCAAAATACTTGACATATAATATAGCGTGCTTTAATTTACCCAGCTATAATGGAAAAAGAAACACATCTATCACAAAAAACTTGCAATAAGAAGGAATTCCAGAAAAAAGATACTTTCCTGTATATAGATGCCTTTATTCTGTTGTTATTCCAAGATATAGCGATTTCTCTATATAGAATTGCAGTAACTATCGCATTTATATATACCCATGGAAAAACACACTCTTTCTGACTATGCATAGAACCTTCTTTCTGTCTGCTCTAAGAATCTGCTCCATCGCAGCCCCTTTACCGTGTGTGTTGTCTTTTTTGCTCTCGGTTATTCGATTGTCTATATGAATTCCTGGGCTGTATTTAACAAGAATGTACTCTGTTTCCTGGCAGCACAGATGGACCATAACAATCGAGCTCAAGAAGCCTATCCCGTGCATAGTGCTCTTTATTCTGCTTTTCAGCTCTTCATCTATGTATATTGTGTCCTTAATGCTTAGGATGTACTGCAAAAGCAAGAGAATGGTGAATTTCTTTGTAATATAGACTGTATCAGAGTGGGAGCCAAACCGGCTGTACATGTACTTGATTATATCAAGCTTTTCATTTGTCTTAAAGAATGTTTCAATTCTATTTCTGTATAAAAAGCATGCATGCGCATTTAGCAGAAGGTATAGCTCTAAAACATTCTTGAAGTATCTGAAAACAGGCGAGATAGTGTGCTCATACTGGCAGGAGAGTATATCATAGTTAATAAAGTCCAGTAGCATGGGAATGACTGTCTTAGCATTCTTATGGGTTAAAAAAGGATATTCATTGAAGGCAAAGCACCACCTCTTGAGAAAGTCTGTCTCTTTGCACTCGCACTGCGAATGATTCTTGCATAAACACAAATCGCTTGATGCCTCCTCGACAGGCTGCTTCTTTATGCTTATCTTATTCATGCATATAACATTTCTTTCTGCTGTGCTATCGTTGCAGATGTGTTCTTTATCAAAAATAAGAACCGGCTCAATTGAAAGTCTCTTCGATGAGTCCTGGTATAGAAAAGACTCCTTAAGCATCATGTATGCACACGCCAGGTCTGAGCATAGTTTATCTGGTATGGGCTCTGTTTCTCTCAGAATGCTAAAATACTTCTCCTTGATTGGGGCGTCTGTTCTTCCTGTCCACTTAAAGACAGACCTAAAGACCTCTGCTGTTTTCTGTGTTCTGTCCTCTGGGTTTGCAAATATTCGGATCTTCTTTTCTGTTCTCAGGTTAGAGGTTGGCTTTGTTGGCGAATATAGGTCATACGGGGAGAAAGAGTCTCCTTGTATAGTAGATACAAATGACTCATACTCCATTGCCTCGTACTCTATTTCCTGTTTTGACTTTTTGGTCAGCAGACCTCCCCACTTCAGAATAAGCTTAACTGAGCTTTCTTCTTGCTGTAGCTTGACGCGGACGCTTGTGTTCATCTGGGCAATTTCCTTAAGAGATGATAGAGCTAGCAGATTTTCGGGTGTTCGAAAGGCTTCTCTTTCTCTATTCTCTCTATCCAGAAGTTCTTCTATTTCCTTCACCTTAGAAGTGTCTCTTCCTGCCATATTACACGCTCTGCCTATGTACTCTATTAGAAGCTCAGACACAAACACAAGCCTCTTCTTGAGCTTTGGTGTTCTTCTGGCATGCCTGTAGACAGAGTGGATTCCTTTTACCTCTATCTTCCGCATGTCTACCTCATTTGTATCTGTCTTTTGCTCTTCTTTTTCTTTATATTTGCCGTCCTTCTGTGCATCTTTTATGATTAGTTCTGCCAGCTCTTTGTATAGCGAAACATCCCTTCGTCTTGTGCTGTCTCCCTGCTTGGCTCTGCTCCTAAGCACCTCTTTCTTTATTTTCTTATCCAGATACTTTAGGTTTTTCTGCGTGTAGTACTTCAGGTTTGACTTGACAAATGACCACCCATTTACATCTACAACTATAAAGCCTCCATCTGCGTCCCTTAGAATGTCCATTCCGCAGATGAACTGCCCAAATGATTTGCTTATACTTTGCACTGCATTGATTTCTTCTTTGCTTAGCTGTATCTCTTTTCTTTCTTCTTTTCCAGACTCTGTTCTAATAACTATCCCATCTTTCACAGGAGACTTTCTTGTCTCTGCGTATACAGTTTTCCCAAGCACATACGTCTTTATGTCTAGATAGCCCTTTACTTCAATAAACTTTTCGTAGATGAAGCTGCCGTCTTCTCGGTAGGATATCTTGCCTGAATTCTTATCATAATTACTGCTTTTTGATCCTATTTTCCGAAACAGCCTGCAGATGCCTTGCCGTCTCTCTTTGCAATTTTGACTGTAGTATATGTGTATATTGTGGTCCTCGCTATACGCAGGCTTTTCCACGTATGGCTTGTCAATTGCCTCGTCCCCTATTTGTAGGGTGTCTCCACTGCAAACTCGCGTCTTAGAGGGTTTAAACAGGCTTTCTCTGCTTATGCTAAACCTTTGTAACTCTACTTTTACAATTCTATCGATCTCGGCCTCCGCACTTTTTTTAGACGTAAAGGATCTCTCTGAGCATGCTGCATCACTGTACACGCTCTCCTTGTCCTCCTCCGCTGCTCTTCTGCTTATTTCGGGCGATGCATCAAACACACCATCCTTAACCACCACATCCATTATACTAGACGTGTTAACAATAGAATCATACTCACTTGGTGCATCTCTCTTTCCCCTCTCTTGTGAGCTTACTGTGAGGTCATTTAGGATATTTGATGTTTCTTTCTCTCTGCCTCTTCCATTGTATATTATTCTTTTAGCAGTCGGCACCTCTATTTTGTCCAGCACTGCCATGACGGCTCTTCTATCCAGCAGCAGAAACTGCTTGTCTATCTTATTTATCTCGATGGGCCTATGCATCTGCGCATACTCTCTTACCTTTAGAAAATCAATTCCCTCAGAAAAGAATGTGATCATTATATCCACATGAGGCCAATTTTCCACAGATATTTCCTCTCGGTACGCATCCTCGAAGTAGTACAGCGTGTACCCTTTGCTCTTCAAGTATTTCTCAAGCTGCTTCATTGGCTGTGTGTGCAACTTTCTATTTGGAATAAAAACCCCTAAATGAATCTGCTCTACATATGGTATAAGCATATGAATTTTATTTCAAAATAATGGTAAAAATATTATACAAAATAGACCCAGAACACAGGGATGTGGCAAAGTTCAAGTCGTCCGCAGCATACAAGACCATTCAACACTATCTCTCTGAAATTGACCTGAAAATACAAAATGGAGAGATACTTGGGGATACAGAAAGATATTACGATATATCGGAAACACGCACAGTCAAGGAAATAGAGGAAAAGATAGAAAGAGAAAGAAAAGAAGGTAAGAGTGACCTACAAAAAGAGGACATCTTGACTCCGTGCAATTTATTTTTGATGCAAATAGAAGAGATAATCAGAGAAGTTCCACTAGAGGAGGGCAGCCAGAGATACGGTAACAAAGGGTTCATCAATTTCGCAGAGAGAGTGCTCATAGAAGGGGAAAGGCTTATGAAAGAATCATTTCCCGACCTTTCCAACAAAGACATATCCATACTCCAGGAATATTTGCAAGAGTCCTTTGGAAATAAGTCTAGAATTGATTACGGCACAGGCCATGAGCTAAACTTCTTTTGCTTTGTGATTATTCTGATAATAAAGAAGGTAGTCAAAGAAAAGTCCGTCTTACTAGTTCTTGAGCAGTATTTCAGCATAATTCGGCTATTAATCTTGAAGTATAAGCTTGAGCCAGCAGGAAGCCATGGGATGGGCGGGTTGGATGACTACCAGCTGCTTCCTTTTCTGTTTGGGTCCTCACAGTTCTGCAAAAGAGAGGGATTTCTTTTTGCATCGCTGTTTAGCGAGGAGAAAAAAGGTCTTTCCTACGCAAAAGCACTGAGATTCATCCATATTGACAAAACATTCCCCCCAAGCAAGTACTCCTATAAAGAGAGGATTGAGAAATATCATACAATTGAACTAAAGGAAGAACCCTTCTCACATCACTCCATAACTATATACTCGCTGCGTTCTGTGCCCCTTATAAAAATAAACAAAGGCATGATGAAAATGTACGATGGAGTGGTTCTTTCCCCCTATGCAGTTATTCAGCACTTTATTCCTAGTGAGTATCTTCCTATTTAATAAATATATACATTATTTATTTGCATGGCTAGCGATTGATTCTGTACTTTTTGAGATAGTCTAGGGTACCAAGAGAAAGATTTTCTTTTGTATCTTTTGTCTCTATATCTGCATACTTCCGTACCTTCTCTATAAGCCCCTCCAGCTTTCTGTATTCCTTTGCAGGAAGAGTCAGTTCATCTTGGTCTTTCATAAAAATAAAAAGAAAGAGAGGTATCCAGAAGAAATGCAAGATGCATCTAGTGAGCTATCATGCAAGCGCTAAGAAGTGGAGTTGAGTGCTCTGTCTGTAGGAATTACTAATTAAGAGTTTAGCTATAAATGCAATACTAATAGGCTTATGCGTGCATACATTAGACTATGGAAGAATTCATGGTATTATGCACTAAAACTTCTTTTAGCAATATGTGCCAGATAGAGTAACTAATTAGATACTTTAAGAATTATTTAGAAACAAGACAAATTAATTAGATTATGCATTTAAGAAAATGCTGCATTAAATATGTGCTATATCTCTCTAACAGTGCACTCCAAGAAAACAAGTAAATTACTTAAAGCACAAATGGCTGGAGACAATTTAAGTATAAAAATACATGGTATGCATGTACATTGTATAACTTGCATTTATCTATCACTCTATTGAACTAAGCTGGTAGTGGAAGCTGTTAATAAAATTATGCATGCCTGTATAATTAAAATAATAATATTACATTCCAAAAGATATTTTCACACTGTTTTCATATAGGCACTCAGTATGGAAGTGGAATTAAATTGATAGAATGACATAAAAAGCTATTTAATAACGGCATATAGCAGGAGCAAAATACAAAAGGAAATAGTCTTAATCGCATACAGATATGACTCTATATACAATGCCATGATCTACCCTCAACTTAATAATGTGTTTACAATTAATTCTCTTTAGTGAATAATGCATCAGCCTTTTCCAACCCAAGTAATATATATTTTTACTGGACTTCTGTACTATGTATTTATATAATCTACGTACTGTTCTGTAAACTGTGTTAGTGACTCTATGCGCAGTATATAGAGAGTGTCTTTATCAGGCAAATTGTATTTATAGACATTTCTTCTAGTGATATCTTTATGTATAAAGATTTTAGTGCCTTCTAGTGACACAGTCACAAATATTTTATCCTTTGAGGGATTATGAAGCACCAGTGTCTGTCCCTCTACTGACAGAGAAATCTCTAGTGGTTTTCTTGCGGTTGTGTGTCTCCACTCTCTTAGATTTATGCTCTTCATCAGGTCAACCACTGCAAATAGTGACCGGTTGAGCGCTATTCTGCCAATGCCAAAAAGGCCCTCTGCTATTCTATCCATACTAATTAGCACCTTTGTATATGCTGGATACAACTCTATATCAATAGGGCGGGCTTCAATATGCGCCTGTACAAGTATAGATACTACTGGATTAATCTGCCTTCTTGATGCGCGCTCAATTATTTGGGCAACTATGCTTGTTTTCATACGAATAGGATACTTTAAGCTGCTCGCTATATTAGTAGAGCTAGAACCATTGCCGTTTTGTGGTGCATGGTCTGCAGAATGCGCTGTAAGCAGCTTATAACTGTCTTTTTCTATATCTTTATAGTCATCCACTGTGCTCATGAGTAGAAGAATATCGCCTAAATCAATGTCTAGATCAAAATCTGAGACATCTGTAAATACTTTGTAGATCGCATGGACTGTCGTAGGAGTTAAATAGTATATATAGCAAATGTCACCCAGCTCTGTAGAAGTGACCCATATATCAGAAACACCGCCATGGATGCACACAAAACTATCTTGGGCCCCTTCTCTATTTATTGTGACCATTCCCTTTCTGCATAGTTGGTTAACTACCTCTATTACTAGTTGGGCTGTGTGCACAAAGTACTCTTTTGTTTCTTCATTTTTAACCCCTCTTTGGTATCCGTATGTTTTTTGGACCCAGGCAACAATCTCTGCAATGCTTAGTCCCTGCATAGAAGCATGTTTACTGCGCACACCACTTAGACTGGCACATTTCTGCGTAGACCTGCACCTGTTTCTTTCCTTGGTCATTGCTATTTCATATAGTATTCGAGTGGCAAGAAACTCTCCAGATCTGCTTTCAATTGGAAACTGGAAGGTGATGGCCTTGCTGTATTCTGCTAGCATGTCTATGTCTGTTATAACCACAGCAGATCCTTCTTTGGACAGCCCTCTTCGCCCAGCCCTACCATTCATCTGCGCCACCTCTGACAAAGTATATGCCTGCCCTCCTGTGGACTTGCTTGTTTTATACACAATTACATTGCTAACAGGTAGGTTGACTCCACACGCCAAGGTGCCTGTACAGCATATAATGCTAATACTTCCCAGCTTAAAAAGAAACTCTACAGCACTTCGCATCTCTTTAGACATTCCTGCGTGATGCACACCAATTCCACTTGAGAATAGCTCTACTCTCTCTTGAAGTTCAGATATAAACCTATTTCTATCTTTTGCACAGCGCGGCATAATTGGCTCTAATGAGCTGGTTATTCTGAAAAGCATATCGTTTTTGCACGGTGGCTGACTTTGATTGGCTTTTTCTTCTATTATCTGTTCTCTCAGCCATTCAGATATTTCATCGCATTTTTTTCTGCTATTTATAAACACCAGAGTACCTCCCTTTCCACGCACTTCTTTAACTGTTTCATGCAAAATCTGTAGACTATTCGTGTCTGCATTGGCGCTCTCTGTGTTTTTCATGCCTATTACAGTGTAAGTCAGAGGAACATCCTTAAAAGAATAGTTAAAGTAGTAAGAGTGCTCTTCCTTTGCATTGATAAAGCTTGCTATATCTTTGTAGTTTGGTATGGTTGCACTTATCCCGACTATTCGGATGTTCGGCATGGGCTTACTGCGTATTATAACACTCTCTAATACAGCACCTCTACTTTCCCCTAAGATATGAATTTCGTCAATAATCAGAAGAGATGGAGATATTTTCTGCTTCATTGTAAGTATGTCATACCGCTCAGGGGTTGTTACAAGAATATTTGCATGGCAAGTATTGTACCCGTAAGCACTCCTATCCATGTCTGTTGTATCCTGTGCCACAGATAAGACATCTGCAAACCTACTTCTTAAAGTAGACTCTAGGCCTGCTATAAGTGGCTTTGTAGGGGCAAGAACCACAATAGAGCATCTTTCTCCAAATTCCCTAAGCTCTCGGAGAATAGCCAGAATTGCCAACTCTGTCTTTCCTGTGCCGGTAGGAGATGAAATAAGAGCATTTTCGCGCGTATCATATAATGTCCCCAGCACTAAGGATTGCACAGTGTTGAAATACTCAAAGTTAAAATACTTCTTGTCTTTGTCTAGCACCTCTGTTTTTATTCTTTCTTGTGCTCTAACAGGGTATTGCATCACTGCTTTTTTATACAACGCTGTCTCTTGTACTATGCTGTTTTTTGGAAGATCGGCGTTTCTTAGTCTCCATTTGCTCTCTATTACAGCTTTTTGTGCAATAGTCAGCTGCTCTAGGAAGGATCCCTCTGGAATGCACTTTTCTCTGCTTTCACATCTTTCTTCACACGTTGCAGGCTGCTCAATTACGCAATTATCTGCAAACTCGTTTTTATGCATTAAAGTCCTCAGTATAAATAAAAATATGTATTTATTCATGGCTTAGCATTATCCTGCTTATCCACTTCTATGCATACCCCTCTGTGCCTGTGTGCATCCTTTCATTGAGCAGCTTTCACTTTTCTCTGTGAAAGTAGCACCATAACATGCCAAAGATGGTGTATACTTCGGGTTTCTAGTGTCTTGCATACAGAGCTCACTAAGTCTGCATGTGCTTTATGTATATCTGGCTTGGATACTATGGATTTAACATCTTTTGTGTGATATCCAGCGTAAGCACAAACAAAATCAGCCTAATAAGTATCCAGAATGCAAAAGAGGTGAGTAAGTACGCCCATCCAAATAACTTGCTTAAAGCATAGTATATGACATACGCCAGAATAAAGTACGTGGCGCATTTAATATAAGTGCTGTCTCCAAACTGTGCATCACCAATATTCTTTATATGGCAGAATGCCCGATAAAAAGAATAGGCAGCTCCCACAGCAGCAGCTATGAAAATAAATATGGCAGCGTAAACTGCTTCCATGACTACATCGCTCGGCACTCGTTGTCTTTTAGGACGATTTTTTTTTGCTTCTCTATCTATTCTTTGTGTCTTAACCCTGCTTAGCACAGATATGTCTATTGGCTTTACTGAATTATTTTCCTCATTGGCGGATGTATATTCTGTATCTTCATCCTCTGGCATGCGCGTGCTATGGGCCTCTGCCTGTTGCATAGGGCTCTTCTGGTTATATACTTGAGCAGACATGTATGCATTGCTTATTTCACCCACTACCATCTGTATAATGCTAGAGTAAAATGTTCTTTCACTTTTCTCGTCTGCTGCGCTGTCAACTACAGAACCGCTGTTCTCACTCTCTGCAGATAACTCTACTGTTTCCTCGTCATCTGTTGCTAGGGGGCTTTTCTTCATGGCAATGCGCTCTCCTTTACCCCTTTTCTGACCAGATTCTATATTTTCTGAATGAAACTCCCGGGAAATATTCTTTTTATTTGACCCCCACTTGTTTTTGCTTCTTTTACAAGGGGGCGCACTTTCATTGGCTAATTCTTGTATGCTTACATCACAAATTTCTTTGCACGTGTAAAAAGTATCTGCTTCTTCAATCTCTTTTTCACCGAAAGATACATCATTCTCTGCTGTATGTGGCTGCATATTCTTTTTTTAAATATTTTGTAGAAAAATTTGAAAGATGGCTTGCGCTGCATCTCATGCTCTATATGCACTTCCAATAGCGCGCCCTCAAATCCGCACTCCCACGCACATCTTCGCAATAGACACATATACTATAAAAAGCTAATATTCGCAGATTTTATTTAACTATTTCTTCTGCTGTCTCTTCTCCACCTTCTTCTGGAGAGCTGCAATAGTTCCTCTGATCTTCTTCTTCTTGTTCTTCTCCTCCTTTCTCAGCTTTCTTGGAAGTTTTGTTACCTCTTTTCCTTCCTTCTCCTTGAGAATTCTGTTAAGGACAAACTTGTGCTCTATTTTCTCCAGGCTGGACTTCTTGTTGTATATCTTGGCTGCTGCAGTTGAGACATGTGTACCAAATCGTGTGAAGCAATCCTTTACAATGATGTTATCTGTAGATGCGTTCAATTGCTCGCTCAGCATCTTGGAGATATCCTTCTTGTTTGGGGTTCCGCTAGATGGGTGGTAGACGGATAAAGATAACTCCATTCTATCCAGAAGTGGGTTCTGCTTCTTCTCAAGTATTTTTATTGTGTTTGCCATATGCTGGGGTCAAATATAAAAAAATATTTAAATTCCATGGTAATACTTGGCTGCACTCCAAATACTAAAAATGCGGATATAGCTGACACTGCTTGCCCTGCTTTGTATCTGGCATGTCTATGTGCTGTCTAGTTTATCACACCACTGATTATATCTCTTCTGCATATTGGGCAGTGCCCTGCGACTGAAATATACGAATTAATGCATGTTTTATGGAAAATATGATTGCATTTTAGAATCCCACAAATATTGATGGATATGTACTTGTTTAGGCAGATTGCGCACAACTCGCTCTCCTTCTGCCTGGATGTGTGTGTGTCTGGCCGTTCTGTGTACTTAACGTATTTAATATACTTCTTCTTGAGGCCAGGCCTTCTTTTATCAACTATTCTGTTCTCTGTGTTTTTTGGAAAAATTGGCTGCTCTGATATGTATTGCCAGTTTTTTCTATCTCTGCCAAGTATGCCTATTATCCTGGACATGGCGCAGACGCCTTGCCCCTCCTCTGAATGGGCACTTTTTTTATTTTCTATTTTAGTTTCCTCGACTGGTCCGTTTCTGGCTGCAGAGTTAGGCCATGTTTTTTCGCTCTTTTTAAGAAGCTTTTTCCCTGCAAGAATGCTCTTCATAATCATGTCTCTGCAGTCTGCTGTGCTATTTTTTGTTTGGGTGGTTGCTTTAGAGGGGATCTCTGATTGTGCCATTAAAGCAAAATTAAAATTTATTTCGAATGAATTATGTTATACAGGACTTAGAGTGTGTCAGAAAGGCGGCTCTTTCTAGAACAAATTCTATAAACACCAGCAAGCTCACGAAGAAAATGAAGTACGATGTTTTAGTGCAGATAATAGAAGATGCCTTATCTAAAGTGCACTGCAAATATGCGCTTGACTTGACAAATGCTATCGTGTGCAATACTCCAGTTAACAGCGAAATGCATGTGGAGCTAACAAAAACACTAGAGCTATTTAAAAAAACCAAAAAAGAGATTTCTAAAACAATCAAAAGATCCAAAGTTGATCCAATAACTGAGGAATACATAAGCCATGTGCTGCGCGTGCTGGAATATAATGTAGAATAAAGGGCTTTAATGTGTAAGGTGTAATACTATTTTTCTTGCCGATTTCCCTACGCTTGGAGAAGCCTTCTTAGTGTACTTGAGTGTATAAAACTAGCAGATGTTAGCACAGCTTATAGGAACTATTGAGCCAAAATGTTTTTCTATTATGAAAGAAAACTCTTCATTTTTAAATTTAAATAGTAGTAAATGAACTATTTTATATTTTAGGCACTTGTATTCAAGGCATAAAAGTCATTTTAAGATCGCTGAAGAAGAAATGTGTTTATATTGAAAGAGCTACTGGATAGATCCTTTATACCTATTTACCGTATTTAAGCTATATAAATTACAAGTAAGAAATTACAATAGCAATATATTTGAATAAGTAGACATTTATCCTTTATTTATTAGGCATACAGGTTTGTATGCAGCTTTTCTTTAGCCAATATCCTGCAGATTTTTATTATGCAGACATGTTCATTTTGATGGGAGGATGGTGAATGTACTCCTCCAAGACAAAGTCCTCAATTTCAAACTCATCAATTGACTTTCTTGGCACAGCTGGCGCTATTTTTAGAGTGGGAAATGCATATGGTGTTCTTTTAACCTGTTCGCTCAGCTGCTCCACGTGGTTAAGGTAGATGTGTGCGTCTGATAGCACATGAACAAATTCCCCTGCTGGAATATTGGTCAGATAGGACACCATTTTCAGAAGCAGGGCGTAGCTGGCAATGTTAAAGGGCACGCCCAAACCCACATCTCCAGACCTCTGGTACAGCATGCAATTAAGCTTCCCATCCACCACGCAGAACTGGAAGAGAACATGGCACGGAGGAAGTGCCATTGCATCTAAATCCAGCGGGTTCCATGCACTGACTACCATGCGCCTGCTGTTTGGGTTTTTCTTAAGCTCCTCAATCACACTCTTCAGCTGATCAACTCCCTTTCCGCTGTAGTCATCGTTGCACGTGCCATACTCTGCTCCAAAGTGTCTCCACTGGAATCCATATATTGGGCCTAAATCGTCTTCCTTCCGGCTAATGCCTCGGGATCGTAGGAATTCCTCTGTTCCGTTTAGCGTCCATATGTTTACATTCTTGCTCTTCAGTATTTTATTGTTTGTCTGCCCACGTATAAAGAAAAGAAGCTCCTCAGCAACAATTCGGAAGGGAACCCTTTTGGTTGTTAGCAAGGGAAATCTGTCTCCCTCCAAGGAGTATCTAGACATGTCTCCAAACACAGCAATTGTGCCAGTTCCTGTTCTGTCCATTTTCTCTGCACCTTTCTTCAGAATTCTTTGTATTAGCTGCAAGTACTGCTTTTCCTCATAGTTTTCTTCCATTCAGAATAAAAATAATTGCGTACTGTTATGTCTCTCCTGCAATATAATATCATGCTGGAATGCATGCACATAGTATGCAGGGCATAGAGTAGCATTATGTCTAGGCTATGGTCTAGTAAGATGCAAGTGAGTGCATGCCTCTATTTAAGGTGTCTTCCTGTATTCATATACTGCAAAAGGAATGCGAACTTATAAACCTTAGCACCGACACTTTTGGTATATAGCAAGGGGCGTGCAGTTCTTTAAGATTTTAATAAACTCAAATAATGTGTGCAAGAAAGCATTTTTAGAGTATGCATTTTTAAAGAAATAATGTCTATTGAATATTTTTTGCTTCCTGTAATGCTTAAATTTTAGAGTGTGTGTGTGTAAAGTAAATTCTGTAGGTATAGCTCTTCTAGGAAGAAGGACACAGAGTAGCTGTAAGTATGTGTGCGTGTAAATGTGACAAATAATGAGTATTAGGAGAGTGCAGAATTGTTCTTTAGCAGAGCTATCTCTTATGCACAGCTAGTTTAAATAGAGGAAAAGTAGAACTGCAAATGCGAAAAAAAACCATTTTATTACTGTAGTTGTGTGCTTGGTGTGTTATATGTAAAATAGCGGCAGAGAGAATAAAAGCACTCGAAAAGACCAGCTTACCTTGCTGAACCAAACAATCTGCACATATCTATCAAATTATCTATTAATAACAAACATAACAAATAACCATGTGCAGACGCGCTCTGTCATCTCTACTACCCACACATTCCACAAAAACCCACCGCGCACAAATTAAAGATTAAGCTGTCTGGGTTATACTCCAGGCGCTTTATGCAATATTATCACTTTTTCTACTCTTTCCCATTGTATGTTGTATACTCCTCTACAATAGAAGTATACTTAAACAGACCCAGTTTACCTTACTGGCGGCTGCACAATTAGTTAGCAGAGTAGTTGCTTATGCTAAATATCACATCATTGCTGCTTATTTCTTTATCTTCTGTTACATCCACAGCAGTAACAATGGCTGAGTGCTGTCCACCTGCACCAACGCTAATGACTATCTCATTATCAAAAACCACCTGTTTTGGCGAGAGTTGTGTATCCATTTCGTATCCAAGCTGGCCTTCTTCTCCGAATCCCCAGCTATATGCCTTTCCATGAGATATTGCTATTCCATGCGATGCAGTGATTGCGAAGTCATCCACATTGGATATGGCGCACTTAGTAAACTCTGTTTTGTTGAGGTTGTCGCCTACACCAAGCTGGCCAAAAGTGTTTCTTCCAACTGCCCAAAGAGTGCCGTTAGCATCGAGTATGTGCGTGCTGTGCTCGCCTCCCATACCCTTTCTGAAGGTCTCCGGACCGCCTTCGGGAGTTTGCGAGTAGTCTACCCACGGGCCCCATGTGCCATTTTCATTTGCATTTGGTGCCTGTCCGTAGTTATTTACCCCTGAGGCAGAAAGCTTTATCTTTTTGCACTCTTCTCTATCTGACATGTCCTTTCTCCGCCGATCAAACAAAACCATTCTCTGCACTTCATTTAAAAGAATACACGTTTCAGATTCCTTAGATTCTTTGGATTTATCAGGCTTAACATGCAAAGAAGCTTTTTTAACCCTCCGCCGTTTTTCCATCCTCTTTTTGTTGCTCATACCATCTTCGTCTCTGCCTGGAGTCTTCATTTTCCGCTTATGTCCTGGTGGATGTTCGTCCTTGGCTTTATTTCTGGAACTCTTTCCACTGGTGTTTGCATCTGCTGTACTATCTACTTTGATTGAATCAGCCCCAGAAGCAGTGGCTACTTTACCACCTCCCTTTGTTTCGCTTTCACCAGGTTCTAGAGTATCTTTCATGCCATCAGACTTATTCGGACCAGGATCTGCTGTGCTTTCTGAAGCATCTTTGCTATCTGCAGACTTTTTCTTGCTAATTTCTTTGGACTTTGTTTCGGCGCATTTGTCGATAGAACCTTCTGCTTTCTTCTCTTTTCCTTTATCAGAGTGGGTGTTAGGTGCGTTCTCAGCATTTTTAGCCTCTTCATCCTTTGCAAGCTGCTTGCTGCATGCTTCCTCACTGCTCTCCTCCTCTGAACTACCGGACTGCCGCTCCTTCTCTTTCATACTTGCCATCTTTGCCTTTTTGATCAGTTCCTCAGCCATCTTGCTTCGAGGCTTTTTTGCACTGGAAGCGTTCTTATCTTTCTTCGACGACACAAGAACCTCTTTTTCCTCGCCATTGCTGTTTACCACAATAACCTTCTTTGGTTTATCGCCAGGCGAAACATTAAGATACTCCGCATACAAGGCAATGTCATCCTCAGTGACCTCGTGCTTCTCCTCTTCCTCTTCAAGCACTCTGAGACCTTTGGTAACTGGCTTGACCTCCTTTTCTGCAGAACTCTCTGCTACAGGTGTCACTCCATCAACAAGTAGACGCGTTGTGGGCAAGGCAATCTTTTTTCCACGGGATGGATCAAGAGTCAGCTCACCAGACGGTGTGCAGTAGACAGTCATTCCCTTAGGCGGGTATAGAACAGCCATAGGCATTTTCGTACTAGGCGTAATGCGGATGTATTTGTACTTGGCACTGGTTGGCATCTTTCTCTTACGGGCTTCCTCTGCCTGTTCTGGTGACAGATCGCCTTTCATCTGATCATACATGTACATTTCATTTCCCGCAGTGTCCTTGAAAAACTTTCCCTCTGTGTACAGGCACTGCTTGGCAAGCGTGCTGCTCTTCTCGCCCTTGGAATTCATTCGCTTAACTGCAAATGAGTGGTAGGCTCCTGTCACTGCAGAGCTTGCAGATGCCATAGAAACTCTTGGAAGCAAGCATCCAGTGCTCTTCCCCCTTTTACTGATTACTCGCCCTAGCTTTCCATTCTCGCCATCTCCCCATGTGTATAGCTTGCCCTTTGTATCAATTACAGCTAGATGGTTGCACCCTGCCTGCACCTGCGCCACCTTGATCCCATCCATCTTCAGTGGAGCTTTCGCCATTTTGCACACGGACTCATCTTTGTTGATAGAGTGCCCAATCACTCCACCAGGACCTCTGAACAGACCCCATGTCCAAAGCTCATCATTCTCGTCGACAGCAGCTGATATTGAGTCACCAGCCACAACTTTTTTAATTTTAACATTGTTAGGAAACACTATTTTGCTGGGCTCTTCTTCATTGCCGCACCTTCCTAGTACACCTTCGTCATTGCACCCCCATGAATAGACGGAACCATCAATTGACAGGGCTAGAGAATGCATTCCCCCACAAACTACCTCTACTATTCTCTTATTGCTAAAGTAGGTTATTTCAATAGGCTTAGTACTCATTCCCTCCTCTGTCTCTGTCCCAAGTTGGCCAGCATCACCCGCCCCCCAGGAATAAACTCTTGTTATGAACTTTTTATTTTCCATGTGGAGGAAAAAATAAATTCTATTTATGTTCGACGAAAAGTCGCTTACCATATAGGGTAAGTGGAGTAAAGCGAAATTCAAGAGTGCCTGTGATTGTGTTTCTCGGCGGCAGAATTGCATTTACAGGCGTGGCAGGCCCTGCAGAACAGAAAGAAACCACGAAACCCATACTGATATTGATGCTTTCGGGTTTGAAAAAAATTCTGCTTCTCCCTGAAAACCAAACAAATGAAGGTGCGGGGGAGCGGCATGCAATAACGCAATCTCACAAAACCTGCTACCTGTAAAATGTGTTTTTACAGAGTCAAATAACTATGCTGCTTCAGCAAATAAAGTGCATTGTCTGTTTCTCAGGTTGTTTTTCAATTAAGACAACCGTAGCACCATGCTATACATTGTCTGTAACAGGCTGGCTGCTAGGTATCCTGTGCGCTCTCATTGCAATGTGTGCATTGTCTGGTTTATGGATTGTAGGACATCGGATATTTGATATTATCACAGAATGCACAGTCCGTGCACTTCAAGTTATTCTGTATTATAATAAAGCGCTGTTGTACTATGATGCCTATATACAGTAGAATCATTCTCTATGTGGGGGAGACTCTTTAGTACAGTGTGCGCATACTTTCACGTAGTAATTACGCTGTATAAATAAGAAAGCATTGTAATATGCTATTTTAGCATTCATTTGTTTTTATGCATGCACAGAAGGATGTGTGTAAAGTTGATTCTTATGATGTGGATAAAATATCATTAAAGACAGTGCTAGAAAGGTGTAAGTACTTTATAGCATATATATTTCCAGTGATAGGATAGATTATGCAGTGTGGGCGATCAAATAATTATGAGGCTGGCATTACATAAAAAGGAAAAGAAGTCTATGTTATAGAATATAGGCTTATGTATATAAAATCACTATGGATAGTATACTGCAAGAATTTATTTATTTCAGTAGTATTGTGAATGGTGACTATGATTTAATGTAAAAGCTGCTTCTGGTAATGTGACATTATGGGGGATAGAAGGATTACTGTGATAAAGAAAAGCATGAGAAAATTCAAGATGCATTCGGGTTATATTACATGCACTGCATATAAAGTCTTTTCTTGGCAATTAGTATCTAAACATAGGAAGAGGTCATCTGATACTTTTCAAATAGCAAGGATGTTCTTGCCTGTGTATTTGCAGATTGGGCATTCATAATAGTTCATTTATTATGCAAAATCATCTGCTGTGCTCTCTACCTCTATATAAGAAAGCTGTATGTAGAATACAGGCTGACCTATTTCTCTTTATAAAGAAAGAAAAAAGTGCTTTAGGCCATAGAAGCTAATAGTACTTCTAATTAAATACCCAAAATGTAAGCTAAAAAGGAAATTAAATTTGCGGGTTATATGACAACTAAAAATGCATAATACAACACTGTAAGAGATAAATATTGCATGCATATTGAGTTTGTCACTGCTACAGAGTATAGATATACTGTTCAGAAAAAACACTCTATTATCCATTTATCACAGAATGCCACACATCAATGTGTGTGTTTCTATTTAATTTTCTAAAATTGCTAGTTTTTTTAATTATGCTCTGAATTGGTGCTAAATAAGCTGGTACATTCTGAGTTCTAAGGGAAACATTTAATGGAAAATAGACACTTCTATAATACACTAAGCATTCTTCAGCTAGGATAGCACTCTTTGCATGCGCCTGCTACTAGTTATTTATGTCATCCATCATCTGCTTTGCTCTTAGTAACGACTGCTGTATGAGACTGTCTGTTGGGTATGCAGGGAGTCTTTCCAGGCCTGTGTCTTCTGTCCATAGCAAAGGACACTTGCTGTGCCTGCCCAGTAATTTACTGTATGACAGTACGTCATTTACATCTATCTCGCTTGAAGGTGCCAGTATGTCTTTGCACTCCTGTATTAATAGCTCCTTCTCCTCTAGCTCTTCCATTAGTCGTATTGCAATGTCATATATATCCTCGCTTATGCGCTGGTTTTCCTTCTCAAACCCATGGACCATTACATTATATATAAGATCTATCTTCATAGCAGCTCTCTGGGCCCTCTTTACAAGGCTAATACTACACGTTCTCTTCATAGCAGTTAAACACTCGATTAGAGTGTCTATTTCAGTGGAAAATAACTTGTCCATCTGCAGGAATGCAAAGTAGAAAATAATTTTATTTTTCATAGCCCCCATGGCAAAAGCAATCTCATTGAACAAAACAGGAAAGGTAAGGGGATCCACACCAAAGGTAGCAAAGGCAGACAAGCCAAAGCCAAAGAGAGGAAGAGCTGCAAAGAGAGCATTATACGAGAAGCGAGTCAGCAAGGGATACTTCGAGGGAACCATGAAGATGAACCAACAGGTGGTAAGATAAACCGATGCTAGATAGAATCTTAATAAAGACTTATTTATAGGTTATAGTGTAATTGGGTGTAGGAATTAACTAAGGCAAAAGAAAATAGTATTTTATCCTGCTATGCAGTAGAAATATTGCATATTTAGACTGTATTTAGCAGTTATCACAGAATATTGTGCCAAGGATATATTTTCTGTCTGACATAAATATATTTAGTGCATGCCATAGCTTGTATCTGGGAATGTGCGAGATAGAGTTTTTCATAAGTAGCCATTCACATGAGAGTGCATTTCATAGGCAGATGCATGCTTAGGGACAGCCTTTATAGAATAGCTAGAATGAATTCGGGGGCATGGAGGGACATATAGAATTAATTCGCACTGTATGTATTTTTGTGAGAATTAATGCAGTAGAGTGGGCAGAGTATATTTTCTCATTTATTAAGAGGCCATTTGTGCATATGCTATCTTATTTTAGCTCTGATATCTATGTGAGAGGGAAAAACATGTATTTACTAAAACATTTGCACTGGGCATATTTGCACTTGGAATACTCGTGTGCCGGGCTGGCCCAGCAGAATTTATGTATATTCTGCATATTGCAATTTTAATTATTCCATGTATCTGTATAAAGCTATTTGATTTTTCTGTGCGTATGGATATTGAAGAAATTACAAATGAAAAAAAACCCATTCGAGTATATTCAGATGGAATATTTGACCTCTTTCACTTTGGACACATGCGGATGCTAGAGCAGGTTCGGAAGCAGTTTCCTACTGCAGAAATAGTTGTGGGGGTATGTTCAGATGCAGACACGCATAAATACAAAGGTGCAACAGTCATGCCAATGCAAGAGAGAGCAGAGTCTCTAAGACACTGCAAATGGGTTGATGAAATAATAAAAGACTCGCCCTGGATTATTACAAAGGAGTTTCTTACAGAAAACAGAATAGATTGGGTGGCGCACGATGGAGATCTGTACACAACAGACGGGCATGAAGATGCCTATGCGGAGGTAAAGAAGCTGGGTGTGTTTGTGGAAACACAAAGAACAGAAGGAATAAGTACAAGTGAAATTATTTCTCGAGTGCTTAGAGAGTATGAGCTATTTCTAAGAAGAAACATAATTCGGGGAGCCACATCTAAAGACCTAAACATCTCCAAGTTTAAAGAGAAGCGAATCAAGCTAAGCGCACATCTTGAAGGAAAGCTAGTAAAACTGCGGCGTAAAATGAAAGATATATCAGATGTTTGGGAATCTGCAGCATGCGAGATTAAGAAGAAATTTGTGGAGGTATTTATGTAAGAGGCAAAGGTACTTCTTTTTGGATATTATGAGCTGTACATAAAAGGCATTTCCTGTTGTATTCCTTAAGGATATATTTAGAAAGGTCTTCAGGTTATATTTAAAGAGTTTCCAGCCTCTATTTTATTTCTGGCTTGCATGAAATAGTATAGAAGACATTGGTCTATTTTATATGAGCACTAAAGTCTTTCAGAGCCTATAAGCTGCATTCTTATATAGCAGACGCAGAAAGTGATGTATCCCAAAATGGTTCTGAGAAAATGGCAGGATCCTTCACATATTCGCAGGCAGTTTAGAACACTAAAAACTAGTGCTTTTCTTTTAAAGAGAATAGTAAAATTTTACTGTATACTAGAGAGCATAATTTTTATTTTGACATTGTACGCCTGCTGCTCTTGACCAGAACTATTTCATAGCTAGCGAAAGATATTGCAATAAAGGCTTTATTAATTCTATATTGTGCCTTCTTACAACTCACAGCCAAATGCATCTCACTAGTTAGTGTCTACTTCCATAATATTGGTTTCCAATCAGAAAATCATTTTTTGTTGCATACCATTTGCTATATAATCGAATAGTAAACACACTCTATTCAGTGTAAGAGGAAGCTGCTTTTTGAAGGGGCTTTTGGCTATATTTTTTTCTGGAGGTATAAATTATATTAAATATTGCTCTGTATATATTGGCGCGGTCTAGACCATTTGGCTTCTATTTATAACCTGAATGTTTATCTTCTGAATGTATTTTGTACGTCTTGTAATCGCATGCGCCATGCTTCTTCTAGGGACTAAAGCATCTAAGCCCCTTACATTTAATTTGCCAAGCAGTGACTCTGCATCCCGAGAAAGGATGTCAGCACTAATCACCACACACATCAAGTCTCTCTTTGAAAACAGGAAGGAAATACCATACATAAGCTCTGGGTATGCAGGAGTGAAGTTCTACTACAACCAGCCAAAACATACTACAATAATGCAGTATGGCGATGCCCAGATCCACTACAATGTATACGTCAGGAACAATTCAAGCAAAACATACTCTCATACTTTCTCCATAATAAACAGATCTAGCGACACAAGTGTAGCTGCAGAGGTGATTATAAAGCTTTTCCAAAACAAAATGAGCTTCTCTGCAAAGCAAAAAGGAGAAATGACAAACATCTCCTACGATCTAATCAACAAGCTCGAGCAGGCGATAATTGACCTTTCAAAGACAACTGCTGAGTTAGATGAGTATCAGTATAAAAGATTAGTTCAATATGTAAAATAAAAAGGTGTATCTGTTTTTAAATATGTGTCCTTAACTATATCTCCCTTAATAGCTCAAAGCATTTGTATGTTGCTGCTCTTCTGTATTTACTGCCTTTTAATGTATGCATTTTAGTAAATATTGCGTCCACATGGATTGGAGTATATGGATGTTCTGTGAATGCATGGCATGGTAGCTATGTATTGTTTAATGTTTAGTATGGTTTATTATAGCATTTGTTCTATTTAAAGCAGCACATTCTTTACATGTACCGCTTATATTGGCTGTGGGTAGAATACTATGCTGAGCAAAGATGCACTATTTCTGTGTGCTTAGAGAGCTTAGCATTATATATAGAAAGAGGAGTTAAGCAGAATTTGGTTTATGTCTTTATATACATACTTTTTTAGTTAGTAATTTCTCTACAACTGCTATTCTTCTGTGTAGACTGCAATTACAGACTGCCCTCGAATAAATACATACCCCAAATTGCGCGTGAACGTCCTCGGGCTTTGCCTTTTTTTCCCACGGTGCATGCACGGCTGCTGCGTTCTTGTCTCTACTGCATCCTGAAGAAGAAGATTCATATGCTTATCAATCAGGGATAATGTGCCTCTTACACTTCTGTCTTTCTTTACTAAAACAGTCACAGTATTTCCTTTCTCAAGGTGTGTATGAAGAGCCTCTGTGGGAAACCCAGATTCCATAATTTTTTCAATATGGCAGAGTGCATGACTTTTAGTTTCAAAAATCAACACATGCACAATGGGCTGCTTTAAGAGAATAAAGTTTAGATGGAGGACAATATACTCCGATACATCAGACTACCATGCAATCAACAATGGTACTTCTACTGCCCTTAGATCAAGTTTAATTTTAGTAAGACATAGTATACTTGTAGCAGTAAAAACATATACTTCACTCCCCCACCTCTTTCCTTTACACATTTCTCTTTATGTGGATTCTTCACACTAGTATGCCATAGATAAAAATCGCATATGTTTATATTTTAATGCACACTCCCCACTATGAATAAATTAAAGTATCTTTATCAGCCTGTTATGGGTATAGTCTATTAAAAATTGGCAATATGCCAGTGTACAACTAAGCTAGCTGCAACATAATTCTAGTCACTTCTAGTTAGTTAACCCTTAAGTACTATATTTTTAAACAGCGTATTTATACAGACACATCTGCAAGAAGTATACAATTTTTAAACTACTTTATTTATTAAAGCTTTCTTACGCATATTGGGGTTCATTGGGTAATTTTAGAATTTATGCGAACTTACTCGCATTCTTTTTTACCTTCTTTGCCATACAATATGGATTTTATCTCTTCAAACAGTTCTGATAGATCTATATCTATACCCCATTTAGAAGAACAGTTCAGACTATTAATTTTTTCTGTCTCTGCTATGTCAATTAAGTCACAGCAAGATTCTACTACAGTAGAAAAATTCTTAGGATTATTGTTCTTTACAACCCAAATAAACCACAGCAAGAACTGGTTACTATGCTTCTCATAATCGGCAACTGAATGTTCTTTCTCGGTTTTCTGCATAGCTTGAACAATCTTAGTAATATAGTCTGTATTGTTTTCATTCAGTGTTAAGATCTTTATAAGTAAAAATCCTTTGCTCTTTTTCAGCTCTTTAGCAAATGACTCCAAACTCGAATAGTAGCTATCCTCCAGGCATGTTTCTCGGAATTTAATCATTAAGTACATGATTGCATCAGCATATGTTCTACGAGGTATATATTTTATAATACTTGCTAATTCTAATACATGCTTTAATGCGGATATAAAACATTCTGGCATGTCTTTATATTCATCCATGTCTATCAGTATATTTGGATAGTACTTGTCTGCTATTCCCAAGATATGTGCCATAAGCAGTTCACTTTTAGTGCCATTAACGGCAGGGCAAGAACTTTTCAAAATGTTATCTGCTAGGCACATAAAAGGATGGGTTTTTTCAAGACTTTTTTCTTTTGCGTATAGAAGCAATCCGCATACAATATTTCTTTTATACTCACTGTTATAAATCTGTAGATTAAGCAGAAGAGTATCAATATCCTTGTTCCAGTTGGCATAGCTAAGTGTGGGCTGCTTCTGTTCATCCAAATTAGAGCTTTTCTTGCGTTTTCTTTTGTTTGTTTGTTGTAACTGTATTTCTTTACTTGACTCTATACTTCTGTCTATATATGATTTGATTTGGTCTATAATAGATAATTCCTCCTTAGTTTTCGGGTAACCATCCTTTCTAAATATACTTTCTGGTATAGACATTTTAAAACTAGTTTTCCATTTCAGTTCTTCATTAGCATTAGAATAATCAGGACAGATATTGAACTCATAGAAATATGAATAAGTTAGGAAGAGATCCTTGTCGTGCTCATCAATGGGAGTATAAGATATTTCTAGGCCTCCAAATACATCACTACAACCATCCTTAAAAGACATTTTAGAGTCGATGGATACTTGAACACTAACATCATGACTTAATGCAATTTTCTTAATTAACTCAGCCATATATGCGCTTATCATATTCTCAAGTTCTGCCTTCTTTTCTTTCTCTATCTTATTAGAGCCATCTACAGAAACATCAATGTTCATATCACCCAGCCTTCTTTTAATCTCATTTATCTTACTTAAGTCACATATACCTGCTATCTTTGAAAATCCATATAGTATATTTATCAATCCTGGCATAAGTTTTTTTCTGTCTATCCACATATATTGTGTTTCCTGGTTATTTTCTCCGAACAATACATCTTTCCAGTCTTGGTGCATTCTCTTTAACACTATCTTGTCTATAGGGGTGCACATGTACTTTCTGAAAAAGCCTTTCAGCTCCTTAGAGGCAGATTCGATATGGTCAACTGTGTATATATTCTCATTCGGGCTATATGCAGCGGAGCAGAACAGGCCAAGTAGCGCAGTCTCACAATAGGTAGCCTCGCTCATATTACTACTCATACTCTCTTCGCCGAGAAGGTGATCTTCAATTGGTTCAAGACGTAGCATATCAATAATGTGGGCTATAGAATCATTGTACAGAGGTTTTTTTGTCAGATGAGTTATATATATTCTTTCTTTTCCAATTGAAATATATTTCTTTGGTATATTGCATTTGGCATTCACATTCCTTGCTTGCGCTGCAGTTTCGTTATCAGGCTGTTTATCTTCTGGTTTGACTCCTCTATCCTCCATATACAAACTTAGAAGATTATTCACGGCCTCTTCTACACGATTTTCTCTTGAAGCTCCCTCTTTCTCCTCTATAAACTCGTTTAGTAGATCATGCACCGTTTGAATGAATAAAATCATCTCATCTGTATTCTTTATGCAGTGGTGTATATACGCTTGTATAAGGAAGCTAGGGCTGTTTAAAAACTCGTTATCCACAAGCTTTCTACAGAAAAATAGCTGTAGAGTGGATCTCTCTTTTTTGGAAACTGTTTTTTCTCTGCTTTCTATAAAAAAGTTTATAACATCAATTGCCTTTTCTTGTAATACCTCTTTATGCACATCTGTAGACTTTTTATCTTCTTTACCAGTTTTAACAAATGCAGTCATATTGAGTCTGAAGTGATCTTCATTTATATTTGCACTTCTCAGAACTAGTTTTTTATCATTCTTACTTTTAGTAAATTTAAGGGGCACTTTTATTCCCTCTGCAAGCAGTAGCAGTGAGGCAAGTATTTTGTGCTTATGCTCTTTTACAGAAGTGCTGTTAATAAATACATAGAAAGATTCAACATTTTCTGAATGTATTGACGCAAATCCATCAAGCGAGGGGAACAGCTCAAGAAGCGTGTTAAAGTATTCTTTCTTGTATCTGAGCAAGCTACCTTCATATGGAAGGCTATTGCGTAATCTATCCTGGCTGATGTTTCGTGTGTGTTTGTAGATAGAATCCTTTGGTTTGTGCTTATCTGAGTTTTCTTCATTGCCCGTCTCTATATTTTTAGAGTCTTTTTTGAGAACTTCTATAGAGTGCTCTAGATGTATCTCAGGCGACAAAAACCTCTTCCTAGTCATAAACCCAATATTTCTAGTTATTTCTACTACTGAGAATTTCTCTCCACCTTGACTGCCTTCTTCTGTTTCTTCAGAAATAGCAGCAGCTTTTATCTGGACATCTCTTAGCCCATCTACTGTCAACACTCTGTTCCACACATGGCACAGTATAGCTACTCCAATGAGCATATATATCTTTGCTCTCCGGGCACCAGTTCCCTTCTCCTCTTGTCTTATCTTGTGAGTTTTTAAGTCTTCTGTTTCTACTTCTTTAGTCTTCGATTGTATACTCAACTTCATATTTCTTATCTAAAAAATTTCAATATTTATATTTTTGAAAATTCCCACTTTATCAGAGATTTCTTTTTATTACGGAGTTTTCCAAAATAAAATGATAACTATCTAGCAGTTAACTCCATGTAAAAAATCAGACTCTAAGTGTTTTGAGCACTTTTCGATCTATGAATTTTTTTCCTATATTTCATGTTAATATCTCTTCCACACTTCACATACAAATATATAAGTAGAAGGGGTTTTTCTCAAAAAAAAGAGGAAAGCACAGGAAAATCCAAAAAATGACATATTTTAAAGACCCATCCATGCACTGTCGCTATCCAAAGTGGTTTAGCATACAGTACAAACAAGAGATTTGATGTATAAAGAGAACATAAGATGCATGCGATGTTGACATGTGGTGTGTCTTGTTATGCTCTTATGTTTGGTTATGCGTATTGCAATCTTGTCTAGATGAGCTTTCTTAAGAAATAATATCTAGTTCTATATCCAAGCTGGAGTCATGTGCTTAGTCAACTCTATTAAAATATTTTTATTTGAAACTCTGTATAGCAGAAAGAAAGATACAAAGTAGTATTGCTACTAAAATAGTCACTCAATCACTGTAAACAAAGAAGTGGATATAAACCGCTGTCTAATCTATTCTAAAAAAAGACTTAATCCATGCAATACAAGATCTCACAATTTCTCTTACCCATTGGTATAAACTCTTTTTTATGACAGTTGCTTCTGGGTGCGGCCTTCCAAGTTGTTTTAATACTTTGTTGTATTTTTCTACACTCTGTTCATTGTCTTCTGAGCATAGCATAGTCTTATTTCTCTCTAAAACTAGAATAGTATTCATGAAGTGTGGGCAGTGCTCTAATAAATTACGATCACGTGGGCCAGTCAATTCTTCTGTTTTTATAAGGTTTTAAATAAGAACAATGGTAAATTGGTTCTAAGATGCTTAAAGCTGAGCTTCATAGCTTAGACATAGAGCAAGACTTGGTCTATCAAAGAGCAAAAGAGAAGGCTTTTACCACAATAGTAAACTATTCTTTCCCAGAGTTAGAAATGCAGATGTATGCTGGTCTTTGCCTTCCAAGATTTCGTTGTAGACTACTAGAATATAAGAGGCTTTGTTTTTTTCTGCTAAAATTAAATTAATTAGAGTTAATTGGGGAATACTTTTAATTAAAAGTATATTAATTTTAACTATAAGCACAGAGTACTGATAAATTTCTAATTTTATGGTCTATAAATAGACAACAAAAAGTAAGCTATAGAATGTTTAGTATAATGAAGTCTAATCTTTCGAAGAGAAAGAACCAGCTATTAGAGAGTAAAGAAGTAGAAACAGAAGACTTAAAAACTCACAAGATAAGACAAGAGGAGAAGGGAACTGGTGCCCGGAGAGCAAAGATATATATGCTCATTGGAGTAGCTATACTGTGCCATGTGTGGAACAGAGTGTTGACAGTAGATGGGCTAAGAGATGTCCAGATAAAAGCTGCTGCTATTTCTGAAGAAACAGAAGAAGACAGCGCAGATAGTATAATAATGCCAGTGCTAAAAAAAGAAGCCAGAAACATTGGGTTTATGTACAGAAAGAGGTTTTTTTCGCCTGAGATAAAGCTAGACTACTGTATACCACTTGAAGAGACTGGTTGTGAACGTACTATTTATAGGTTTAAGCGAAACTGCAGTCTGGACAAAGTATGTGATGATAATGAGCTTTTATATGAAGGTGACTTGCTCAAGTACAAAAAAGAGTACTTTAATACGCTTCTTAACATGTTTCCCTCACTAGGTGAATGTGTGTCCATATTGTCAGACGATATTGACTCCTTCTATACATTTATTAATAGTGCTAATGTAAAAGAGCATAAGCACAAAATACTTGCCTCATTGCTAATGCTTGCAGAGGGAAAGAGTGTACCACTCTCATTTAATAAAAGTTATAACAGAACAGAGCTCGTTCTGAGGAAGACAAATAGTGAAGAAGAGCACTTCAGAGTGAGCATGAATGTGTTGGTCAAAACTAGCAAAGAAGAAACAGAGTCTACAGATGTGTTTGAAGAGGTGCTCCAACAAAAGGCAATTGAAGTTATAAACTTTTTTATAGAGAACAGAAAAAATAAGGTCTTTATAAAAGAGAAAGATAGCTCAAAGCCATCTGACTGTGATATGCATGAGAAAGTTCAGTTTGTAAACAGCCCAGCCTTCCTTATACAAACCTATATACACCACTGCCTAGAAACTACCAAGGAGGCAGTTTTATTCATTCATACAGCCTATTGCTTGCTAGGCGAATGGATGCCACAGAAAGAAGAATCCTTGAGAAAAGAGGAGATGGAAAACATTGCAAGATATCTGATAAGTAGGTATATAGAGCAGAAAGACGAACTTGCAAGAGAAAGTGTGAAAAGATACTATATAAGTTGTCATCTACCTGATAGGTATATAAAGGAGAAAGAAAAAAAAATAGCTGAGAAACGGCACAATGCTTTTTTCAAATCCATAGTGTCAGAAGAAAATCGCCCATTTGATATAGAGAAGATAGACATAACTCATATGAACAAAATATTTATGCGCAATGATTATATGGATAACTGCGATGATCTTTTATATCTAGGTGTAGCTTCAGATGTTGTTCCTGTCCCAATAAAGACGGACAATTCGAGCGCTTCTTCTCCTGCACCTGGAATAAATCCCCTAGATGACAAGCATATTCAAGAGGATGCTAAGCCCACACTATCGCCTAGATTTACTGACCATTTAGAGACAGTGCTTCTAGGCCTTCTACTGTCTAGCGCATATAACATTGTGAAGAATATATACAGTGTTGACCACATAAAGCATGCCTCTGAGGAGCTGAAAAGCTTTTTCAAGAAATATTCGAGCGCGCGTGAGCAAGTAGGAAAGGAAATGCACGATGACTGGAACAAAGTAGTGGGGGGCCTGCCTAATCCAAAAATTCGCTATATGCGACCAGACAGAAATCAGCTTATGCCTGGGATGATAAACATGATGCATGTTATTAAAGAGATAACAGGAGTGGGTTCCATAAAGAAAATAGATAGGCTTAAAAGAAGACTGTATTTGGTTGAAGAAACCCAGAGTATTGATGATATAAAGAGTCTTTATGACATGTCTAATAAATTGGATACAATATATAGCCAGAAAGCGAAGCATGAGGTTGACATGCAGATCAAAGACATAATTTATATTAGAAAACTGAAGCATAAAAAAGTGCTTGAAATGAAACAAAAAAATGCAAAAACTAAAGAAGAAGCAGCTAAGATAGAGAAAAAGATACAAATAATAATTCAAAAAAGAAACAGTGATGATTTGGATCGTTTAGTAAGTCGTTATAAAAATATTAGTAGATGGATGGAGTGTAAACTAAAAAATAAAACGCTTCACTATCTGAATATAATATTTTCAGAAATTGCATTAAGTAAAACTGCTCTGATACATTCAGTAGATAGATTTAAAAAGATTCTTAATGAAGGACATGAGGATTTTTTTTGGAATAAACTCAAAATACAATATGACAAGAGTCATCTGCATTTGGACTACTCACATTGCTATGAGTTTGATATGTCTCTTGAAAGTGACCCGAATAAAAAAGAACTAAAAACGTGGAAAAGCAGGTTTTGGTTGTTTTTAGACTATGATTTAGAAAATCTAGAATCGCCTATTATAGGGATGCTTAATTCCTATAAAGATAAAGGTATCGAGACAAGTGAACCCAAAGAAGAGAATAAGAATCCCTTGACTCTGAATAAACATGTGGGTCCTACTCTTTTGTATGAAAAAGAGTACAGGATTGTTGATACTCTCCTGCTTAATCCTCTAATCCATAAGATGGATCATATAAACAAAAATGTATGGGGGCTGCTTCTATATGGAATGGAAAAAAAACTTGACAAAAATCATCCTTTTTTACGCCTAGCAGATAACATCTTGCACAGTACTTGCTTTATGAATAGTAAGATTAGAAATACAATGTTTATATTTCTTAGTCACATCCCAGTAGATAAGCATCATCCGCTAACAGGAATAGACAAGAGTATAGATGAAAAATATATTCCATCCACAATACGTGAAGTATTATACTTAGCAAAAAGTATAAAATTTCTATCGCAGGCAACGTATGCCAATATACTAACTAACTTAATGATTAGTTTGCAAAGAAAATATAGTAATGATAACTACGAATGCAATGATTTTTCTGAAGACCTGATCTCTATAATTCGGAGCGAGCCTTCGCTTATCAAGATTTTAACACTGAATGGAACCATTATGGACTATATTTTTAAAATTATTCAATCTATAGAGGGAGTAGAAACTAAGTATACAGCTAGTGATTGTAAGAGATTTGGCAACCGGCCTTTGCTGTGGATTATTTACTCTGCACAAAAATTTAAATATACAGGATGGTCTAATGTAGTACAAGAATGCTATAACTTAATTGATATAGAAAGCTTCAAAAATGATAGTGTCTATATACGTTATTGTAGTAACACGTGGTTTGTAAATAGGCCAAATCTGTTTAAAGAGATAAAAGACATAGTGTGTGTTGAGAATGATAGGGAGAGTATGGAAAAGTTTTCAAAAATTCAATCTCATTTAATATAAAACCATTGGTAAGGAAGCTTTAATAAATAAAGTAGTTTAAAAGTGTCTTATACTTCTTGCAGATGTGTCTATATAAATAGGGTATTTTAAAATATAGTACTTATGGGTGTACTAACGAGCAGTGGCTAGAATTCTGGTGCAGCTATCTTAGTTGTACACTGGCATATTGACAGCTGGTTACTGCAGATTTCCTATGAATAAAATGTTTTAATTTTAGCTGTGCTATTTGAAGAAGCTTTGTAAAGGTGTTTTAGCTAGAATTTGGATTGTGTCGGATCAATAAACGTATGCGGTGTGTATGAAGAATTCATTGAATTTAAAAGAGCATTGATTACAGAAAATACATTAGAAGAAAACAAGAGAACAGTGCACACAGCAAAAGAACAGCTAAATGTCATAGCCCGCATATGTGTGCTTACTCCATATCATATGTAGCTCAGGCTAAGAACAAAAAAAGCTTGAATGTGGCGTAGCAGCGATTTGACCTATGCAAAGTGCGAACTAGTCATAGTATATCTGTTGTAAAAGGTTTATTCGCTAGCTTGAGTTTATTAAAATTGAAATATGTGTATGTCTTAACAAACATGTATTAAGTAGTAAGCTTTTATTATTATGTTAACAATATTTTTGGGACTGTTGCTTTTACTCTGAATTTGTCTTAACTCTTGTGTCTTTTGCAAAATCATATATGTATCTAGGCTTGGGACCTGATATTGAAGTAGGGAAGGTTTTTCCATTACCATCATTTTATTTCATCACCATCTACAGTAGCAAGCAGTTTCTGGCGAGCGATAATTTTATCTCAATAGAGCATTATACCATAGCTGACCTTGTCCTACAAGATAATGAATATTATATTTTAATTACTTAACTACTTCACTTATTAATCTAAACTCTGATATGAAATGCATAGCTAAAATTGGTTTTTTTCTGCTTTCTTTTAGAAAATCCTATATAATATACCTGGAAGTTCTGTTGAATATGGTTGGCTGTATCTTCCTCTATAACTTTCGGGTTATATTATCTCTTCACTCTTTGTATGTATTAATTTAAGTGCTTCTGCCAGTGCTTCTTTTTGATCTCTTTCCACAAGTATTTCTATTTCACCCTGGTTGAATGTAAACGGAACACGAACTTGTATCATTGCATCAGATGCTGCGAGAATAAATATTCCTTTCTTATATTCGCCCTGTATCTCTTCATCTGTTTTTTTTAAAATAATTAACAGAAGCCTTTCTGTACTTACTTCTACTATTTTATCTGCAGGAATTGCATGGTTCGGTATGCCTTCATATGTCACTCTCCATCTATTATTTTTAATATTCTCTTTGTCCTCTCTGCCAAAAACTGAAAACAGCCTGCACCCAGCAAAAACTACCCGCAGAGGCTGTGGTGCGCGCGTAAGCACCTGCACAGATGCTTCTGTCACACCATACACATTTTTAAAGAACTCAGTTTTTGCAATTAGCGCTAAGCTGTTTGCACCCCACTGGCTTTCTATCACACTTTTCCTCTCTGAATCCAGCCAGTAAAAGTACGATTCGTCAATATTTTTCTCTCCTCTAATCTGCCCTACTCTATTTTGTGTTTCTGCAGGCGCAGAAGACTCCTTTACTATAGAATTACTCGGCTTTGCTTTTTTCTGAAGCTTTGCAATGAAAAATCCTCCTGTGTTTTGGTCCATTGGAAGAATTCTTCTTGCATTTTGCACATCTTGTCTGTACTTGCACTTTGGTATGCGCTTTTCAAGCCCTGGATACTCTAAAGCAGCAAGAATTCTTTCTTCGCACAGCCCTTCCCGCATTTTGAGTCCACTTATGTCAAAGGGAACGATCTCCACATCTGGCCGCTCTTCTAAAACGCATAGAAGAACTACTTCGTTTTCCACAGGATTGAGTGAGCATGTTGAGTATACAAGAATGCCGCCATCTTCCAGCATATCAATACCTCGCTTTAAGATCTTTTTCTGCACTGTGTATAGCCCTATAAACTCGTTTACGCTCCACTTTTGGAAAATGTGTCTGTTTTTTCTAATTGTTCCGTCCCCTGAGCATGGAACATCGCAGAGAACCCTGTCTGGAGTGACTCCGCATCTTGGATATACCGAGGCATCGTTGCATGTTACTATAAGACCCGGGTGCATAAATCGCTTGGTTTGCTTGACCAGCTGCGCAACACGTCGCGAGTTTATATCGTTGCATATGAGAGTGCTGTTTTTTCCCAGCACCTCAAGTATCTGAGATGACTTGGATCCAGGAGATGCACACATGTCCAAGACAATTGAATCGGGCTTGACATCTAGCGCGGCTACTGGAATCATAGACACTGCCTCCTGTCTAGTGATAGAAGATGTCCCTGAGTGTGTTTTCAAAAACAGATGGGTTTTCTCTAGCTCTATCACGTCCAGTCCTTTTGCATTCTCCTTTATTCCTCTGTTAGAAAGATCCTTTCTTGCTAGACCTATTTCATATATTCTGTCCCCCCAAGATACTTTTTTAATAAGTTTATAGCTTTTAAGCTTCTCTTCAAGAACTTCTGCCCATGGCCCCGGCGTGACTCTAAATGTGCAAGGAAGTGGCTCTTTCAGACACTCTATTATATCCTTATATTCTGGAAATATCCTCTTATAGTAGCTCTCCATGCGTTCAATTCCTAGAACTTCTTTCTCAGACTTAGACAAGTTATTCGTTCTTAGCTCCATTTAAATTTTTATAAAGACGGTTGGCTTTTCTGCAAATTTCTAGAAGTGCACATATTCAATATCTGTTTTTTTAGATGGATTCGATTGCTATAAACTTAAAGAGCATATAGACGATAATTTATCTGCTTTATTATTCTTTAGGACACATCCAAGGTGCTAAAATATATTGGAGTGAATCCAGTATATATTCTGCCCTGCGCACACATATATTACTATACACACGGTAGGAAACTTGCATTTACTTTGTCTATGCTGGATATTCATCTATTTGGATTATACTTTGCAGTGTCTCTGCACGGCATAGAAAAGTAGAGTAAATATATTAATATTACTACCTATTTTGCAAGAAGCATTGCATGTTTGTAGCCAGCCAGGCCCATACTGGAATTCCACAGCATATCCAGATATACCTAGAATGAAATATAAGCTTATCGGATGGATTCTGGACTCTTTAGACAGTTTTGGGGTGTCTGTTTACATGTATTAGAGCTATAAAAGCTGGAATTTGATGCTAAGTTTAAGAAAATATGCCATGTCTTTCTAATAGTTTGGGATATTCAATGATATAACACTGTGAAGAAAGCATTGTTCTCTGAGAATATGGTCATGCCAAGGATAAGATATTTTGGAGCCTAAATATTTATTATCTTCTTCTAGTTATTTCTGAATACTACTTCTTTTATGAGTTTATCTTGGATTTTATGGCATTTTTGCTCTTTGTAGCATCCAGCACGCCATTTTCAATTGACTGGTTTATTTTTCCTATAATACTTTTGTGTTTATTACAGCGCGCAGCTCTCTTTTAATAGAATTTCCTAGTTACTCTAGCTGAACCACAGCATGCCTTGGGAATCTGCCCTAAACACTATTTGAAATATAGTATGCAGTTTATCTGATTCATTTTATTAACCACATAAATCCAAATGATCTTGAATCGCAGTATTTTTAATAATATGCACTCTAGCTTTTATAAGACTCTGTGTATTTGGATCCTATTAGAGCTTTTACAAGGTGCTCTTTCTATGAAATATCCTTTTTTTACACTTACTGATATATTTTGGTGGCTTGTCAAACAAAAGGTGTTCAATGCCAATGGCGTGCGGCTCTATTCTTCCATCCTGCACTTTTAATATTATGTTTTTTGCAACTGCCTTCTTCTGGCTTTTTATGAAGGATGTTTTAAATAGAATCTTGTCTTCCTGTATGTCCATTTCTATATCATCTAACTTCTCAAATTCTCCTTTAAACTCTAAAATAGAGGCTTTTTTAAGCTCATCACGCGCAACTATAAATTTCATTCTTATATTTAAATACTTTCTTTTGTACTTTTAAGCACTTAAATGTAAAGAAATTTAGAAAATTAAATGGATTGGCTAGATGATATGGATATTAATCTGTCCCTAAAAATAATAGCCGACTCTTCACCAGATGCTGCTATGGTGGGGTATCCTATTCCCCCACAAAGCAAAATAAGCACACTAATATATAGCAGCTTCTACTTTGAGTCGCTTCGGCTTCGCGGAATGGAATGCATTTCCAAATGGATAGAAGGGCTGGATCTCAGCAAAATTAACAGTATTATATTTCCTGTGTACAGTGAAAACCACTGGTCGCTGTGCTATATAGATGTTAAAAAAGAAACAGCCAAAGTTTTTGACTCACTCCGGCCATGCCATCTAGAAATATCGAGTGTTCTTCTATTGCACAGCCATGTAAAGAAGGTTTTATACAGCAGCAAGTGCACACAGCAGAAAAACGGCTCTGACTGTGGTAGATATGTACTGTATTATGCAAGGTGCCTAGTTGCCAATAAAAGAGACAGACTCAATAGAGAAGTGCCGCCGAAGTTCCTTTATAAGCTCCAGAAATGGATTAAAAAGAGACGTGAGGAATGCGCTGAAAAAGAAAGAAAGGAATTGAACAACATGTAAAACAGTACTATTTTCTCTATTTAAAGAATATGCAGACATTTTTTTAATGCTTACTAGTGTTTGGAGATGGGTTAGCAGACAGAATACTGCACAGGAGGATTTGAAAATGTTTTTTGAAGAGACAACAAATATGTGCTTTGACGAGTGTGTAAAAGCCTCCAAATATCAGTTTATGGGAAAACCGGCAGGTAGTCTATCGAAAAAAGAACAGGCATGTGTAAAAAGCTGCACACTTAAGAAAATAAAGCTATTTCTTGAGGTAGAGGATGCTATATTAAAGAAAGTTCACCCCATTAAATAAAGAAGAAGCATGGGCGTTTTAGTAAATAAAAATTCTTTAGTCAAGCTAAGCAAAAGCGCATATAGTAGTCTTGGCTGCTTAGTGCATTTATATAAGCTCTTTTCTCTTTTAGCCCGATGAGAGAGTATGTAAAATATGCAATTTAAAGAACTCAACCAATTCTGTAGGCGCTATAAACAACTGGCCATCTATAAAGTATATGCTGGATAGCCTAAAGAATATTGGAAATGTAGATACCGCCATTATTTATATTATAGCTTCTACATCATAGTAAGGACTTATTTATATATTATATATATGAGTCTACATAGAGTTTATACACGTGTACTCTCACCCTGTGCTGCGGATTTAAAAGAAAGAAGGCCCTTGCACTTAGTGCAGTCCCAATGTAACAAAAAATAATTGTGTGTGCTGCTATTTTTTTGAATCTTTGTGCAGTTTGTCTTCTTTCCTCTTGGACAAATGTGCTTGCAGAATGGACATTGTATATCAAAAGGCAAGCAGAATCTAACTCGGTTCATGCGAATAAAAATATATAGGCTAAAATTAATTTATTACCATCTATCGAAGAAGCTTATTTCCTCCCATGCCTGTTGCCATTGTACAACAGATATCATTAAGTTTAGAGCTTCCGCCAGAGAACCCATTCATGAATATACTTCCAACTTTAGTATAGCAGTCATTTCCCCAGCTAGAGCCGCCCATAGTAGAGCCCATTCCACCAAATTGCTTAGCATCTGGCATTCCAATAGAGTTACACACCAGCTGAACTCCGCTCATAGGAGGAGATGAGGGTTGAGAGCTCATTCCATTGAATCCAGAATCAAATCCTCCAATCATACCACCTTGTTGAGCCATCGGAGGCATACAAAGAGTAGACCCCATAGATCCCATAGAGCCCATGGATCCCATGGATGATCCACTTGATGACAGATGGCAGTTTAGGGAAATTCCAGTGTCTAATCCGCTACCCATAGATAAATCTGGAAGCATTGATCCGCCTGCAGGTGCACATGGATTCATAGAAGCCATTGGCATGCAGAGTGGTGAAAACATGGCATTAATTCCTGATATTATTAGAAGACTTAAGTAAATTTTTCTAGTTGAGCTCATTATACTTTTCCTTATGTCTTTAGCAATTTATATTTTGCTAATGCAACTTGGTTTTACTATGCAATGTTTTTTCTAGTCTATATTTACTAAAAAGACTTTTTAAGCACAGTATGCTAAACATTTTGTGAAAATTTGAATAAAACTATATAAGAAGAATAGTTCTTAAGCATCTGAAACTTTACATAATAAATGCATAGATAAATCAAATAGATACATCCTTTCTCTGTTGTTTTACATATGTATCAAAGATATGTTTGTTTGCCTAGTCTATCAAAGTCCTGGCAGTTTTTTCTTAGTTACTTTGCATTGTTCACTTTGCTAAGAAGCCGAATAGCATATACCTTTAAGAGTTATTGCATTTATAGTGAGAATATATGGGAAGGTAGTAAAATATAAACAATATGCAGAGAAATATATATTTATGTAGATGTAGCATAATCTAATCAACTGCATTAACCGAATATATACTGTATAACACAGTATAGCATCTGTGCTCTGCGCTATACCCTCTGTGTGTGAGGCACACAGCCAGGCTGCGCAATTCCTGCGCAATTTACCCTTACTCGGGCATATTGGGGGCCTAGCCCCCATAGACAGGTCTATATTCACTTTAGAGCGGGTCTTCTTGTATATTAAAAAGTATATGCGCGCTTTTAGGAATATTGGGGGGCATCTAGAATGGGCAAATTAAGGTCTATTTTCCAAAATATAAGTATAAATAGAGCATAAATCTGTAAAAATATTCCAAAGGAAACACAGGAATCACTTGCTAGTTCTCCTCTGTGTGCACTCGCGCACAGGCAGATACCTTAAGCTCATCGAGGTGCCTTTAACTTCATCGAGACAACTTAAGCTCTTCGGACAACTTAAATTCATCAAGGTAAGTTAAACTCATCACGGGCCGCACTGAAACCTGGGCCTAGCAAGAAGCACTTTAAACTCTTCGCATAGTATTCCTGGCACACGCATAAGCCCATCCTGCCTGCACAAAACAGATAAAACAACCCCGCAGACAGGCCCGAATATCCTAAGCTCCTATTAAACTCCTCTAAATGAACTGTCTCTACGCGTATATTAACAACACAAAAAACAATAAAGACACATGCATTTACTCCTTTTTTATTTTATTTCTGCGCACTGCTTTCTACTTCTGTCCTCTACCTGTATACTTTACTACTACAGAGAAGAGTGTGTGTTGTGATAATGCTACTGTGCTGCACCATGCATAAACAGTCCGGATAGCCTGCAGTGATTTATCATTGCACAAGCACTCATTTGCTGTGGCTGTAAGTTGACTGTGGAGCAAGAGCGTGCTGTTTATAGTGTGCTTACATGAATGTATTTACATGCTGCTATACGTGTACTCTTCCTTTGGTATAACCTATAGTATTGCTGCTGTGGCATTCTGGTTGTGTTCTCTATGTGCTGGGCATACATAGCCTGTTTTGTGTATTAAGCTCCTCTGTGTGGTGTCAGCGCTCGGCTGGGTCTTTGAATTGTGCAGTTTTTTTGATTTTCCTGTGCTTTCGTCTTTTTTTAGAGGAAATAAGCCTTCTATCTAATATTTACACACGAAATACAGAAGAGTTTATTTTTTACATATATATTTTTCTATGTGTATAGAGGGTAGTAAAATATTAGCAAAAACATTTTGCATACTAAAATACGCGCACCGCTACTATGCATGAAAACTAAGACACACAGAATATGATATAGACTGTATACTTAGTCTTTCTATATAGCACACAGCAAATCTTCTTTTCATAGAGATAAATTAGAATCATACAGATTTGTACTTTGTAGAGTTAAAGCATCTTGATGCTCAAAAATTACATATTTATGCCAATCCTAAGACAAATCACTATTTTGTCATTGCAGCTATAGAGACAGTTAAGAGCAAAAATGTTATATATCATATGTACGCAATGTCATTAATACATATAGAATATCATATATGCTGGCTTAGTCAAAGCCACTGGAATCAATTAGTAAATAGTAGTGACTAATAAAGCCTTCTAGGAAAACAAGACGTGCTTACATCTAATTTTAGGATAATCTCCAATTTAATAGACATGGAGTAATAGATAGTAGAAGCAAAAACACCAAAACTTAGATATATACAGACATAAAACTAAATCTTGTGTAGAAAAGCCAGTTTTTAGGATTATAGAGGCACTAACTTTATTAGCTACTTAAGAAGTATTTACTATATCTCCCTCACAAAAATATAGAAAAAATAAAACTTCTGAGATGTCTGCAGAAAAGGAAATATGGCCAAACACGTATTGAGGGCCTATAGAAGATATTTTGGCTTTATTCCTGCAATGTTTTGGATATTTATCGAATGGTTAGCTTTTTTATTTTCTGTGGGAGGCAGCTAAGCTTTTAAACTTTTTTATTTTTATAGCCCCAGAATGACTCAAAAGACTAAGAAGGTAGGAATTGTTGGAAAGTACGGTGTGAGATACGGAGTGTCTCTTCGTAAGAGAGTAAAGGTCTCTGAAATCACCCAGCACGCAAAATACACATGCGAGTTCTGCGGAAAAAAGAACGTTAAGAGAGAAGTAGTTGGTATATGGAAATGCAAGTCTTGCGATGTAGTAGTAGCAGGAGGCGCATACAATGTAGTTACTGTTCCTGGACAGTCCGCAAAGCAGCAAAACCAAAGATTAAAGGAGCTTATCCAGGATTAATTAAAGGCAAAAGACCCATTTCAATTTGCACTTCTTAATAAATTCAGTTTAAACTATAGATTTATTTATATCGTCTAATTTAATTGCTAAGCAGCACTATTTATATGGCTAAATATTCTGCGCTGTTTGCCTTGGTTATGTCAAGAATCTTATCAATAAGGTTGTTTGATATTTCTTGCGATATAGTAGAATCCCCCTTGTACGCAGGGTGTGCAGATACAAACCTTCGCATGTATGTAGCTACGCTTGTTTTTTTTCCTTGCACTCTGTCTTCAATAAACTGAAGGTATTGCGCAATAGAGCTGGTGATAGAAGGCGAATACTCATTAAGATACTTCTTTATTGCGCCAAGTATTCCGATGTATCCTTCTGTGCCCAGGAAGATCTCTTTTATAGTGCCTTTTTTAACCACAGGCATTCCGGTGGAGAATATGTTTTCTCTGTACCAGAATGTTTGGGTGGTTTCTGCATCTATGTAGTCTTGCAGGCATCTTAAAATCGATCCTGGCTGGTTGGCAGCCACAAAGTTTTCATCCACCTTGGAAATTGGAAGATAAAAGTTTGCATTCAGTGAAAGCATCATCCTTGAGAACAGAACAACCAGTACAGAGTAGGCTGCATTCTCAAAAGAAGTAGGCTGGATTTCCATAGGGCGGGTCTCTACCATCCAGCCGGTTTGACTATTGCTTGATAGCTTGGGAAGCTTCAGCCGCATGCTTCTCCAGTTGCTGCTCTGTATGTTTTCAAAGTCATCCATTTCTGTCGAGTCTTCATAGCAGAGAACAGGGTCTCTTATATAGAGAGACGCTATGTGTTTTGCCATCGCGCTATCCACTCCCTCCTGTAGAAGAGTCGCCAGAGCTGTTTTTTCCAGAGGAGGAGAGATGTCATTGTACACCTTCTCTAAGTCCTCAGGCATTTCTGCTGTGTATAGATCAATTGATGAGTATCTACTTTTTTTGATTTCTGTCTCTGAGTCTTGCCGGCAGTCAACAGATGCGCTTATGATATCCCACCTTGATGAGCTTTTAATAAGCTTTCCTGAAACAATAGAGGTGCCTGCGGTAAGAAAGAGGAGCAATGGGCATATCGCACCGATGTTATCATACAGCCTTCTTGCCTCCTCAAGCGATTCACTTTGCATGGTAATTTGCAAGCATCCGCATCCCATGCCCTGGCCCATACTATCAATTACAACTGAATCGGCGGGATCACTGCTTCTAGTGTCTTGTGCTGCATGATTAGCAGTGCTTTCAATGCACGCCAAGGGAAACTCTTTGTATATAGGGGATCTTTTCCTTTTTATAATGTTGCGACTAAATCCAAAGAATCGCTTATGTTGAGTTATCGCAAAGTCTGGATAATGCTCACTGCGTGTTATGTCAAAGGATGGGGTGGTTGCCTTATTTAGCGTCTGCTCAAGCAATGTGCCTTCAATGTTGCTCTCTATAGGAGAAGATGTTTCGCATATAGGCTGCATATTCTTGAATGCATCCTTCCATTTAGAAATCCATGCGTGCTCATTCATTCCTCCTGTTCCAAAGGCCAGAGGTGTTCCAAGCAGAGGGAAGCATGGAAGAAATAAAATTGACGCATCTTTTCCAAATTTGCTTTGAAGCGTTTGCAGAATGGTGAGCCTTCGACCTTCTATGGTCTGCTCAAGTGTTGCAAGCTCTTTAAAGTTTGGAGCATAGGGCAACTCAGGTGTGCTTTCTAGCATGTATCCTGCATACTCAGGATGAAGTATGGTATTTGTGCATGTGCTGCTATCTAAAAGGTGTTCTGAACCTAGCAGAAGAATCCAGTTCCCATTTACCTTGACTATAAGGTGCTGCTCTAGCTCTTCACCCCAAAGAAACTCTTTTGCCTTGGGAGCAACTTGTTTTTTGTATACTTGAATAAAATGACTTATTCCATTTCTTTTTATTTCTGATGAATGTGCAGATGTTTCTTCCCATGTTAGAATTTTGCTCTCCTTCAGTAACCCCATATAAACTTGAAAAAACTTTTTAATATTTATATATTTGAATACGAATCTGTTTACATACATATCATGTATATTGTGTATGTAACTATGCACTGACAAAACATTTTAGAGTTTTTTGCAATTCTTATCATCTAGGAATAAAAATAGTAAAGTAAAAATTTTAGCAGATTCTGGCTATATAGAGAAGTGGGTCGAGTGTAACATCCTTAATACATAGCAGTTAGTATTCTTAAGGTTACAGTGTCTTTAATATAAAGTCATTTTAGAAGAACCTTAATTGCAGGCGTGTATCAAGAAAGAGGCAAAACAAATAAAGCATTTCTATGATATTAAAGAGGAGTCTTTTTGATCTTTATGGTTTTTGCCTGTTCTGCACATAATGCACTAAAATTTTACATAAAGAGCGAATCTATTGCATATATTTAGCGTATTGTTGTAGTAAGAGAGGCATAGTATACCTTTTTCAAGTATTTAACACATAGGATTGAGCATGCTGTACACAAATACTTGGCATTTAATAAAGCATTAGTCAAGTTGTTTACACAAAGGTATGTATTTTATTTTTATATTTTAAACACATTTCTGTGGAATTTACGTATATACATTTTTTACTGTAGACATGTAATGTGAAGTATATTATTTTTGCACTTCTAAAAAAGAGTAGTTTGAATAAAAGGTATATAATAGAGAAATACAGTGTAGTTATTGGTTTATTTGTTATCACTTGCGGATGGTCTGCAGGAGCTCATCCTTGCTCCATTTATCCACCGTATACATTCTAGACTTTATAAGCAGCAGCCAGCGAAGGAATTCATCTGGATTGGAGGTTTTATAGGAGAGCTTGCTGTTATATACATCTTGTACAAAAAACTCAAAGGTTTTTATCTTCTCTTTAATAAACATGCCTATGTTTATGTTCTTTAAGATCAGCTCTGCAGGAGAACCATTTGTAATGTTGACTATATCTATCTCTTTGTGTAGATAGATGTGCTTTGAGGGCTTTTGCATGCATCTTAGGAATGTCTTGTTGCTCTTTGCTATAATAAACAGCTTGGCAAGAGTTATGTCCACGCTGACAACAGTCTCAGTCCCCTTCTTTTTATCTGCTATCCGAGTTTCGAGGATTGTTCCATCAAGCTTGAGTTCAGACTTATACTTTTTCTTGTCCATCAAAACATCTATTGTGCCCACTACAGTTGCATACTTAAAGTCATCCGGCGATTTGACATCTTCCACATTAAGAGTGTATTTTGGAATAGAGTTATCTGGGACAAAGGGAGTCGCTGTTCCATTTGGGCTAATCGTGACAATTTCTTCCTCATTACGAACAGAAATAGTCTCCTCCATCTCCTCTGTGGTAATCCCATTGCGGATAGTTTCTGTTATTTTGAGCCTTCTTTCCTCTATCTTTCTTCTAAGTTTCTGCAAATTGGTCCTGTAAAGGTCTATGGCACTTCCCTCCATGTGCTCTTTCTCTGTGTTTCTATACAGACAGAGAAGTGTCTGCGAGTCTGTGCTTTCGTTTCTAAATCTGTTCTTCATAGCATTGTATCGAACCACGCCTGAGTCTTCCAATATGCTATTTATAATATCCAAATTCTTTTTGCATTCTTGCATTAAGGGGGTATCTATCCTCCAGCTATATAGCCTATCATTGGAGGCAAGCTTCAAAGTTTTTTATTGGCTAGTCTTCCATCTGCAATTGTATAGGCTACTCAGAAAAGAAAGCACGCTTGAAAGCCAATCACTAGAAACTTTACTTCCGCAATAAGCCAGCGCTAGAATGCAAAAACTAGCAGGCAGGCATACCCTCTATACTTTTATCTTAATGAAAGTTTGCCTTTTAGTTTATAGCAGAATTTATGGCTTGCAGGGAAAGTAATGCAGACAGATATTTTCTGAGTATTAAATAGGTTTGGCTGAAACACCACATAGCATACGATGAGAAGCTAAGCACCGGTTACAGTCAATTACATGTATTATTTTGATTAGGCTGCTCTTTGTGCATAGGAAATATTTTACTATTTCAGTAGAGACTGCATTACCAAATATGCATGCTTTAGCTTCATGTATTCTTGCATTGCTTCCTGATTAATTGACGGAGAGCTATTAAACCAGCTGTTTATGTTCTCTTCTATTTGCTGTATTTCGGGATTTGCCAAATGCATGTGTTCTTTCCACTTAAGAACTATTCTGAGATCATTCTTGTAGATAAGATACGAGATAATCTCTTGCATTTCTTTCGGAAGTGGTTCAGCGGAAAGGGATTCAATAATGGTATATGACATTTCAACCTTGAGAAGCGTGTCATCTTCGCAAAGCGGGAAGATTGAGCTGTCAAACTGGAGAGTGTACAAAAAGTATGTTATCTTTAGATAAAAAATTCCTATTTGAAGGCTGCAGTTTTTGTCTATTTGCATCTCATACCAGTTGTTAATCCGCTTAAACATACAAGCAAGCAAGTCTCTTCTCATTCCAGGCGTTTGCAGTTTCTTTACCTCATCGGAGATCCATGAATAGTCGGTTTCTTCCTTTTGGGCACCTTTTTTTTGCAGCGCCTGATCAAGTATTTGTTTAACTGCGCACTTGGCTCGCCGAGGCACTGACGTGTGTATGTCCTGTTTTTTTCCCATAAAATTTAAAAGTTTCAAGTGAAGGCACTTTAGTATGAAAAATATTCTAGACAGTGGAAATGGAAAGAAGTGCCCGCCAAAGAGATATTTTCCAATACACCAAGAGGCCTGCCAGCCAGATGCTATGTACTGCACTGGGAAGGGGAGGTAAAAAGTGGCTGTGCGTATGCATATGCTCAGCGTCAATGGTTATATCCATAAAGAAATAGACATTTATTAATTAATGGCCTTCAAAGTAGCTTCGAATAATATCTTCAGCTTTGCTTGCGATAGAGTAGTTAGTTGCTGCCTGCAGCTCTTCAATGTACTCCAGCAAATCGCAGCTTTCAATCTGGGCTGCAATTATATTATCGCCACCCACAGACTCGCACTCAGCCCAGCTTAGAAGACTTTTAACCGCGTCAAGAATAACTGAAACTAGCTTAGTGTCATTCATGACACTGGGAAGGAACTTTGAGAATGCAATAATTGCGCCTGCTTCACCTATTTCCTTTGAGTGATCAGTTCCTTCGCCAACCTGAATTGTTGCATTGCAGATCGCCCAGCATGCCTCAGTTCGAACGAGATTGTCAGCGGTCTTCATTGCGTTGACCAGCACCTCCAAAAATCCGTGCTTTATCACTTCATCCACCTGCTCAGGAGTTCCTGCAGTTATGTTGGAGATAAGCCAGCAGATCTCCTTCTTCACTCTAGCAGCCTTTCTATTCTCAAAGGGGAGTGCGAAAAGCCCTTTTAGGGTGCTTAGGATGCCCAGCCCAAGCACATAGTCTGTCTGCTCATCTTCGTACGTTGCTATATTTCCTAGTATACGGATGATGGGAGAAAGCGTCTGCTCTTTCATATGCAGCTGCATGGTATCCCCCTGAATGGCGGCCGTGTAGTATGCGGACAAGCGAGCTGCACAGTCCGCCACAATACCAGTGGAGATCACCATATCTGCGTGGTTTTTTCCAGCATCGCACATATAGCTTAGTGCCCAGTATGCATCGACCATGATATCAGTATCATCTATACCAACCAGCTTAATTATGGCAGGAAGGCACTTCTCTGTGTGGGATATGTACGGAGGGGGGTTTCGCCCTCTATTCATATTGCTGAGTGCCCAGGCGAGGTTTCGCAGAAGAGGAATGTTGAGCTCTTCTTTCTCCATCTCCTTGTTTATTATGTATACCATAGGATCAGCCGCATTTGCAGAAATGGCAAAGTCTCTTGCTACCTCGCAGTCCCCTGCAATATTGCTAATACCCCATATTGCCTGATCCTGGAGCATGAGATTGTCAATGTACATCATCTTAACCAGATTAGGAAGTGCTCCGGCTTTGACTGCTGCCATGGTTTGGGTTGTGTTTCCAGATGCAATGTTTGTGATCACCCACGCAGACTCGTGCATAATTCGCACAGCGAGATCTTCAGGCATTGTTGTGTATATTGGGTTGTCTGGGTTTATTAGCTTTGAAAAAATAGGCGTAAGGCCATTCATTACTACAGTGTCAATTGGAGGGCATTTGGCTGCGCTTAGAAGCCGTCTAAATTCGGTTACACCCTTAATAATGTCATTTGGGTCCTTCGAGTTTACCTGCTCCACAAGTATGTTAATCTTGCTAGTGCTTTCCTCCCCTGCAGATATCAGCGATCGCTTTTTCTGCAGCATGCCATCCCTTTTCTGGGTCCTTAGTTCTATGGCGTTGCTAGTTCGGGTTTCCCTTTCTGATCTAGCCCCGCGCCCACTATTCTTGTATCCATGGTCCATGAGTGGATAAAACTAAAAGAAAAATATTTAAATAGAATCTGGTAAATTGATGATTAACTGCTAAAAACAGACAGCAGGAAACAAATGGCTAGTGCATAGGGCACACATAGGCATATCTAATAACTATATTTCTGTGTCAGCACATAAGCCAGCATCTCTGCACTTGCTTGAGCCATGAAAATAAATAGTTTAAAATCCAATATTCTATAGTATTATATTCAAAGAAAGGAAGTTGCAGTTTGATTCGGGTTATATCTGCAGTGCCGAACCCGAATTTCTAGACAGAATGCAGCCGCCTATTAAATACACATCATATATAGTATTGAAGAGTGCAGAGAGAGTGGTTGCTGCGTATGTATTTGCATTTTTCTTTTAGGCTCTAACCCACTAAATATAGCTAGAAGTTAAAGGCAGAAAGGCAAGCACAAAAATGCAGGATTTTCATAGTATGTGTGCAAAGCAATACGTATTTATAGAAGCAAAGAAGTATTTCACAAAATATGTCTGCATAGAAGATACCTAGCGGGCTTTGTACATTACACTCCTAAAAGTTTGTGTACTATCTATGTCCATTCTTGTAAATTCTGTCTTTATAATCTATAAACAATTATAAGGTGAAATTCGTGTTGTATTTACATTTGGCAAATCTTTAATAATTAATTTAATATTTACACACATATTATTTAAATGAAGGCCGATGCGACGGATTACTATTTAAAAAAAACAATCTCAAACAAGCTTATTACCATAATATTGATAATAGCAACTGTTATTGTGCTGCATATTGCGTTTAATTGTATTATTTTTTTCATTGATTTTGATGATAATATTAGCCTTATATATCTTGAAATAGGCTCAGAGATTATTTCGCATCAAAACATAACCATACTATACTCTCTTATCATCATACAGGGGCTTCTTAAAAGAGATATATTTGAGATATTTTTTGCAACTCTTGTGCTAACTATAACAAGTCTTATTTACATATCTGGAATGTTCACCCTGACATTTGAAGCTGTTACTGTACTCTATGTGATAAACAGCGTATCCATAGTTTTGGGAGGGATAGTTCTTATTTTCATACTGTGCTTTACATATGAGCTGCGGTCAGACATTGAGTGGTTTTACTACAAGTCGTTTGGGCCTGGGTACAACGCAAGAATAGCAATTGAGAGAACAACAGACACCTTCTTCAAGCTAACAATTCAAGTATTCCTATCCATGATAGTCCAGAATTACTACTTCTCAGACAATAGAATCTTCATTATATTCGAAATGTTTATGTATGCGATTTTGCTTTTTTCAAATGCCCTTGAACACTCTGTCAAGAAATTCAATATATACCTCCGATCATTGACCTTAATATCAGCACTTGTGCTTTGTATATTTCACATCATGCAGTTTGTTGACATAGACGTATCTGAGGATGGGTTTTCAAGTATAATTAAACACAGCACACGGACACTTGCAGTGCACCAGATTTTAAAACTGTGCCTTCAAATGGCGCTGTTAGGAATATATGCGATTCTTTTGATTGTACACACTCTGTGTCAGGTAAATGGGTGGGGGCTTCGGGTTGATGTGGATTCGAAGGAAAGAAAGCGATTTTTTATTTAGCATTCAAAGTATTGCATTTGGTACTTCTGTAATTCCTCATGTGTAGTGGGCATGGCCTGGATCAGTGTTCATAGAAAAAGAGATAATTTTACTGAATTTCTGCATGAAAGAGTTTATCAGACTGACATAAATGCTAAAGAGACTGCACATACATGATAAAAAAGCAATTATTAGTAGAAATATTTTGGAATCTTCCTTAAGATTCTATATAGTTAGGAAATGGCCAGTTCCTGATTCATTAGATCCAGTTAAAAATCTGTCTATCTTCAAAAAGCATATAAGATATATACGTGTTTGTGCAGCAGTCTAGAGAGGCGGAAAATGTTTAAACGCAGGGCATGCCAAATCGACAGAAAATACCTGTCTGCATTTACTTTGAGGATGTATTCTAGATGTATCCAAAGCCACTAGATTACATAATGTAAAACACACAAAGAGCAGAGCCAGAAATATATAAATAAAAGAGGCCTTATAGAAATTAGACATTAGAATTCACCATAGAAAAGCCACTTAAAAGCCATTTTCGTAGAGTCTTCTTACAGACATCTAGATTAGCAAACGCAAGCACGCAATAAATGTGCAGGCCTATATTTAAAATTCGAAAAATCTTTAATAATTAATTGACTATTTACATATATTTTTTGGATGTATGATAATGCGACAGATTACTATTTGAAAAAAACAGTCTCAAATAAGCTAATTGCAACCGTTTTCTATGTAGCAGCATGCACCCTCGTATATATAGTTGTAAGTTCAATCATTTTTTTTCATGATCTTGATAAAACCATTGATCTTTTGGGTGATTATGTAGGAATTGACATCATCTCGCAGCTGAATCTTTCCATGTTGTATACTCTTATAATCATGCAGGGTTTGCTAGAGAGAGACATTTTCCAAATATCTATAGCCACCATTATAGTGTGCATCACAAATGTTTTCAATCTGATTGGATCGCTTTGGCTAAGATTTGAAGTCTTCACCATACTCTACATGGCAAACAACATATATATCATAACAAGCGGAATTCTTCTTATTTATATAGTCTGCTTTACATCTGTGCTGCGGGCTGACCTTGGGTGGTTTTACTACAAGTCGTTTGGGCCTGGATACAACATGAGAAATGCCATTGAGAGAACAACGTACACCTTCTTTAAGCTGAACATCCAGCTGTTCATATCGGTCTTGGTTCGAAAGTACTATCTGGAGAAAAGTGTTTATTTTCTGCTGGGTGAGATTGCTTTGTACATGCTCGTTATTTTTATAATCGTTATAGAGGTTGGAACAAAAAAATTTAACATATGGCTTAGATTGCTTCTTATAATTATACTACTTGTCATAACCACCTATTATATTACAGAAATAACAAATTACAAAATATTTCTAAATAGCCCAGAATATCCGAATCTAGTTAATAATGTGTCTTTTGTGACCTTCCAGTTGATTAGGCTTGGGATACAGATTGCGCTGATGGGCATATACATATTCTTTTTATTTATTTACACAATATACCAGATAAATGGATGGGGAAAGAATGCTGCCATAGATATAAAAAAGAGGCGAACAATACGCTAGTGCACAAACACTGTGCAGTTGCGCCCATCCATATGGCTGGAATAAGTGCAGCATAGAGCTTCAGATGTTCTGGAAAATCACAGGCATGAAAATGGATGCACGTTTGCATGCAGGGCCATGCTATAATATAGAGTATATCCAGGCCATTCGTTCACACTTTTGTTTGGTGTATAGTAGCACACTGGGTATAGAGTAAATAAAAAGGGCCTAAATGTCATAGCGCTGTTTTTTTAGAGGGCGTATGTAGCATGTAGGGGGCAGAAATGTGGAAACCTCCGATTGCTTGCACTTCGGGGCTGTGTAGTCAAGTATCAGCTCGCGCACAGCATATCCTATCCAGAGCGTGATGAAAAACCCAAATGTGTGGATAAGGCATTCAATTAGAAACTTTACTATGTCTCTATTCAAATACATAAAAAGAAAAGACTAAAAATAATCCATTGCATATAAGCATTCCAAATACACAGAAGTATATTCTAAAAGAGAAGAATCCATAAATAGAAGATATTAAAATTTATTTATGCAAAAACCAGACAGCTTCCATCCTTCTTCTACAGGAAAAGGAAGAAAGTCTATGCCAATTCTTCGGGACATTCTTTACTGCACAGCGCTAGCAGGAAAGGCGCTGATACAGGACGAGTTCTCTTCTTGTTTTCAGCAGAAGGAGACAAAAACAGAATTCACATTTGCATACGGATGGAGCATGTTTTGCCGGTACAGCCTGATTCTTCCAATTCGGCTGCCTCTCACGCTGGCCATACTTTTGTTCTATTCAGCTGCCATCATAGTATCGCGTGTGGTGCTTCGGGGGATGGGAAGTGATTTTCTTCTTACGCATGCATGCAAAAGCCTGCTCTGGGCAATGGGCGTGCGGATAAAGCACTATGGAACAAAAAAAAGGCCGCACTTGCCGCACATATACGTAGCAAACCACACCACATATATGGACTATCTAATTTTGAGCAGCCATAAGTTTGCGCACTCTGTTATTGCCCAGAGGCAGGGAGGGTTTATGTCAATGCTTTTAAAATTAGTGAGTGGCTCTGTGCAGTTTGAAAGAAAGATAAAAGCAAACAGGCACGAGGTAAAGGAGGAGATACGAAAGCTAACCCAGAAGGCATCTATTATTGTGTTCCCTGAAGGAACCTGTGTCAACAATGAGTACACAGTTATGTTCCAAAAGGGGGCATTTGAGCTAGGGGTGCCTGTATATCCTGCTGCAATAAAGTATAACAAAAGCCTTGGAGACCCATACTGGAACACAAGAAAGCAGTCATTCACAAAGCACTTCATATACATTATAACAAGATGGCACACAGAAGTGTCTGTCTGGTGGCAAGACGCCGTGGAGCTGCAAGAAAACGAGAATGCGTCTGAGTTTGCGACTCGAGTCAAAAAAATCATATCGGAAAAAGCAGGGCTGAAGAATCTTGTGTGGAATGGATATCTAAAACACTGCAAAAGTCCAGAAGAAATGAAGGAAATAAAACAGTGGGGCGACCAGCTGACCCCTACGCTTTTGCCTGCCTCAGATAGAGAATAGAATGAATGTTTGCATCTCTTCAGTGCACTGCTAGTTAGAGTATTTGGCAGTATAGAGTAGAGCCCATATAGAGAAATGCAGCACAAGTTATATAGATGCGCTAGAAACCTATCTAATCATTAGTGGGAGTATCTTTCTGTAATAGAAAATAAATCAAGTGTTTTATTATACTGTGTCTGGCATGTGCTCTTTACTTTCAAATAAAACACATTTAGCATAGCATATAAATGCGAAAAGAGATGTAACTTTATTTACTCAGCTGCAAAGAACAGAGAGGCAGGAAAAGTTGCAATGCAGCTTAAGTCTTTGTTAATTTTACTGCACGTGTATAATAATAGTAGGGCTTGCTGTGCATCCGAGTCCCATATAGCACTTTTCATACAGTACTCACAATATGAACAATACAGCCTGAATTCATCTGCCTCTCACTTTGCAGATTGTTGCGGATTTATTGCAGCTGCTGTTTAGTCGTTGTAAAAATAGAATGCAACTCTGCAAGATGTGAATTGTTAAGAAACTATTCCCTGCGTATTCACTGCCTTTTTCTTTGGCAGCTATTGAGCATTTTTATTAATTAAGCACTGCTGATGGGTTTAAAAAAGAATTTGCTTTTTAGGAAAAGGATATGCATGCCAGGCTAATGAGCAAAAACTTAAACAGCCTTCATATTTTTGCAACAGTTACAGTGTATTATGTTTAGACTAGGCCTCATTTAGATAGCCCTTTCTGCCCGAAACATTTCTCTCTGAAACACAAACTGCACCAATGCGCTGCTATCAGCAATAAAGGCAGAGCTGCCACCAATAAAACTGCGTTAGAAGATATATATAGGCAGGCTCGGTTTTTTGCATGAAATGGTCAAGCTTTTTAAGGTTTCTAGGAATATCCTCAGGAGTTGGAGAGACGTATCCAGATGCAAACTATGTTGGAACTCTTGACAAGAAAGAAGTAACTATCTACAACACATCGCAGCCAACGTATAGGCTAGTGTACGACCACCATGTGCAGGGAATTCGCTTCTTGAATCTGCAGGCAATAAAAAAGAACAAAAAACACATAAATGCAATCATGGTGCTATCCAAGACAAGCGGAACCGATAGATACAAGATTCTTATTAAGCCAGGAGACAGGCGTGCATCCCTCAGCGACAAAACCCAGAAGCTTTTGTGTGTGGTAAAGAGCGACTATAAGGTTACCGCCTGCAAGGCCGACAGCAGTTCAAGCTCATACACAATGGAGTGGAAAATAACCCCGTTTGTGAATGGATACAAAATTCAGGACGTTGATACGGAGTCATGTCTTGTGAGAGAAACAGACAATGGGATTCTTAGCATTGTGTCATGCAGCAAGTCCACACCAGAGCACCGGTTTGACATGCTGGAGGTTGCTGACGACCCGTACAAGCATTTATATCTAAGCGGCAGCCAGCTGCTTGCGTATGAAATGCAGGGCAGCGGAGGAGCAGGCGGATCTCTACCAGACTGGATGATGAACGGTCTAGCAGGAGGGGGGACTCACGAGTCGCCGAATAACGATGGAAGCGGAGGTGGAAATGGTGGGTGGAATTCTCCATACCACCATGACGGATACGGCCAGAATGGAAACCCGAATGATCCAAGCAGCATGCAGCCGTACTACGGATACAACAGACATCCATGGAATGGGCCATTTGGTCCGCCTCATGGTCTATCTGGCCCAAACAACCAGTATTGGCCATCAAACAATGGATGTGCTCCCGGAGGAAACAATGGAGGATACAACCCAAACGGTAATGGCGGATATGGCCCAGGCAGTAACGGAGGATATAGACCAGGTGGACATAATGGCGGTTATAATCCAAACGGACATAATGGCGGGTATGGACCAGGCGGTAATGGAGGATATAACCCAAATGGTAATGGTGGATATGGACCAGGCGGTAGTGGAGGATATAATCCAAATGGCAATGGCGGGTATGGACCAGGTGGAAACAATGGCGGCTACAACCCAAACGGTAATGGTGGATATGGACCAGGCGGTAGTGGAGGATATAACCCAAATGGTAATGGTGGATATGGCGGCTACAATCCAAATGGTAACGGAGGATATGGCCCTGGCGGACATAATGGTGGATATGGTCCTGGCGGCAATGGAGGACATAATAATGGCTATGGCAATGGAAATAACAATGGTTATGGCCCTGGCAATGGCGGTGGTTATGGCCCTGGCGGGCATAATGGCGGATATAATCCGAATGGTAACGGTATGGCCGGCATGTTTAATAGAAGAAGTGCAGTAATAGATCTGCACGATCTGGGAAATAATATTGGAATGCTGAAAAACATAGTAAAAACACTCAAAACATTTTGCAATGAATCTTTTAGCGATCTTGGCGTCTGTTCTCCATCTAACAACATCTCAAACATGGACCCTGAGCAGCTACGGAATCTTATAAAGCAGCACATGCCGCAAACAAACAGCATAGATTATCCCCATTCAGACAGAAATCATTCACGCATGCAAGACAGGGACAGTGCACACCATTATAAAGATATCCAGTATCGGGATGGCCAACCAGACTATCACAGACCGCATGAAAGGCTTCCCAGAGGTGCACATCATGCAGGACATCCCATCTATCCTGCAGATGAAAGGGACCCACCGCACTATAGACACACACACCACACCTCTCCAAGGCCCAGAGGACCCTATATGTCTGGCCACTACCAAGACGACGACTACGAAGAAAATATAATTCGAGAAAAAAGAAGTGCAGACGGAAGAAGAAGGCCTAGTTTAAAGCGTGATCGAAATGGGAAAACCCTAGAGTGCTATCCCCTGGATGACTTAGATGGCAGGCCTGCAAGTGCTCATAGACATATATCAGACAACTCTGAAGGCAGAAAGCACTATAGAGATGATGACTTTGAGGACATGTATGATGAAAGACACCATACGAGAAGAGCCCATGCAGTGCCTACCTACAAACACCACAGACCCCAGTACTACTAATCTAGAATATGACCACAAACACATTCCATAGCATAGTATATCTTCCTTTACAAACCAAATTTACTCCAAATTGAACTCCATAATACTGAATTACAGTTCTTCAATAAATGTATTGTCTATTATAAATGTATTTGCGTTTTTGCATTCTTTAGTGCGATTTTCCTTTGGCATAGCAGTTTATGCCGGATTTCCATGAAGTACTTCATTTTGTAAAAACTCTTTTTGCATATGATTTATTGCAGTTGTTTTGTCTTTCGCCATAGGTAGTGCTGCCAAAAAGATAATTAAAGAAAAGCAGAAAAGAAAACTTGTTTATTTCAGCACGCACACTTCAGGTTATTTGTAAACGGAAGAACTAAAGTGAACGACAAAAGATGCGCATGCACAGCACTCCAAGGAAGCATTTGCATTTAAGGAGATAGATTCACATACTTGAATCTTGCAGTAATAATATGGCAAAGACTCTAAATTTGCAACTAAAATTCCTTTAGAAGGAAAATTATGTGAAGTAATAGTGCGCATTGAATTTTAAATAATATTTATTTTCATTGGAAGGCACTAATTTGCTTACTCTGTTATATGCATGGATTGTCAATGCATACTGCATAGCTAAGATATTTTAGTTATATTTATGCAAAACCACAGAATATGATGTAGCTCTGTGCCTATGCACCTGCTATTTTAAATCAGTTTTGATAGTGGTGACAGTACACTTCTTCTGCTAGATTGTTGAGTTTTCTGTTTAACAGGCCAGAGTGTGGGTGTTTGAAGATACCTACCATAATTGGATAGAAATCTGAAACAAATGTTTGCAAATCCATACACAAATATTGAAGAAAGCGCATTCAGAACATGAAGTATAGAAGACACGCGAGCAGAGCTCTTTTTGTTGCGCTGCTAATGGTTGCTAAGTCGCTTGCAGTGCTGGAGAACGTTATGATCGAGCCTGCAATGTACCAGAGAGATAGGTACATATCAGCAGACGAGTTCAAGCTAGTGAAATATCAAAAAGACAGTGAGCACAGAGAGTCATATGGAAATAACCCGAATGAGATAAATAACCCAATTGACGTTGAGACCATGGTCTTTACAATGGAGGACATGTCCAAACTATATGATAAAAGTGGAAGTGATGGAAAGCAAGCGCAGATATTTACATTCCAGAACAATGAGCAAGAGTACATGACCGGCATAAAAGGCCAGTATGTATCAATGGGGGCAAAGCTTCCAAATAACTCAAATGCACAGCTGTGGCACTTGATTTTTATAAGAAAAGACAACCAGTATATGTTTATGTCAATGGCAGGCACAAATATGTGTTTAACAATAGTCCCTATGCAGGCAACAACCAACCCACACCAGCCATCAGAAACATACATTGGGCTAAACCTAAAGCTAACCAAATGTGATCTCTTAAAGCCAGAGCAGAGATATGTAATAAAGAAAATTCACCCCATAAAAGATGACACTCCTGAAATTGACGGAGCGTCTGGAATGGAGGGTCTTGACACCATAAACAAGCAGAACATCGCCATGAATGACCAAATGTCCCGAAATATGGTAACAATTACTGAAATGCTTCGTGCCATGAGCCAGTCCTTAATACACATACAGGAAAAGCTATTTGGCCACCCAACCACGCAATTTCCTCCTGTGTTATTAGATACTGCAGGCAATCCTGTGGCTCATAATGGAGTTTATGTGAGTTATCCAAATACTCTAGAAGCACCTGCAAATCATATGTATGGTAAACAGCCACCTCTGTACGACCCAGCTGCAGGACAGCTTTCTCCCTGGAAAGCTCCAAATAGCTACCCAGGCCAGCAGCCACCTCCATACTCTGCACACCCTTCCCAGACAAACCCACTAGGTGATGTGTCTACCTATCCAAGCCAGCAGCCACCATCATATAACAACAGTCTAGCAAGTCCTTTGAATAGACCAGTAGGAGAAGTCCCTCCATACTCATCTCTTCCATCGCAGAATTCTTCATTCGGAGGAGCACCTGCCTATCCAGGAACGCAGCCACCGCCGTATTCTGCGCTGCCATCATATAACAGTGTGCCAGAGAACACTTTAAATAGGCCATTGGGAGAACAGCCTCCATACTCTGGAGGCCCAGGATATGCACCAGCTAAGGGCATGTATGTTCCTTCTCCTACCCAGTCATACATTCCGCCTCCTAACTGGAATTCAGCTGCGCCGTCTTTTCCACCTGCCAATAACTCAGTTGATATGTACCCAAGAAACCCGAAACCAGGCAATCCGACAGTGCATTCCCTGATTAAATAGTGATGCATAATATAAAAGCACCCAAAATGCAAGCTAGCTATACTCTACTGCAAAGAAACTGCGCAGCCTAAATAGAAATATAGCCGACAGGTTGCACCGCTAATAAATCCTATTACATTCTATATATAAACCTTGCAAAAAGACCCATTTCTGTACTTAGAATATCTGGGATCTGGCCTACCTGTGTAATACACTAGTAATTGCACTGGATGTGATTATTCTTAGTATAATGGCTTTTTAGGCGCCCATACACATCTTATACAAAAGTCTTTATCTAAAAGATCCAAACTATTTCTCTATCTCATATTTACTTGAGTGCATGCACATGCAGAATAAATAAAACAAGTATATCCTAAAAAGCTGCAATTATTAAGCTTTAAGTGCACGGAAAGCACTCGTATATGTATCTATACTAAAGGCTATAGTATGCAACATCCTATTTTCTTGTTTATTATTTTCCCTGATATTTAGCTGCATTTATTTCTTACATAATAAAGCAGGCACATATCTGCGCTCAATCATAATTATAGCTAATTTTTATGCAAAAATATTCTAGAAATTAAAGTATAGGAGAGAAGGCAGCTGTACACTTAGAAAATTTTAAAATATTTGCGCGCACTTATACGCTCTCTGTATATTGACTAGCTGATTTTGGGGAACAGATTCTCTACTAGCACCTGCTTTTCTGGGCACAGCCAATAGATTAGAGGGCAGGGCTGCGCTGTTTCAAAAAGAAGGGTCTAAAGATGTTTCATGCAGATTTATCAGATATGCGAGCCAGATTAAGCAATGCAGTGTTGCACATACTGTACTCTATCACCCCGCAAGAGCAAGTAGAAAATATCAACATATGGAGATACACACAGCCAAATGAGTTTCTTACATGGGACCCATATGATGATAGCGTAAACTCATTCAAGATACAGATGAAAGAAGAGAGCAACCCTCCATACACCTTCCAGATGCGGTACTTTGCAGAGCCCCAGGAGAACCCGATTAAAGACCATCTTCCAGTCAATATATGGACAAGCGGAAGACAGTCCCTTGGTCTGTGCAACCAGACCATCCAGCCTATTTCATATAATGATGCAGCGCAGTGCACCTCCCAGTGGGTTTTTGCTGCTAGAGAAAGTGGCGGGTTTTACATCAAGCCGTACCACAATGAGAATTTGTGCATAAACAATTTCCATGAGAATCGCGTCCGAATTGAGAAGTGTCAGCCAGACATTCCATCAATGGCATTTTTATACGGCACGCGCCCTATGCGCACGCGCTTTCTTCTTCTAAGCAGACTTCTGGGTATGGGCATTGAAAAAGGCCAACTTTTGAAAAATGATATAAGCAATATCATATCAACAGGAAGGTATATGTATGAACCTGCACTGATCAATGATGAACTTCTTGATGAAGGCACTCTTGCTGCAAGCCTGCCCTATCAAGCTAGGTACAGCAGCAATGTCTTGCTTTCTGCTTATAGTAGGAGAGAAAGCAATCCATATGCACACCCCATAAGCGCAGATCCAGGAACTCTTCCATCTGCATATGTTCCGCGTATAAAGCGAAACCATAGGAGACGCATATCTCGCAGTGGTTCGGGTCAAAGAAAAAAGGCGCCTATACGCCGGTATGAAACAGAGCGAAAAAGGCGGCCTAAAACTGACCCTTTTTTTGCGCATAGCACAGAAGGCTTAAACACGCGTGCGTTAGATCGTATGAGTAGAATTCTCAGTATGAAAAGCCCATACAAGGCAATAAGAAACGCACTTGATGAGCTTACTCCGCTCAAGACTGTAGATAGATTTGAAGGCATGCCTGCAAGCATCCCCAAACCACAAGAAGCTGTGCTAGAGTGCAATAAAATAGAGCTAGAGCCAGACTATATGATGGATGACATGGAATAGACCTTTTCCTTTCATAACTACCATCCATATATGTTGTGTGATTTAAACTTTCTTCTGCTAAATACACGCACTTTTCACTTCTTTGCACTAAGATTATACAATTAGCTACAAACACCATAAAGCCTAAAGGCAGTAATATAGACTAATTTATAGTCACATATAGCGCATAAGTGTGAGCTCTTTATAGCATGAATGTATCTGCAGCTAGAAGAAACCAAGTAATTTGCACCGGGTTATATGTTTTGCCAGATTCTTCTTCACATAATCTCTTTTTCTTTGAAACTGCGTACTATGCAGGGTTTTTATAGTTTTGCATAGAAAAGAACGATCTGAAAGAAATTCTAACTACAACGCACCAGAGCCCACAGATATACACGGTTTGCTATGCCGCCATTAACCACCTAAGTCCCGAAATACGAAACACTCTGAAATAGTTTCCATAAACTTACCTTTTTAGCTGAAAAGTGCTCTGCGCTGCACAGAAAATAAAGTAGCCATGAAAGTACTCTTTAGAGCATGCAAGCCATATGTGTTTAACTCTATGTAACCTAAATTAACAAAAGTGTAAAATGTACGATATACAATAACAGAATATTAAGAGTAGTGAAAATATTCTTTAAATTACACTATACTCGCATATGCTGGGTTTTTTATTATTAGAAATTTCATACGAAGAATAAATAACTATTAATACTCAGGTTTATTTTACGTAATTACCAGATGAACTTTAAATCTAAGGCGCCTTCCAACTAGAATTCTTCTTCTGTTTGCCTAACTTGCGAAGCTTCTTCTGAATAGTTGATTTGCTGGCTCCCATTTGCTTTGCAAGTATATCGCATGTAGCCTCTGGATTGAAATTAATCAACTCTTCCAGCTTGAATGCACTGACTTTGGAAGGCCTTCCTGTCCTGGTTTTATCCGACAAGGAAAGATCTCCAGATGAAAACTTCAAGAACCACCTTTTCACTGTTGCTAATGAAATTGTACTGCTTGGGTAGCTGGATTGAATGTTCTGCAGGGCCTCCTGCATAGTTCTTCCGCATTTGAATTCATAGAGAAGTATCGACCTTATAGTTTCTTTTGTCATACTGAATCAACCAACAAATTAATCTTTATTTTACTATAAGTCTTTAAGAAAGTCCTATTTAATAGCAAGTACACGCAAATAAATATGAGCTATTTTTTGTACTCATAAAAATTGCATGCATATTAGTCTTCTGAATTATACAGTCTAAGCCATAGGTCTCGTTGAATGGTGGTAAGTAGTAGTGGTAGAAGATTGTACAGGAGCAGTTTCTGGCTCAGAAGGAGGAGCTGGCGCTGGCGCTGGCTCAGTTTCTGATGCAGGTGCTGGCGCAGGTGTTGGTGCAGATGCTGGCTCAGGCGCTGGCTCGGGTGCTGGCGCAGGTGCTGTCTCAGATTCAAGAGGAGGAGCAGAAGGAGTAGCTGGCGCAGGTGCGTAGGCAGGCTCGTGGGTAGGCCTATTAGTCGGTGCATGCGCGGGCTGTGGTGCTGGTGAAGGTCTATGCGCTGGTGCTGGTGCTGGTGCCGGTGCATAAGATGGCTGATTTTCTTGATTTGAGTATGATGGATTTGAGTACGATGGATTTGATGGAGGCTGCTGGTACTCTTGTTTGGGTTGATTCTTTGGAACATGTTGGTCCTCAGGTTTTGTATTTGGATTTGTAGGATCTTTGTTTTTACAGTTTTCTTCGCAGTACTTACTATTAACAAGTAGATACTCTCCATTTGAAGGATCTGGAATAGAGCGGTTGCATGGCGCGCATCCTCTAAAGTAGTATGGTGATATTCCCTTTTTAATATATATTGGATCTGGCGATGGAATGTCTTGTTTATAAAATTTGAATAACTGCTTTGTGATTACTCTGCTGGTTTCCTGCCAGCATATGGATAGTTTTAGCAGCTGATTTCTGTCTGGGGTTATGCACAACCCATTGAACTTAAGCTTAAAATATTCTGGGTAGTTCTTAGAGATCTCTATCTCAAAGTACTGTCCTGGGTTTCTTTCATCGTATGGGAATTTTCCAACAATACCAAGTGGCGATACAGCGAGAACCTCTTCAGACGAACTTCCTGCACCTTTTTGGTTTTTCTTCGTTTGAGGAGCTACTTTTAAGTTGTATAACTCAGCATCCTTTATTGGCTGGAATAGAATCACATTAAGCTTTATGTCTTTTTCTCTTCCAATCACCACAAGGTTTCCCATTGGAATACCTCCAAACACTTTTGGGGTTGAGACAAACCCATATGACCCATAATTGTATAAAGGCCCCTGTTGAGGAAGCCCTGTGGCTGAGTATGGCTTTTGCTTTTCAGAGTATCCATGGACGTGGAATGATTCTAAAAAAGAAAGAACTAACAGTGTGATAACGAGCATGCGTGTTTTATATAAAATTCATCGATATAAAATCACAGGCAAATCCTAAACAATGTTTTACCAGGCGCATCTAAAGCAGTGTATGAAAGGTTATAGGAGACTCATCTCTGCAAATTGACTTATGTAATATAAATTATTTATTTCTGACGTGGCGAAAATAAACGCCAGCACAAATATGGAGCTTATCCTACACACAAAGACAAGCTATACAATGCACTGTGGACTCGGCTTTTTTCAACCCATCTCCTTGTATGGGACCCAGAAAAAGGTACATAGGTTTGGCTTTTCATTGCACTCCATCTCATCTATTAGCTTTATTCTTGAGCCATCTTTGGTTACTGATACAAATTTCCCGTTAAGACTTGACTGCAGTGCGATTTCCTCGCGAACAGAGTCTAAATTCGGGTCATATGCTCCATTTAGGGCTTTTTTAGATTTATATGTTTTAAACCGCATGCTTACTCCAAGTATCTTGAAAGAGCGGGCCAGAAGGGGACCTGTGCCTATTTTAAGATCCCCATCGCTATTTAGAAGCCCTGGAATGCGCTCAATTACTGGCGTGGTTGTAAGATAGTTAGAATCTGTGAAGTAATCTGCTACTTTTTTGTCGTTAACAAGAAACACAACAGGGCTGTCTTGATTTTTCTCTATGTGGTAGATGGAGAACATAATCTTCTTGTACCCATCCCCAACACCAAACACCGAGTCATATCCAATTGCTTTTTTTTGTATTCCGATAGAACCTGATATCTCAGGGCTGTACAAGTATCCCATGTGCTTGTCCCGTGTATATTCTTTGTCTTCTTGCACAACTTGATGTGTACTGGAATTTTTATCTTTATTCAACTCTAAAGCCTCACGGCGCAAGTCGTGCAAATTTGCGACTGCATTTCTGAAAACATCCTTTTTTTCAAGTTTGTCTGGCTGGAATACAGCCATGTTAGAGTCCCATGTTAATAGCTGTGGGGTCTTTGTGCAGGCGGCGGTGTATAGCAGGCTTAAAAAAACATACAGCTTATAGTGCATAGTCATGGTGCTGCAATTACTGCTATACATATATTTGCATGTGTAACCATGCATCGCATTTTAGAGGCTATCTACTGTTAGAGCAGCCCAGTTTTCAGGTCTTTTCTGATCATTTTTAAGAGAGATGCTATTTAAGCAAAAGATGCTGCTAATGCACATCTCCTGAAACAACATGCCGTATTGGGCTCTGAATGGTGCACCCAAGAGCTTTTTTATTCAGATTATATTGGGATAGTTAAAGAGTCTGCTTAAGCTTTGCGCTCATTATACACGGCTATTATACACTACAGGGCATGCTATTATTTGGATGGTTTGAATTGTCTGTATCTAATGAAAACTGCACTGCTTTAGTATAAGCTGGCTCATGCTCTAGCGGACATTCATGAGGCATCAAAGGCTTTTTTCTTTTTTGGATTTTTGCAAGAAGCACCATCTGCATTGTATGATTATTACTTGATCTAAATGTATTCTGTAAATTCAAATTACATGTTAGAATATGCCTATTTAGAGTGCAATTATTCTTGTTGCATATTAAGTGCACTAATATGTACTCTTTCCAAGTGCATATATTTCACGTAGGTCTTTTAGCTTATAAACCAATCAATACGACAAAATTAATACGCATGAAGGATAGTGCTTCTTTAAAGTGCGCCCTGCTTAAATTCTGCGCTGTCTCTGATCTACAGCTGTTGTAATTATGCATACCTCTACTCTTTTTGCATCAATTGCAGTCATGATGCAATCTTGATTGTTTTATAAAGAATAGCTCAAATAGGATCCCATTTATTTTTGCGCAATCCTCTTTTGCCTGAAAAAAACAAGAAACCTGAATGCTTAAATAGACCACCAACCGAATTATCTTAGTCAAACAATGTATCATATGATATTTATATAGCAAAACGAATAAAACACACATGAAGAAGTTCAGGTCAGTATTCGTGGGAATGCTAAGCACCATATACCTTGGATCATTGTATATCTATGTAGAAGCAAGTAATTTAAAACATTCACACGTTATGGAAGAACCGCGATATCACCATTCCGTTGAGAGACGCACAGTAAATGGCGATCCTGCAGTCAACCCGTATGCTTCCGAGCAAACTAGTTCTCATTATAAAAATCCAGATACATCTGCAGAAGAGAGAGCCCCACCCCAAAAAGAAATAAGCTTTTACTCGAATAAGCATAATGTAGGGTTTCTCTACAACGTAGGATCCAAAAAGTATATAGGAGCAGATTCTGCGAAATATTGGCTGAATGCTGTGGATGACAACACGCCTCCTCTGCCTATTGCGATTGTAGAGTCATATGGACAAAGCATAGGATCGTACTACGAGATTATTTCAGTAGATAGTGTCTCAAAGCCTAACTTTGGAACTCGTTCAAACAATGACTTGTATACAAATGTAAAGAGATTTGATGTGGGAGGAGGACCAAGCCAAAAAAGATGTTATCTATACGGGCACACATCTGTGTACAACAGATTTGTAATTACGCCTTCATATTACAAAAAAGACGATTCCTTTAAAATAAGAAGATCTACGTTTTGTTTGGGAGTTGCCTCAAATAATCAGCTACTGGAAATGGCATGCGTAGATGATACTACAAATGGCAAGCGCACTGAAGAAAATGACAGACAGCTATTTAAGTTCTGCCGTGCAGACTCAGGAGACCGATGCGTATCTGACTAATTTCAACTCCTTTAGCAGGCGGGTGCCACACAAAGGCACATATAAACTTGGCATTAACATGAGGAAATTCCATAATATCTTCTGAATAAATTATTTAATAATATAGACAGGCTTTGTTTTAAATGTGTGCACTGCACTTTCTTCTATTCAAATCTTATTTGAGCCATGCCTGCACTCTATACGGGCATATTTACTTTGTGCATTTCTTGCAGACTTATAGAAATATTCTGCTGTAATACAAATATAACATAGATTTGCAGGACTAATAAAACTCATTTTTAAGGATATTCTTTGCACAGAGTCATTGAATTTACAATGCTTCTACTAAACACAGCTGGACTACAATGGGCATGCCTGCTAATTAAAATAGTGTTATGAATTTGTGTGCTGTAAATGAAGCCTGCAGCAGCTGCTACATTCGCTGCAGCACAAAGGAGTAAAACATGCGTTACAGCATTCATTGCTTTGTTTTACCGTGCGCTGTCTGGATTGGATGAGCCTGATACATATAAATAAATAAGAAGAGGCCATCGCAAAGGGAAATGATCAATCCCATAAAGATCGCAGCTCTAACCTACATATTCCTCACACGAGTGCGAGCAGAGGCCACATACTTTGACTCTTCCTTTGAGCTAAACAAGTCCGGATATATATACAGCATAGGCGCAGAAGGGTACGTTGGATATGACCCAAAAGACAAAGTCCAGGCCAAAATTCTTGAAGACGCCAGAACCTCCATGCGCTTTCGTACGTTCTTAAGTGGAGAGGTGGGAGATGCAGGCTTTATTTTCATGCAGGACAAGGGGTTTGAAACGCCCGAGGGAGAAGAGAGGTTCCCCAGCCAAACAGAAATGCATGGGAAACTTGCACTTAAAATATGTAGAAACAATTCCCCAGTAAGAGTTATTCTAGACTCATACGATGGATCAAACCATTTCAACTTTTTTGTCACTCCGCCTGTTCTTCTCAATGAGAATGGCTTTCATCTCATGGTAGGGGAGGACTGCATTATGGTGGACAAAGAAACAAAGTTTCTTGTAGCCTCTGTCTGCCACGAATCCACTTCCGCTGCGCGGAACTACCAGCTATTCAGCTGGGTTGATTCAAGTACATTCAATAGAGGGATTGACCCCGTAACATACAGACCCAACCCAAGTCTCTATAACCCGAATGAAGTAGAAGATCACAAGAAGGAGAAAGAGTGCAAGAAGCACCGGAAGCATAAGATACAACATTCCCACTTAAAGAACACCACTAATCTTGCATTTGATAAGCCATATCGGCCTGCAGATGGAAGATCTCAACTGCCAACGTACTGCGACCACTAGCCTGTTTCTGGTACTTATTAATAAATTCATGATTTTAAGAGATATTTTCTGCATACGATCTTAGTAAATGTGCTGTTGTGTTACTTGGAATAGAAATGGAATGCAGAGGGTAAGAAAGAAGATCAGTCAGGAGCTTAGTTATACCTCGGGTTATATTTAGAAGTATGCCAATATGTGTACTGTTTTTGGTGTTTTTATTCCCTATTTATATATGCATGCTCTTTTCTCTGGTGGATCTATTTATTTGCACTTTATATTTATATTTTTCTTTTCTAAGCCCTACAATGAATATATTTGTCTTCTTTTTATTTTATTTTATTCTTAAGTTTTTTGAAGAAACTCTTCATGTCAAGTATTGAAAGCTGAGTAATTTAGTGAAGACTTTTTGTAAAATAGAAAGAACAGATTAATAAATTTATTGGAAGAAAATAGATGAAAATACTACAGAAGCAAATAGAATAGATAGAGTACTTTAAATATTATTGGTTTTTTGTGCCTTGGTATATGAAACCCCTTATAGAGCAAGCAATGTAGAATGGTGTTTGTCATTGCCTTGTGGTTTTGACTATACGCAAATATGCTGCAAGGGACTCATTTTATTTGTATAAACATAATGCAGATATACATCAGGCTAGAGATCTACAAACAGGCAATGATAAACAAATTATAGGATGAATAGGAAAACGAATGCTAATATTTTAGAGAAGGCTAGGCTTGTATATATGATCCTACTATGGAGTATATAAAACAAGAGCAGTTTCAGTATATAGCCCTAATAAGAGTTATAAAATTTAGCTAGAAATTATTATGCACGCATACTAGTGGAAACCATGCAGATTAATACTAAAAAGTGTCTGTTATCAGATTCAGACACATGTACTCTTATGATGCTTTGGTATATTAAGTTGTATAGGGCTATATATGTGGAAGTAACAAAAACCCAGGAAGTCTGCTAAAAAGACAGCCGAAAAAACATGTATACGCATAAAAAACAGCTTTCTAAAACATCTAAAGCAAATAGATGGATCTTGATTGACATAAATACATTTAGATGCTGTAATCCACATATCTACTGTAAAACAGTTGCAAATCTTCTAGATATAACCACGCGGCAGAAAACGAGTACATGTATAAACTAGAAAAACTTTCTGCATTCTGGGTTTTGGCAATTGCAATGCTGAGATACTCTAGCTCCATAGAAGCATCATATATTTCAGAGAGAAGGATGGATCTAATGGAGAGCAGAATAGGAGATCCAAAATTGTTTGTATTTAACACAACAGGATATTTGTACAACATAGGATTGAGGCAGTATATGGGGGCAGATGACTATATTGACACCACAGGATTTGTGTCCCTCCGAATGTTTACAGACCCGAAAAAAGCCATTTCATTTAGTCTAAACAAGGTGCACGCCAAAAAAGATGGAAGAGTAATAACCAGGCTTACTACATCAGACAAAAAACTCCCCAGCACAAAGAATGGAATAAAGAAGTTTTTTGTACAGCACAGCACATCAAATGGTTACTATGCAAATCTAACCCCGGAAGACAATGCTGAAGCTTCTGAGCAGGGAATAGCTATAGAAGTGGTTATGGCGGTAAGGTATCTTGCTATGCAGATACAGCTGGAGAAAAACAAGTGCATGAGTGGGTCAAAGGATACTAGTGTAATTGCACATGAATGCGAGAAATTTTATAAAGAAAACAAGGACTACAAAAAGGATCTCTGGCTATGGATCCCAGAAAATGACTTTAAAGGCCCACTATCTGTAACAAATGGGTAATAGTACATAAACTGCCTACAATCTTCCTGTATGCACTTCTCTCTGTGCAAAACCTACTCTTACAAAAGAAGAGGCACAATAGTGTAAATATATAAGGCTTGTAAAAGTCATATTTTCCTAATTCTTCTAAAGATTATCACATAAATTACACAATAGCTGAAATCTTATTAAAATAAATCTAAATTAATTTAAATTCGGGTTATACCGGGATAAATTCATGCTATATCTGCTGAAATAAAGCATAAATCTACTGTTTCAACTAATCTATTCATTTGTTTCAGGTTATACCTTATTCTATTAAGATTAGCTTGTAAACTAAATTCTAGTCAGATTTGGATATATTCTAGATGGTCTGTTTCGCTTCTTCAGTAAGTAATAGACAACATTTGCAGATTTTAGTAGTCTATAGCTTAAATTAGTTCTGCTATTTTTATATTGGTAGAATTAATTCATTAGGCACTTTGGCTCTAGCTATTTTTATATTTCAAGAAGCAAAAGGCTTAAGCCCTCCTGTGAACCCAAGCCATACTGTATAAAATGACTTTCTTTCTGAGTGCATTTATAATTTTCTCTAAAGTAAGAGCACACTCTACAAAAACAAATGCACTCTTCTGGGGTTTCAAGCACAAATTTAAGAAAATACATAAATCATGTACTGTACTTCATCTATCTCTAAAAGCTGATGCTAAACCTGAGGAAGAATCACCTTCTAAACATAATTAAACTTTCTTCTTTCTAAATATACTTCTCTAATATGGTATTAGCATGTGTCTTTAAAGGAGTGTGGCACAGAGAAAGCCATTTCTCTATACGCTGGTTCCTCTAATACAGCACACACTTTGTATTTTTAGTTGAAAATAATTCGCGAGTAGAGATGAAACAGCTTAAATTTCTAAAACACTTTATCAAAATGAAACAGGTTACACAATCAAATATAACCTGAAAAAACACTGCATCTGTATGACTATACAAAAGATCTGTCAACTAACAGCGATTCTTACATTTACTCTGGCTTCTGTTATGGGCAATACCCGGATTGCATTTGCAGCCAACTCTCCTGGATACTTGTACAACATGGGGTCTCATGTATTTCTAAGGTGGTCCAGATCCCCGTACGACAAGTACATGTGGGTGAAGGGCACGAAGGATGCAAACAAGGCGGGGCTGTTCAAAATTCAGAAAGCAAAATACCACAGTGCTACATACAGTCTTATTATGTCAGCAGATTCCAGGGTTGTAAATGCTGCCAAGAAGAAGAATACCCAGAATATTGACTTCCCGTTCTATGGAACTCCTTCTATAGGGCTGATTGGAGAGGCGCCTTACGTACACATTGGAATGACTACAGACACCTCTGATCCAAACTCCTGGTTCTCTTTTTCTCCCCCGCAGACAAAGAAAAACTTCTTCAAGATCTACCTTAAAAACAAGTGTCTAACTGTGGAGGGAAGTGGGTATGCTAAGCTCGACGACTGTGTGGCCGCCCCAGCAGAAAAACATGCGCAGCAGCTCTTCAAGTGGTTTGCAGAGAATGAGCACGTGGTCATAACCAAAAAAACCATTAGGCAGGCAAAGCTGGAAAAATTGCCAGCACCTCCCAAGAAAGTGAAGGCATACACCCCAGACTCAAGGCTGTTCTACGACAAAAATAAAAAGAAGAACAGCCAAAGCCCAGATAAAAAGTATGCTGTAAATCACCCAGCACCAATTTCAAACAGTGAAGTGCCTGCTGCTGTGGTGGCTATCAATAACAATTCAGTTGTGGAAATAGCCAAAAAGCCTGCTGGCTACTACGACGAGCCAGACAACGATACAATAGAGGAGAAAAGGAGGAAACTGCTAAATGCAGATGAGGCTTCTTCAAACGCAAAAGTTGCAAGGAAAGGAACAATCACAGATGAACTTATGCCACCTGGATTTTAATGCAAAAACGCGAGATTATCCCTATAATAAATAGCAATTGAAATATTTGCAGCTTTTTGGCTAGTCTATATGTTGAGTCTACTTGAACTATTTATATGCATGGCAAGCGCATTACTGCATTTATAAAGATACTACACATCCCTGGATTCTAGGTAGATATTCTGAAATAGATGCTGCAAGGTGACCAGGGTGCTCAGTATAATCTAAACCCGGCCTCTTTTCCTGTGGGTAGTAAGAATGTTAAATGTATTTTTGGGCATAGGAAAAAGAGAAAAAGAATTACTATTATAAAGTAAGCAGAGAGTCCGTCTTTATAGATCTATTTTATTAATATCTGCAGAGAAGAAACTTAGTAGTCTAGCAGTATACAAATAGAATCTTACTAAGTGCTGCAGTACAAACCATCTAGTACGCAGTATAGTAGATTTCAAGAAAGTTCTTAGCATAAGCATTGTGGTAGTCTCTCATCATTATTCTGAGACTCCAAGGTTTTTCAACTTTTAATTTCGGGAAGATTCTTCATATACCAGAAGACGACTAATTGTAAAAGAATATTAAAAGAGGGTGGTACATGTCAACAGTAAGAAATATATCCAACAAAAAGACAAAAAATCACAGTCACCAAAAGAATATTTTTCTGGTCTGTCTGTCAGTGTCTTTGAATGTTCTGAAAATAAAACATAAACAAAATGCACATGCTAAGAAGAGTTCTGGCCTAGTATCTTGCGGACCTGCAGTGTATAAAGGCTTTTGGTTGTTCTGCTAATGAGTGCACGCCTATTAGAGTATCTTGGTGGCGGGTGCTTTAGGTCTGATGCAGTCTGAAACCATCTGATGTGGCTCTATGTGATACAGAGTTGCAAAATGTGCATAAAGTATTTGATTTCTTTTGGGTCATGAATCTGCTTAGCCAAATTTTCCTTCTATCAGCTGCTCTGCTTGCTGTGCCTTTCGCAAGAGCAATTGGGCATGATGCTGAGATCTCGTACTTCAGCGAGAACACCCCAGGCCGTCTGTTCAGCGTTGGGAAAAAAAGATATATTGCATTTACAGCATCAAAAGACGCGATGCATGTGGAGATAGACGATGACAGAGAGGCAGCTGCACAGCTATACATTCGAATTATACGAGATGGCCCATCAACATACGGTATTATAATGTCTGCAGAGGACCATGATGTAGATGAATGCGACGAAAAGCATAAAGAATTTGGATCTGGAAAGGGCAAGCAGTATCTAGGATGTCCTACAATGGTGGTAGATTCCGAAGCCAAAGGGAAGATCATGCTAAAGAGATTTTCGATTGGCCCAGAATTCAAGTTCTTTTTTTCTCCTGTCGTCCTGCCAGGATTCCATGCGTTTAGAGTCTACCACAAGAAAAAGTGCCTTGCAATTAGCGAGGATGGGGATGCTACAACTGAAGAGTGTGAGTATAATGATATAAATAAGAAGTCAACGCAGCTGTTTGTCTGGGTGGACAATGCCCTTTTCATAAAGAATTACAACCCAATGCAAACAATTAACCAGGATCTGAACCCTGCAAGCCCATACTATTCCGCAGATAACAAAAATCCCCTTACATTTTGGAAATAGAGAAGGTGTACAAATATACTCAATAAAGTAGTTAATTCATGTCTAACAAAATATATTAGTAAGTATACTGCAGAGTTTACTATAGTAAGCCTTATAGTGCTTCTATTTCATACAGCATTTTTATTTGTCTATTTGGTTTTATGTAAATGCAGTATGAATCATGCATGTGTACGTTTCTGTGGCTAGCACAGATATAACCCGAACCCGAAATTATAAAGACCCAGTTCAGGCTGTGCAGCTGCAATCTCGTGCTAGCCACAGAGTTTATTTAAGCACAGAGATATTTGAAGTTCCAGTATTATGCCATGGTAGTGTGCTTTTTCTATTTTTTTGTATGCTGCAGAAATTCCTTCTAAGAAGCCTGCATGCCTGTTCAAATATACAGAAACTAGTGTTTCAGTGCAAATTGCAGAAAGACCATTCTAATGCATCTGATGTTGATATGATGCATCTGGACAGATCATATGTGATTTTCATCAAATTAGTGTGCTTTTTCTGGAAAGGCTAATACTGTATATGCAATGCAAAAAAGCCACCTTACTAGATGTGTATAGCCTATAGCTATACTGTGTTTTACGCCTGAAACAATGGTTTAAGCACATATATAATAGTGCAGACGTGCAGTTTCAATGAAGATGTTGTGCATTCTTGTGGTTCTAGGAATTTTTTGCATTGGATATGTGCGCAGCATGGACACAATATTTGCAAACAATGAGCTAGGATATCTGTACAGTGAGGGGAAAGAAGGATACGTGTATAATACACCAGTCACAGGAGAGGGAAATATAAAAAGTGTCCTTGCCATATCAGAAAGAGTTGACGAAGTCACTCCGTTAAAAGTGATAAGAAGGGAGTTCAAGGACATTACATACCACATTATAGCTGCTCCTGAGGAACTGTGCAGTTCTGCAGGGGACAGCCCCCAAAACACAGCAGCGTGCGTGTTTAGCTACAACAAAAACCTTGGGAATAGAACTGGCTTGGTTCTAGCCTACGAAAGGCCCAGCTTCAACAACTATTTTATGTTTTCGCTCCCACTGACAAATGACACTAATGGATTCCAGATATACAACCAAGGCCAGTGTGTTACTATAGATTCCATGGGAGCACTAGATCTTGCTGAGTGCATTGACGCAGACTCACTTTCTAGGCAGATGCAGATTTTTAGATGGGTAGACAAGAAGTGGTATGACCGCGGAATGGCACGAAGAAATTCACCAAATCCAAAATAATCAGATACAAAAATAAATACAATTCGATTCATATGAGCATGTCACTATGCAGTATTACTTAGACAGAATTTCTTTTAATTAGAACACCATACCACCAGATGTATTTGTGCATGTATATGCATGCATAGTTGTCTAGCTTAGTTATATAACCCGAATAACCAGAATTACTCCATAAATATTAAAAGACGTGTTCTACTCTTCTCTTAGGCGCTTTCTTTTTTTAATTTCTAGTCTGCGCATAATTATAATCGGGTGAAGTGCTGTATAGGAATAAGAATATAACCGAAATCATGCATATACTTCAGAGTGCGCATTTAAAATGCTCTTGACTTGCTCTTAACTAAAACAATCTAACTACCCGAAACACAATGCAACTCCAATGCACTCAGTGCTATTAGATTCTTATACGGATGCAAAGTATAAATAGTATATATCTACATATATCTACATATATTCTTTATTTCCTGTTCTTTTTCTGAATAAACAGTTAAGTCCAAAGTATACTGTAAAAGTCTTATATTTTTTTCTTTTACTAGAAACTGAAGGGTTTCACTTTAACTTTTCGCAGCCAGAAAAGCAGAGGCGGAATTAGAATATGCAGGGCACATGTGAGGACTAAATAAGCTAGAATATATTATCTTTATAATCCGAACCCGAATACGAATAATACAGCAGTAGTAAAATTAGTCATAAAAGGCAGCATATGATTTTATTGAAGCAATTTGGGCTGCATTGAATTATGCGATCTAAGAGATTAGAGGAATATGCTAGTTTAGCTGCAGGTATACCTACTATTCTGCTTAGCACACATTGCGACTGCATGAATATGTAGGTTACTGCAGTGAAAGTATTTAGGGTTCGGATACATGGATTTTCCTATAGATGTACAGCAAGTTCTTACGCGTACGAGATTTGCAGAGAATGACCTGTCTTAAGCATATACTTTTTTGATTGACAGATTATTTGCGTAGTAATGGAGTTTTGGCATGTACGTATTGAAGTGTAATCACAGCCTAATTAGTATCTACAGGTTCATAGTATTCTGCATATGTACCCAGGCAAAGCACCCTTATAATGCCCACATCCTTTGAAAGACGCCATTCTTGCACAAAATATGCTAGGTGCAATTTATTGAAAGAAGCACAGTTGCATGGTTTTATTTGTGCACGCACAGTGGGACATGCGAAATGATTTTAATATTAAATGTATGTGTAAAATAAATAAAAACACACAGCAAACAAGTTGCCTTTATGTTGCTCATCTATTGAACAAGCCATTATGAAATTCCTGCCTTCGAAAGAGCATGGGCCTAAAATAAAAATAAATAAATACGGCTGTTCTACGAGTGGACTTTTGTCTGAAACAAAACAAGGTATCAGAATCAACAATAGTGCATAAATATGTGTGATTTTAAAAAAGGCATGCAGACAAAGAAAGCGTGCATTATTATATCGATGTGTATCTTTATTTATCAAGTGTGTGGGCGCTCGCACAAACACAAGTCAGACGACGACGCTGATTATCTCATTGAAGGGCAGGCAGAGAAAGAAGGAATTCTTATATCCACATTCGCAGGGCCTGACACTAAATACATAGCGATAAAGGACAGAAAGGTTGTTGTTGTGGACGACCCAAAAGACGCCAACTTATTTGATATTGACCTCCCAACTAAGGAATCTACGCCGCAAGAGATAATGCTAGAGCCATGGGTGGAGGGAAAGAAGCACGTAATTGAGTCAGATTCACTTGGGGATGGCTTGAGTGTTGAAATTCCAATTGAGTCTGGGCAGAAAACAGAGTCAAATCTAATGATCATCCGGGAGGTGGTTGCAAAGAATGCATTCAACCCAGTTTTTGAAATTGTTTCAGCAATCAGACAAAAGTGTTTCTCTATTGACGCGCTCACAGCAGAAATTAGCTTGCAGGCGTGCTCCAATGGGTCAAATGACATGCGAATGTTTGTTTTTACTTCAATGCGGGAGGCGCTAAAAAAAGAGGCAGACAAGCGTGGGGGTGGCGACTTTAGCATGCCTGAGTTCACTGCAAACACGCGTGTTCCAGCTGGTGCGCTGGTTGTAGGAAGCAACAGCGGGGTGCTCTACTCACGCTAAGAGATATTTTGGCACACTATAACCCGAAAATAAATTATTTGCACGAAAGGTGTTAATTGCAGATTATTCCGTTTTAATTGCGCAAGTATCAATTATGTCATGTTATTCGGGTTATATCGGGTTATCACATGCTATTCCCAAGCAGATAGTCTATTAAGTAGTGCATTCTTGTGTGCTATATTTTTAAGCATTTGGTACTTAGAGGGATTGCGCGTATTTCTTAGTATCTGGCTGGATAATTAAACTGTAGTAAAAATCCCACTTTCATTAATTTCGTGACCAAAGTACATCAATGATAAATGCAACTTCCGGACGATTCCTCGTATATCAGAAACTAACTATATAATAGTAAGAACAATACTGAAAAGTCGGAACATGTCAGAAAGAAGAAGTACACCCATCAAGTACACAAAAGGTCACAGTCACCAACCGAAAAAATATGATAATAAAACTTCCCTGGACAACTACCCCTATTAGAGTTTAAAATACTACTATCTCCAGACTAGCTTGTCACCTCCCCTTTGGGTACGTCAATAATATATGTGATGGAAGAGTGGCTGTGCCTCATATATTTCTGTTTTATACTGCACAAATTATGACTGTTTATTTTCTTCATATGTCTATGGGCTCTAAACCATTATAATTTATTTTGTTTTACAGCTGCATCTGCACAAACGTATGCACATCTAGGGAAGAAATGCGCATAGCTGTTCCTTTGCCGACTCAAGTGATATGTCGCTGATGGTAGAGTCTTTGATGCAGAAGAACTTGTCTCCAAAGCCAAGAGTCTCACCGCGGAATGTGCATATAAAGAGCTGGCGGTTCTCAAAGACGCGGCTGTTAATAATATTCATCAAGACCTGCGTATCCAGATTTGCATCAAACTCGTCCATTAGATAGAAGGGGGCTTCGTAGATTCTCTGCACGGCAAGTATCATGCACAGTGCAATGACAGTCTTCTGGCCACCACTAAGCTCATCTGATCTAACCATTGTTTCGCCTGTGAAAGACACATCGATCTCCAGTGCATCTGTTCCATTAGCCGACATATATGCAGAGCCGCCTGTGAGTTTTCTGAAAAAGTATTCAAAGTTGTTCTTCACCTGGGTTATTGTTATGTTGATGACCTGTTCTTTTTTCTTCTCCAAAAGGCCCTGCATATCCAGTATCTTTTCTTTTGCGTGCGAGAGTTCCTCCAGCTTTGCAAGTGTCTTATTGTAGTCCTGCAGAACCGTGTCAGATCCATCTGCTGTTGCAACGGTCTCTGGGAGCTCTTTTTTGATTATGGACAGTGCCTGGACTAGAGTCTCTCTTGACGAGTTCTGCACATTTATTGTGCTATTGTTCACAAATACCTCCTCTCTGCTCTCCACGTTGAGCGAGAGAATTCTTTTCTGGATTCGTCTGAACTTGCTCGCAAGTCTTACCTTTTCTGCCATTCTTTCCTTCCACTCAGAGGAGCCTGCGCACCTGTAGAGCCTGCTCTCTATGCTCTGTGCAGTGGCCTCAAGAGCTGCTCTTTCACTCTTTCTCTTCATGGCCTCCTGCACTCTAGCACACTCTTCTATTTTGCTTTGTGTAGCAGGCACAGAGAGCCTTTCTAGCTCAGTTTTTCTCTGGAGAATCTCTAAATCTATGTCATACCCTTCGTTCTCTAGGAGGAATATTGCATCCTCAATGTATCCTGGGGCGCTTAAAGAGGACTCCATATTGGCTCTGTCGTACTCTCGGGTGACTTTCTCTTTTTCCTCCTGGATTTCTGCGCTCTCTTCCAGGATGCATCTGTACTTCTCCTTGTTCGCCACATATGCCTTGAAAAGATAGGAAGACTTGTCGCTTCCCCCAGTGATTGTTCCAACTGACCCAAAGTACTCGCCTGCTGCAGTGATTACAGTTACTCTGTGTGTTCTTGATGCAGCCTTTGCAGTCTCAAAGTCAGATGCAAAGTATATCTTTCCAAAGAGCCTGTCTACCAGGGACGCATGCTTCTCAGACGAGGATATATATTGGGCAAGCGATGGAAGTGGCACAGAAGATGCCCGTGTAGCAGTGCTTTTAGTAGAGAGGGAAATCACAGGCTGCTCTATGCGGTGGTTTCGCACAAGATTAATTGCATCTGCAACACTTTCAGCTACAATAGTAGTCAGATAGTTAGGAACTGCACTTGAAACAGCAGAGAGTATTTCCTTCGGGATAGTCACTAGATCATAGACATACCCAACAACGCCCTTTATATTTCGCACTTCGTCCCCTAGGGAAAATGCCTTTTGCGAAGACAGGAATGCCCGTTCTGCATCTTTCATCTCCTGCTCAATCGTTTTTATCTTTATGTTATGCTCCTTCTCTCTCTTCCAGACGGATCTTTTGCTTTCAAGAAGGTCTTCTTTACTTTTTTTTCCCTGCAAGAAACTTTCTTCTTTCTTTACACTTTTCAGCTCATCAAGCTTTTTATTCACTGCATCTGTCCCGCGCATGCGCAGTACGTTTATTTCTGGGTGGATGGTTTTGCTGCTCTCCCTAAGTCTTTCTAGGTGGTTTATCTCCTGCTGGATTGCATGCGCCTGTGTCTCCTGCTCTTTCAGAAGAATTTCAAGCTCTTCTTTCACCCTGCAGGTCTCATCGAGTAGGTGCGGGTTTTCATCGATTTTTCTTTCTAGCTCAGTATCAACTGCAGTTGCGTGTATTGCAGACAGCACTTCCTCAAGCTGAATTCGCAGAGCATCTTCGGATATGTCCTGTGTTTCATCGATCTGGCTGGACTCTTCTGTAATGAGGCCTTCCAACTTCTCTCGGATTCTATTCAGCTCCCGCTTGTAGATCTCCCGAATTATAATTTCTTTGGTTTTCTCCATCTCTTCTTTCTGCTCTGCAGCCAGCTTGTCCTGCTGTATCGCCAGAACACGCGTTTTTATCGTGTCCACTAACTCCTCTATTCTTTGCTCAACGGTTTCAGACTCCTTCAGCACCTTCTGAATCTCCTCTTTGTCTTTCTCGTAGACAGTAGACCCAGCCAGCTCTCGGATTAGATGCATGCGCGCACGGCCGTTCATTTGGGCCAGCTCACCTATCTTTCCCTGCTCAACCACAAAGTATGGCATTGCCTTGGAGATACCTGCTGTTTCATACAGAGATATCATCTCCTCCCTTGAAACATCGCGCCCATCCACGGAGTACTCGTCAGACTTCTGCGTAATTGTTCTTCGGATCACAACAAAGTCACCTGCAGGGAAGGCTCTATTTATGTTCTCAAACTCAATTTCCACATAAGCCCTCAGCTCCTTGCTGTTCTCATTTACAAACACCCTCCTCTCAAGAGGGCCAATGCGCTGGTGGGCATCGATCACAAACCTTATGGCGCTCAAAATACTTGACTTACCAGTTCCGTTCTTTCCTATCAGCATGTTTACATTCTGGGAGATGCCTTCAATTCGGGTTTCTTCAAAAAAGCTTTTGAAGTTAAAAAGAGCCATTCTACTTATCCTCATGAATATTGAAAAATTTTATGAGGCGGATAGCATATTTTTATAGCCCAGACTCAGGGAGCTTTCACTATGGCGCGTCGCACCCAATGAAGCCGCACAGAATTGCAGTGACCAACTCAATTGTCTTTGCATACGGGCTGCAGCGGTACATGGACATCATTGCCATAAAGCCTGCGACAAAGATAGAAATGGAGCAGTATCACACGGAGGAGTACATTGCCTCGCTTATTTCAGAAGGATCTGATATGCCGTGTGACAGAATAACAGATGACTGCCCGTATTTTGAAGGAGTTGGGGAAATGTGTGCACTCTACTCAGGAGGGTCTCTGCAGGCTGCGAGGGCCCTTAACCAGAACCAGTACGACATCGCAATAAACTGGTCTGGAGGACTGCACCACGCAAAAAAAGGAGGGCCAAGTGGGTTCTGCTACACAAATGACATTGTGCTTGCCATACAGGAGCTGCTTAAAAAGCACACAAAAGTAATGTACATAGACATTGACATACACCATGGGGACGGGGTGGAGGAGGCTTTCTACCACACAGACAGAGTCCTAACCCTTTCACTTCACAAATACGGGGATAGATTCTTTCCAGGCACAGGGAACATCTGCTGCACAGGGAGAGATGCAGGGCGCGGGACATCAGTTAATGTTCCCCTGGACTTTGGAATAGATGACGAGTCCTACCACTATGTCTTTAAGAACGTGGTGAAGATGTGCATTGAGTCGTTCTCGCCGAAGGTCATTCTGATGCAGTGCGGGTCTGACTCCCTGGCAGGCGACAGGATAGGATGCTTTGGGCTGAGTATTAAAGGGCACAGCGAGTGTGTCCGGTACGTGCGTGACTTCAATATTCCCATGCTTGTAGTGGGCGGGGGAGGGTATAAGCCAAAGCACGTCTCTCGGTGCTGGGCCTCAGAGACAGCAATTCTCTGCGGAGTGGATGTGGATAATAAGATACCACAGAACCCGCACTCAGAGTATCTGGGGGAGGGGGCTGAGCTATACATTAATCTGGAGTGCGAGTATGTGAATAAAAACTCAAAAGAGACTTTGGAGAAAGTCATATCGCTAGTCAAGGATGTGCTTGCCTTGCAGGAAGACAGGCCTGAGTAGCCTAAAATAGACTGCGCGTGTTTAAGAAAAGGCCGGGCACTTATTCTGCAAATACATGCTCAGTGGAAGCAAAGCATGGTGTAGGCACGGCTATCCGCAAGGGGTAAAGTGCATTCTAGCAAACAGGGAATGTATATATGTTTGCAACTATTTACTTTAGCCACAAAAATGGCAGATGCACTGCGGAGCATAAAAATGCGCGCTGTGTCAGAGACACACAAGACAAAGAATAAATATCTGGTTATTATTATATTACTTAGGGCATATATCACAGCAATTCAAGTTCTACAGGGTCTAATGTATTAAGATGGTTTGGTCTGAATAAAATTATTTGCGTTATAAGATCAAATTGCATTTAGTGCATGAGTGCATGGAAGAAATAGTTCTAAAGACTTTATTTATTTGAGAAAGAGCAGTTTTTCATCTATTTTAAAGAGAACCAAGGCTTAGTTTTCTGGTGAAATAAACACTCTTCTTGCCAGCTCCATGTATATCTTTTCTCCGTGCTTGACAGGCGGGAAGAAGTAGCACTTCATTAGACCGCTTTCTCCAAGGGGCCGCTTAATATGGCCTTCCTTTTTCATGCTGGAGTACAGCTTAATTCCCTTGAAGTACTTGACCTCTTCTCTGGAGTGGAACATTTTACTGACAATGCAGGACCGCCTTAGGATCTTTGCAGGTATTCCCTTGAAGACTACTGTTCTGATGAGAATTGGGTCCTTTCGGGTGGCGTGCAGTGCACTGCCTACGCACCGGTCTCCTTTGTAGATGGCTATTTTATCGCTAGTGAGAATCAAAGGGCCCACAAAGCAGACAGTTCCAGAGGTTCCTTCTGTTTTGCACTTAACTACCTCTACGCCATTGCCCATAACGCAGGAAGAAGGCGCGGTGCACGTAAATCCAAAGTCAAAGACCAGGTTGTTATCATGTATGCTGATAGTTTCTTTCGTCTGGAAAGAGAGTGCACAGACAGTGAGTGCGCCTTCATAGTCAAAGAGGCCGTGGATCGACAGAAACCCGGACATAATTGCAGACTCAAATGACTGCATATGCTCTTCGCTTATTTCAATGATGATTTCAAGGGGGGTTTGCACTGGGATGGGGCTTTTCTTGGAAAGTATCCTTCTTCTGACCCTCTCAGATCCTATGAAGCTGAGGTTCTTGTAGTACTCTGGAAGGTTCTGTGTTCTGAAGACCTTCAAGGTTTCATTTTCCTTGCAGTTCTCTTTTTTGTGCAGTCCCATGTTTATGCTTCTAAGCCCTTTGAATCCCTTGTACTTATTCACAAGGTCTTTCTTTATATTTTCCTTTTCCAAGGTGGTGTATCCCATGAGGTCATCCGAGTCTACATCGCACAGATCTTCGTCTCCTGCCATGCCTTCTAGGTCTGCGTAGTTTTCACTGTCGTCTTCACTGTCCTCCTCTTCTTCGTCATCTTCCTCCTGTGTCTCCTCTACATTTATGCATCCAATGGAGTCATCAGAGTACTCTGGCTGGTCATTGATCTGACTGTCCTTTATTCTGAGCGTAGTAAGCAGGTCGGTCATCTCTTCTTCGTCGTCCTTCTTTTTTTGGTACAGGTCCTCCTTTGTAAGCATGGCAAGCCCGGAAATATCGAGTACTTTCCCATGCGCAGACACCTGCCGAATTCTCCCAGACATAAAGCCATTTATAAGCAGCTGCGGTGACACAAATCCTTTGTCCACAGATCCAGTGATCTTGAAAAGACGCTCCTCCTGGTGCTCGATTGTGTCTGGGAAGAAGTGTGGGCGTGTATATCTCTTTCTGTTCAGCACCGTCTTATTTTCAAGAACCCGGGAGATTTCATTCAGCCCATATATCTTTGCCTTTCCAAAGGTCTTTTTCACGTCCTTCTTTATCTCTGAGGGAACATCCCGCAGACAAGAAAGGAATATAAGGTTATCCTGCTTTGTCTGGCTGATTAAGTCGCAGATCTCGTTGTTTATCTTTTTATCCACCAGAATAATATTTATGTCAGCTCCTTGGATCTTTGCCTTCATTATATTTGAGGCCTCTGGGGTGTTCACAAAGAACGTGAACAGGCCCTTTTTGCTTTCTATTCTGTGGCCCAGATTTACCTTCTGTGTGTTTATGGCGCACTGTCCTTGCTCGCTCTTTCTGAAGGACGATATAATGGAGGGAAGAGCATCCTCTGCTGTAATGTGTGTTCCCAGTGAAGTAACCATAATAGTTGAAACAAGCCCGTGGGAGGCTCTTTCTCTTTGCGTCTGCCCCTTCAATCCGGGGGATAGTTTGCGCGTTGACATTCTGAAAAATTTTCCAGCGAACTTCTCCAATAAAACTGCATGCTTTTGCAGTGAAAAAGCCCGCCTATAGCTGCCCAGGCCTCTGCAGCGAAAACTTCCTGCCCTCTGATTTCTCTTAAACACTTCAATTAGAGCTGCAATAATTAATTACACAACAAACACATTATAGACACTATTCAATCTCTTTGTGTTTGTTTAGTATATGAATGGAATGAGAGTTGAAGAAAACCAAGTGGCACTTCTTCCTAGAAGAACTGTGTGGCAGCAGTTCACAAAAGTATGTACATCTTTTATTCCCTCGTTTATTCTGCGTCTTTTCGGCATGAAGTCCAAAGAGATGCAGAGTGCATGGAGGGAGAAAGTAGCCCTCTGCTGGCTGATTGCATTTGCATGCATGTTCCTGGCATTCATTACATATGGTCTGACGATGCTTGTGTGCAAGCCGCAACTAACATACACAATGGAAACCATGAGCGAAATAAGCACATACCCGTGGTTTGCAGCCCGGGGGAAAATATTCAGACTTGACCCAGGGAGCAAGCTAGAGACGTACTCTGGGAGTGATATCTCTGCCATGTTTAAAATAAATGCGCCAAACTGCACGCAGGCATTTCCCAGCTACTCCTTCAGTAAAATTGGCAGCTACAACATGCATGACTATTCGGAAGTTGCGCCTGTGCACTACACGTGGTCATCCATACTTCGAGAGCAGCTGACCGTGATAGGCTCAGGGGTCTACAACACAAATGACATAAGCCTCCCAGAAAAGCTGCAAACACTTCAAGGCAGCGTGGATGCCACAAGAGCAAGTGAGTCTCTTTCTCCAAAGGAGCTGCAGTGCTTCAAGGAGCTGTGCTATGCCGGGGAGCTTGCACTGCAGTCCACTGGGTGCCAGATAACGTACTCTTTCCTCTATCTGTCTGCCCTGGCTGTTCTGGGCCTGGTTCTGATCAGGTTTTTCCTGGCTGCTGTCTACTCCTTGATCATGAAAATCAAAACGTGGCAGCTTGTGCGAAAAACCACGGATGTACTGCCGGTGGTGCTGATGACTGCCTGCTACTCTGAGGGCAGAGAAGGCTTGAAGTCAACCCTGGACAGCCTCTGCATACAGGAGTACGACAAGAAGGTCATTATTGTTGTAGCAGATGGATTTATAACAGGAGCAGGCAATGAAGCATCTACTCCAGAGATTCTTAAGTCAATGATTACGCCAAAGAAAGACTGCGCTGCATCTGGGATGTGCACTGCCCCAAAGCAGTACATCTCTATTGCAGCAGGCGCTAAGAAGCTGAACTATGCAGAGGTGCATGCTGGGTCGTATTCTGTTGAGACAAAAAGCGGTGTGGTGACATCTGACATCATTCTCATACTGAAGAGCGAGAATAGAGGAAAGAGAGACAGTCAGATGGTTATCATGAGCTTCTTCCATCACGTGCTGTACAGAACGCGTTTGACGCAGTTTGACTTAGATTTGTACAAGAAGATCAAGGGCCTGACAGGCATGTCACCCGACCAGTTTGGAGCAATTCTTATGGTGGACGCAGACACAACAGTAAGACCAAGTGCAGTGCGAATTATGGCAAGAACCATGCAAAGCGACCCGTCAATTATGGGAATCTGCGGGGAAACACTCATTTCAAACAAGTTTGACTCCTGGGTCACAGCTATACAGGTGTTTGAGTACTATGTAAGCCACCACCTGGCAAAGGGATTTGAGAGTGTCTTTGGGAACGTAACTTGTCTTCCCGGGTGCTTCTGCATGTACAGACTGAAGATTGAAAGAAAGAACGGGTGCACTCCAATTCTTGTCTCACCCACTGTGCTGCACGCGTATGGGAGCGACGAAACAAAGACTCTGCACGAGAAGAATCTGCTGCTTCTTGGGGAGGACCGGTACTTGACAACCCTTCTACTCAAAAACTATCCAAAAAGAAAACTTGTTTTTGTGCCAAGTGCCTTGTGTGATACAATTGTGCCTGATAAGTTCTCTATCCTTCTGAGTCAGAGGAGGCGCTGGATTAACTCTACCATACACAATCTGTTTGAGCTGCTTCGGGTTGACCTGTGCGGCACTTTCTTTTTTTCTATGCAGTACGTTGTGATTTTAGAGCTGTTTGGAACTCTGGTTCTTCCTGCTGCAATGGTTTTTACTCTTGTTCTGGTCATTTCCTCCTTTATATGGACACCTGTCTGGATCCCTCTCTTCCTTCTGTTTTGCATTCTTGGGCTTCCATCTTTGCTCATCTTCTTCACAAACTTCAATCTTTTCTACTTTGTGTGGCTGATCATCTACTTGTGCTCTCTCCCAATATGGAACTTTGTTCTTCCAATATATGCATTCTGGCACTTTGACGACTTTTCATGGGGAGAAACCCGGCAGATCACGGGCGGTGCGCCAAAGGACGGGCACGGCGGTTCTTCCAGCGGGGAGGAGATAGATTACAGCACAAAGGCCACTCTAATTGATTTTGAGGAGGTTGAGTAGTTTCTTCTCTGTCTAATCTGTGCGTGTATACTCTCATTAAGTGCAGAGTGTTTCTGTGTATAAATAAACTGTTTATAGTATTTGAATTATCCATGCTGCTTTATATGCACGTGCGTAGTATTAGAAGATGTCAGTTTTGTATGTTTAGAAGAGATCTATATAACCCGAAGAAAGAGAGCGCACACTAAAGATCCATGCACTCAAACAGTATGTGTACATATGCAGTTCAATTGATATTTCAATTACCAATAAGAAATATACATATATTATGTAAACGAGATCACAGTGCATTATACAAGCCTTAAAGAATAAAGAGGCAATGCTCAGCTGAAAAGCACATAACTGAGATTTAGTGCGCTTATTTATAAAAGAGTATCACTAATCCATGTGAAATCATAAATCTGCAGGCAGAAAATATCTTAAATATCCTGTCTAACTGGATTAGTGTGTCATGTAAATATAATTCAAATTCTCAGAATAATTTCTGGGTTTTCTGGGTATTTCTGGTTTTCTCAAATTCTAATGAAAATTAAAGCACAGCTGGTGCTAGGATGCAAATGCATTTATTTCATTTCAAATGAATAAGCCTGCAAATCAGATGCACTTAACATGATGGAGCACTCAACTTCCTCAATGTACTGATTTCCAGAGGTATATATCTTGGTATATCGAGATATTTCTATTTTTGCATATTACTGGTTCTCGCTTACTTGTCTCTGCTAGTCATATGAGTGCGCATATTTTATGTATATTTCTGGTGTGCGTAATAACTGCAGTATTTTGGTCTGCTGTACTGGAAGAAGAGTGTGTATGGGGAAGCAATTGAATCTGCAGTGTGCATGTGTTTTTATTGGATAATCCCGTTGTAAACTGAATTTTCGAATTGTTGCTGGAAATATATTTTTTTTAATTCTTGCCCTAGTAACTAACAATGGACCAGTTAACAGCAGCACTAAAAACAATAAACAATGCAACAATAAGCGGAAAGTCCGAGGTACTCGTCAGGTCGCCAAACAAAGTAGTAAAGGGGTTCCTTGAGTTCATGCAGAGCAAGGGGTATGTTGGAACTATTGAGTATGTAGATGATCATAGAAAAGGAAAGGCCATCGTTGCACTGAACGGAAGACTCAACAAGTGCGGATCAATATGCCCTAGATTTGACGTGGCATTCCGTGACGTAGAGAGATGGAGAAAGCTTCTCCCAGCAAGACAGTTTGGGCATGTTGTCATAACAACATCTAAGGGAATAATAGACCACAAAGAGTGTGTTGAAAAGCACGTAGGAGGTAAAATACTTGGATTCTTCTACTAATAAACCAGAATCACGGATACTTTTCTATCCGAGGACTGGTTTATCCGTCCTTTGGACTTTCTTTGATTTATGCTTGTTTTATTTTGTGTTTGCTGTGCCATTGTTACTGCATCTGTGCGGGCATGTATTCAAGTCTACCCGAATCCACATTTAAATTATATTTGCAAATTTATATGCGGTGATGGGCGTATTTGCTTGGGCCTGAACTGAAGAGTGCGATGACTGCTTTTATCATTCTACTTGAAATTCATATTGCACGCGCGTGCAGAAAACTCTTCTTAATTAGCTGCACACTCCCCCTTAATTTGCAGATTCTGCGGAGAAAGACTCTTCTGCATATGTGAATTTGACTTTAGCAGAGCATGCAGTGAGACAGTGCTGGATATTTGGCTATGCTTCTTTGACTGTGTGCACTTCCCTTAGTACATTTATTTTCTTACAGTAAGCACACTGTTTGCTGCGTCTTTATTATTTTCATTGCAAAGCATCTCTAGCTCAGAAAATATCCAAGACAATGCAATCTTGCTTAAACTGCACCTGCTAGCTAGATAATATATCCTGTATTTTAGATTGCAACTATTTCTTTTCTATGATTTTTCTATACAAGTGTCTTCTAAGCCACTGTGCTTCTTAAAAGAAATTTAAAAGCAGCTGCATGGCAAAGACCTAGAGGCTCTGAGCAGGAAATATAAAATTAAACATGATTTGCCTTAAAGCCAATAGGCTCCTTCGTATACTTGCGTAATATAACCCGAATAACCCAAAACCCTGAATAGAAAGAACAAGCACAAACTCACAAATCTTTGGATTTTCTTTTTAAGCGGCTCAAAAGTTTATTAATAGAGAGATTGTAGTATATTATTCTATTTTCTGTGTATTTTGGGTGGAATTTATGTGATTTTCTTCCTCCCTATCAGCCTTTTCTTCTGATGATTTTTCTTCTTTTTCGGACTCTATGCTTTCTTCATCCGCACTTATACTTGCATCTGCAGATGGTTTGTCGCATAAAATGGTTGTCTTCTTGAGAGTTTCTATTATACTCTCTATGACACTTGCTGGTGCTTCTGGAAGATCAGATTCATCTTGGCTTTCTGTGTGCTCGGTGCTTGAAATAATCTCCTCGGTCTTCTCTTTGGCTGATTCTTCTTCTTTTCTATTAACCTCCGCAATAAAAGCAGTCTTTCCAAGCCCAGTGGCAGCAGAAATATAAAAGAGATTGAAATTGCTGTAGAACTCCTCCATCCACAAGGCAATTGACTGAGTCAAGGGCGTGTTTGTTCCTTCTTCAGGAAGGGCTTCACTGAAAGACTCAAAGTCCCCTGCCCACTTTTTTATTTTCTCTGCGCCTTCAATGTCTGACTTGTTTACAGCCACAAGCAGCTGCTCCTTAAACCGGTAGTGTATGGATGTGGCAAAGAGCATATTGCTTATGAAACACTGCGGGTGCTGGGCCTTTTCTCCATCCACCACGTACACCATCTTAACCTGGACGCCTTTTGTTCCTGAAAGACACTGCGTGATTATCTGCCCAGACACAGATGTAGTGAACATCTCTATCTGTCCTGGCGTGTCTATAATTGTGTACTCTGGCTGCAGCTCCTCAATCTGTGATATCAATACATCAATGTGCGCTGCAAACAAATTCAGTGCCGTTAGAATTGCGCCATTTGGCCCAAGTTGTTTTTTCTGCATGAGCTCGTCTATGTCAATTGTGTTTCTTATGTCGTAGTGCACGGGCATCTTGACCTCGTTCACTGCCGGGTCCAAATTAATCCCGCACACTTTATCATTTAGTCCTGTCTTGCTGTTTATCTTCGGGTTGCTTCCTGATAGCCAGGAGTGCAGCCGGTGGCAGAACGTGCTCTTTCCGCTTCCAGCCATTCCAAGAACAATTAGTACCGTATTTGCCATAGTTAAAAATTTTATTCGCGTAATGTATCCGCTTGACTTTATTCGAGGACTGCTTGGGACGAAAATATGCATCACAATGAGAGACAGCACAGAGTACAGAGGAGTTCTCCGCATGTTTGATGAGCATATTAATCTAATTATTTCAAATATTGCAGACGCACCAAAGGAAGTGCTTTTCTTACGAAGTGAGAATGTTTTGAGCATTTGCGAGGGATAGACTACTGCAGTCTATGCTCTTTTAAATAAATAAGTGTTTTGTATACTAATAAATATATTGACTTGCATGTCTGCTGCTGTTTTATGGCACTGCCCTATTTCACTTGGTTTTCATTCTGTGCACTATGCCATTCAGATGCCCGTGTTTTATTTTGGCTTTTCAGGCTAGCTTGTCCCAAGTTCTTCTGGAACATATAATTAGTAAAGCTTATTTCAGCGGAGTGCGTGTATATACTCCTTAAGTGATCTAGATTGCTGTGTTCTTCTAAATTTAAGCTGATTCTTTCCTAGTCTTTCAATAAATCTGCATCTGCAATTTAATTACCAGAAGCATTGTATCCACTGCACACTAAAGTGCTACGCAGAATAAATACACTATACGCTGGGTGTGTGCAGTATTCTGTACCATATAAAGGGTTTCTAGCACACTTATCTTTAGAGTTGCTATTAGTGTGCCTTAGGTCTTTTTTAACTATTGTATATGGAGGTTTGCCTTTGCCTATTGCATGCCTGCACTAAAAGAGCACTGCAAAGGCTACAAAGATGGAGGTTCTGGAAAGAAGCGTATAGAAGGAAGTAACTTGATTGCTATTTATTAACGAATGGATATTCAATTTCTGACAAATCATCTCTGTGCGAAGAAGCAAAGAGTAATGAATAATAAGTGTGTGTGGTATAATGTGTAACATTTCAATACTAAATTCGGCAGAAAGTATTTCAAACAGCAGTGTGGTTTGTAGCTTGCGCTTGGTGTGGGGTCAGACCGCACGGGGCAGGGACTAATACTGGTCAAAAAGCTGGTCCATCACTGGAGGATCACTATCCATGCCTACCATATGAGACTGTATTGAGCACCCTGCTGAGCTATCCTTTTTATCGTTCTCTTCATTGATTATGGGAACAATTGGAGGGGTGTAATTCCTGCTTTGCACGATTGACCAATTGATTTCTCTGAAAAACGAGTGCCTGCAGATCATTTTCACGCCCTTCTTGTGCCCAAGCCTCTTCTTTCTGTCTGTCTGCAAAAGCTGCTTTATGAGGTCCTTGGACACTGGGTCCACAAAGGATGGGAACTTCACATGCCCACGAATGATCAGCCTACACAGCTCCACCTGATTGTCGTGGTAGAATGGAGGATACCCCACTATCATTTCGTACAGAATAACCCCAAGTGACCAGAAGTCGACCTCAAACCCATGCCCAATGTTCATTACTATCTCAGGGGCTAGATACTCGGGTGTTCCACACAGCGTCCACGTCAGAGGCTGGTACAGCCTTTTGGAAAACCCAAAGTCTGCAAGCTTAATGTGTCCCTCCCTGTCCAGCAGAACATTCTCTGGCTTTAGGTCTCGGTATACAATTCCCAGGCCATGCAGCGTCTCAAGTGCCACAAGTATTTCTGCAATATAAAATCTTGCTTGCTTCACAGTAAACTTAATAATTTCTTTCATAAAAGAGAAAAGCTCGCCACCGGGGACGTACTCCATAACCATGAAGAGATACCTCTTATCCTGGAACGTGCTATATAGACGAACAAAGAAAGACGAGTATAGACTCAACATTACAGTTTTTTCATTGTATACGTGCAGTAATTGGTTGCTATTAATAATCTGGGCCTTGCTCATTATCTTAAGTGCATATAGCTTCTTCATCTTCATTCCTGCGAGGCCTTCAAATGATACAAGGAATACCCTTCCGAAGGATCCTTCCCCTAAAACTCTCACCATCTTCAAATCTCTAAGCAAAAACATCTCCTTTAAAATCCTAAAAATTTCTTTTACAAAAGTAGAAAAGAAACTTTTCGAATCATCGAATTTTAATACCCTGTGACCTTTCGTGGGCAAATTAAGAAAAAAAATAAAATTGTGCCAAGCACTTTAAAGAATATTTTGCAGTGCAAAGCATGAATATAACCCGAATTTCAGTGACTTTTATTTGTACTGTGTAAATATGTGTGCAGTGTGAAGGCACTTCTATTTTGTGCTGGAACTGCGCAAATGTCTATATCTGGTGAATTCTAATTGTGCATCTTTTATCAGAAGATTTAAGATGCGGGATAGTATCCTGTTTAAGAATAGCATGTATATCCAAAGAATCCAAAGGATTATAAGTACACTTGGGCGTGTTCCTCTGCAAATATACTAGTATAGAAACTGCATGCTCTTTTATATGCGCCCAAATACTGGGGTGAATGTATCTTGGTTTTTTAAGGAGATTAAGGTTCTTCTTTCATATTGAGTTCACTGCAATGGAGTGCCCCTAAGGGTTTATTATTTTTTGGGCTTGAAATAGACGAATTTACACGATCGTCTAGTTAATATATGATAAAGCATGTGCTTTTATGTGAGCATACAATAAATCTGAATGACCAGAGTGCATATACGTACAACGCATGTGCATTGAAAGCTCAGTGAATTATCCGGTTATATTGCAAAAAGACATGCGTGTTGAGTATGTGACTATATACCTCAAACAATGCATATTTAGGATACTGTAAGCCTGCACTAATTGTTTGGCTGCAAAATAGCTGAGTGCAATTTTATTCTTAGATTTTTGGATTATTCGGGTTATATCAGCATAATATTCACTTTATATGACAGATGCCTTTGTTTTATCCACTATACACATCTTCTATGGACAGTGTACTAAAATGCTATATAGATGAAGACAGAACTTTCATAATTATATTTTGCACGAAGTGAAGAATCAAGCAGATCTTGCCACATTATATGAAAGAAAAGTGTGTGCAAAAAGCGAAGTCTTTCATTATAGAAACGAAAATCCTATGGTATGAATTTTATTTGTCTTTATATGAGTATGCCTCTATTATACATCTTTATGTATTGTAATTCATGTATGGTTATATTTAGAAAAGAGTATGCGCAATCACTCTTAAATTATGCACTGCACGGGTTTATGCCAAATAAATATACCAGAAGAAGAAAATTTTAATGAACTTCCCAGAAGAGCAAAATGTGCAGCACATGAACATTACAACAAAGAGAATATTTATTGAAGAGTGCAAAAAATTCCTAATGTCAAGCCTGCTTCATATCAAAGAAACAAAATGGGACAAAGACCTTTTCTCTAGCAGAGTGCGCGCATGGGCATCTGTAAGCGGCCTTATGGACACAAGCAATCAAAAGACAGACTTATGTGAAAGCTTTCTTTTTTGGGAATACATAACAGAGACTCTTGAGTCTATCTCACTTTATTCTCCAGAAGAGGTAGAGCAGGCAAAAGAGAACATTAGCATACTTATTCACTCGATCCACGATGTTCCGGTAACAGCTTCTGCTCTTTTCTATCTTACCCGCATAATGAAGCTAGATCAGGAGGGTAGTACTTCTCTTTCCGGGCAGCTGCACCCTCTTGTTTCAGAAATGACAAGACTGTATGATGATATAACACAATTTGCATAGACAGCAAAGCATTTGAATCATTTGAATGCTGAAATATTCTAAACTGCTTATGTATAGCGTCCAACTTATCTTAACTGCACTACCTGGATGATCCTCTGGGTTACATGGTGTTTAAATGAATGCATATAAAGGAGTTTTAGCTTGATTTTAGTGAATATCCCGAATTATTTTTAGCAATGAAGTATGGTATTAGCAATGTTTCTGCTCATAAAAATCGCATATTTGCTCAGTGGTTGTACAGTGGGCTCGCCCTTTAACTATTATATATACTTTTTGTGTGTCCTGAATATAGCCCAAATATGTAGTAAGCTTCTGTGTGCTAATACGTGTGCTAATATGTGCGTATTTATCTAGACCTTTGAGAAAATTATGGTCCACTCTGTATGCTGTGCTTTTCTATGTTGTAAATTCATTAAAAGCATCTAGTTCATTCGAATCTGAACATCTTCCAAGGTTACACTAATTATACATTTCTATAGAAGAATATTAAAATAAAACCTGTGCACATGCATCTATTGAGGGTTTTATTTTCTTGTGCAAGAGAAAAGTAAAAGAATAAATATAAATACTAACGAGAATAAAGTCTACTGTGTGGAGATGTTTATTTAGCAATAACAGGGTGGGCTTATGCAGAGAATAAACTGCAGAGATGAAATAGGTTTAAGCGGTAGATGAGGGCGTGATGGCAAGCAGATTGACTCCAGGTATTCTCATACTTAAACAAATATACATATAGATACTGTTTATAGCTATTTAACAGTATAATGTTCATTGAATACATTTAAATACAGAGCATATTCTACTCACCGTGGGACACACGCATATTCAAATGGCTGTTTTCAAAAAAAGACAGGGTAAATATGATTTGTGTGCATAAAGGACAATAAAAAGCATAGAAGCAGCAGTAAAGCATCTGGAAGAGCACGCCTTATGGCTGTACTGTCTCGTACCAATTGATTTCACAGTTGTATATAAATGCAAATTTTTATTCATCAAAATGGAAGTTGAGAAAGTGATCAGTATTCAGACAAAAGATATTAAAGAACTGTTTGAGCCTTTCAAAGAGAGCATCAAAGAGGAGATTGCGCAGATACTAGGAGAAAAGTATGTCACAAATGAGGACAAATTTCAATTAGCACTTCGCTCTCTTCTGAAGAAAGCCTCCTTAAAAGACTGCGTGCTTGTAGAGAATCTTGATGACAGAAACCAGAGAGAGGACTTGCAGTGTATGGCTGCAAACATGCACTACATCCAATACGCAGCAGAAGAAAAACAGCGCATTGTTAACATGCTGGCATCTGGTGCGCTCAACACAAATGATGCTTTTAGTATGATGCTTGCATGTGTTCAGAAAGAGCTGGACAAAAGAGCAAAAATATACACAAATGTGGTATATGGCAGAAAAAAGATGGAAAGTGCAGGAGTTGATGCAATTGACTCGCTAAACTACTATTTATCATGCCAAGGAAGAGAAGAAACAATGCCACCGCTACTTCGATCTCTTTTAAGAAAGATTTACACAAACTTTGAAAACTGTCCAGAGAGGCTTTTTGACGTACCAGCAAGCTCAAAGGAAGAGATCATAAGCGCAATAGATGGATATAGTATAGAGCAGCTACTTGGTTACTGCGAGTATAGGCTGGACACCAGTGAAGGCGCACCAGAAGATGAACTTTTAATGTTTACGCATATGCATGCATTTGTACAGGGTGTGCTAGAGCACTGGGGCGAAATTCGAGGAGAAAGTCCGAATACAGCAGAGGCAAAGCCAAAAGAAATACTTAATCTTTTCCAGGAGGCGTTTGACTGGACTCTTCCAGAGAGCACACAGAAAAAGCACAGAGACAACCTAATAGAAATCATACAGAAAAAAGTAGACTACCTCCAGGCACGAATAAAGGCCAAAATGGCCATATTCGGAGAGATGGACACAGCAGCAGAAAACCTTCTGTTTACTCTGACAAAAAAGAACATAGAAGAGAGCAAGGACAAAGACAGTAAATCATCTTTGGGTTTGTATAAGTGCTTTTTGTCGTTTGCTAAGTCGATCTTTATACTTATTTTCATGCTGAATACTATTGTACTGAGCGAGAACTCTGAGTGGAAGAATCTTTTTACAACAAAAAAGCTTCTAAAACTTATTTCTCCCATTCTGTGCCTGGGATCCATAGCACAGCTATACGCAAACCCAATGCTGCTGAATAGAAGAAAGATAGACAGCAGTGGATACACAAAATACCCAGAAGACTTTGTATTCCTTTTAGTATTCTTTATTATTATGTCTATTGTGCTGTGCATTATGTTCCCATATAGCTTGCAGAACTATTCACTCTATGTGCTTGAGCTGATGCTGTTCATAATTAGTGTGATATGCAATATGAGGAGACTAGCAGCAAGCACAAAGAGTCTTCTATTTGATGATAGATTATTGTCAGACCGCGTATTCTACTTCATATACTGCCTTCTCTCACTAATCATGGTTGTTGGACTTCACTTTTACTCTACTAATTTCCCAGTTATTAGCAATAATGAGGCTCTTAATGCATTAGTGCTCTTTTAAATAGAAAATAAAAAGGTGCATGGAAAGCAAGGAATATACAGTAATTATAATATCGCATATGCTGCATTCTTAGAGTGTGGCTTTATAGCATTTCGAACCAGCAGTGATAAATAAATAGAGCAAAGCATTTATTTTAGTGTAAGTTAACGAGAAATATCCAAAATTGAGAAATAATTGTTTAACCTGTGTGCTCCACTAGTGTATGCTCTGTTACAGAAACCTAGTTTTTTTGCATTTTATGTAGTCTAGCAAGTTATACACTGTCTATGACCAGGTGATAGTTTATAGATTTTGCATCATTTTATTGTATGTTTTTATGTTTTTCCAGGGACACACACCTTTCCACCCCTCTATACATCTCTTTTTAGCTAAATCAGTGTCTGAAATATATTTTGCTGGTTTTCTGCAGTATAAATGGTCTAAAATAAGGAATTATTCTTTCTAATATGCACATTATAGGAAAAATCAAATATAAAAATAAAAAACTTTTTATCCTGCATATGAAAACAGGGTTTACAGCTTTACTTCTATCCACTTGCCTTTATATGGTGTGTGGAAGACCAGACTTTGAGACACTGCAGCACATCCAGAAAAGTGTGCGTGTAGGGCCCTCTGCTGCACAGCTAGAAATAGAATTAACAGGTCCACTGAACCTTTTGCGTGGGTACATTTACCACATGGAGGGATACATGCACAACAAGCGATTCTATTCCCCAAGCATAGCAGCAAGCTATTCGCTAGAGAGTTTTCCCTCTGAGGACAAGTTCTGGCCTGACTTCAAACTAACACAGACGCCTCAGAGTGATACCGTGTGGGGGCAGCTTAATAGTACCAATCCATCTGAGACATATGAAAGAGAGTACCATGAAAAACTGATCCAGCTGTTTTCCTGGGAGAATGGAGAGTTATCCATAGAAAATGAGCGAAATGGCTCGTTTATTCAGTTCCTTCGCAGCGAGCCTGCGCGGCAGCATGCCATGCAGATCCTTGCTGCGCTTTTTCTTCTCACAGAAAGAATAGAGGTACCAATTGAATGCACAAAGGATGGAAAAAACCTTTGCATCCGGATGAAGACAGAAAAGACTGCATACTTTGATATTACTGTAGAAGTGCCAGAGGAAGTCCAGGGAAATACTGCAGCACAAACCACTAACAAATCTGAGATAGAGGACATAATAGGCTTTTTTGTATACTATGCAAAAAAACACCATGTACTGCAGAATTCAGCTCCTGTAAGCCAGGAAAGGTTTGAGGAGGGCGAGTTTCTGGATACTCTAAGCTTCCTGATACAGGTGTATGTCTTTGAGTTTATAGACAGTGCATCAGATGCCAAGCAGTTTATTGAGGCAGTGTACAGTTTACTTTCTGATGCCACTGAAAATGGGAAGGACTCAAAGACCAGTACAGAGAAAGCACATGCTGATTTTATTTTAAAGAAGTGCTTCTCTCCAGTAGGCACAGCTAATAGTGAAATGGTACCATACTTCCATGCTATAGAGCAGATGCAGAGAACCATCAGTATCTGCAAGGCGTTTCCTTTTGTATACATAGGACAGCTGCCTGCGCCCATGCTGGTTCCGCAGTACGACCGAAAGCTGGACCAGTTCTCGCAGACGAAAGAATATTTCAGAAACAGCACTGAGATCTGCATATACGGCCTCTTCTGCTGCTTCTCATATAACCCAAAGGAGCACAAGTATACAGTTGGCCACATTAAGAATGCGTCTGTAGAGCTGCGAAAATTCTTTGAAATGTTCAGTGCTCCACTTGAGGAAATGGACCTGGAGGCACATAAGGCATGGAGTGCAGTTGTCTCAGATATCAGTGAGGCAGAGATTGAGTATAAAAAGGAAGGTAACGAAATTCAGTGCGGGCTTTTGAATCTTCTGAAAGTTATTCTGAGCATCACAGGCCTGTACGAGAGCAAAAAAGAAGAGCTGTCCTGGTACTATGAAGTTCTTGCTCAAAACGACAATCCAGAGGAAGAACTGTACACGGAAATAGAGAAGTGCACACAGAGTGTATTCGAATTGCTCCTAAAGAACAAAAAAATGACTGTTAGCTGCAAAAACCTTAAAAGCAGCCGCAGACTAGACGGCACCACTGACGTGTACGGAACAGTTTGCATCGTATACAACGATGCCAAAATGAGCAATGGAATTAGCATATGCTTAACCCCACGCGGTGCTGAGCTACAGCTTCTCCCGGTGCAGAACCAGGCAGTGTGCTCTCCTTCTGCAAGCCTTCTAGAGCTCAAGAGGATGTATGAGTGCGAGGGAAGCTTTATGGGCCTTCTGACAGCACAGCACATCGACGCAAGGACCAAAGCCATATACTTCTCTTCCTCAAAGGTTGCCATACCAAAGGATGCAATCCGAGAACTATCTTTAAACGATTTCCAGCCGATGAACAGAGTGCTTATAAAAGGGAAGATTCACGAGATGAAATACAAAAAGAACCTTATCATGCACTTCGTTGCATACACTGCTGGCAGAGAGATAAATGCTGCACACCCAGTATCGCGCTTTATCAGCAACATCCTTGGGCGCTGCGAACTGGACAACCATATTGTTCAGCTAACACTTCTACCAAGCTTGCTGTACAACGGCTCCTACAAGTCCTGCTACCCAAATATAAAAATCTCCGAGAAATTATACAAGCAGATTGGCGCGTGCACCGTTGAAACTCTTAGAATCTTTGGGCACGTCCTAGACAGAAATGACGCTAGCATTGTTCTGTCCTGCCTAACCACGTTTATTATGCTGGAGAAGAGCCACGGCTCCCCGCACAACCCTCTGACAACTGCGTACATGCAAAGACGGATATTCGACTGTCTGTTTAAAGAAAACAGCACAGAGCAAATAGACCAAGTTATTTCGCTCACAGAAAAGTACTGGTATCAAATGGAGGGTACACCCGGCATGCTCCGCTTGATGGGATTCATCCATGCGTGCACAAAAAAGCCGCTCTGCCAAATGCTTATCAAGAGTCTCTATGCAAAGATCCACACGAACGACCTTACATATTCAAACATTCAGTACATCACTAATCTGAATCAGCTGAAGCAGACCGTATCTATTCTTATTGCACTCCGTATAGAGGATAAGCTTCTGCATGGCATTGAAAAGCTAGAGCAAATACAGCAATTCTTCACAAAAGCACAGTGCTTATATGCATCAGAGTAGACTGCAGCGCATAAGTAGATTTTCCAGCTAATGCTAAAGACAGAGTCTACAGCATCTATTATACTTCTACTAGCTAGAATGCCTATGGAATAAAAGAATTTTCACTAATCCAAACCGCACTACAGTTCTCTTCCTAGCACACAAACACGCTTTATTATTTAGCCCGTATGCACCTCATGCATCTAAGTATGTCTGCAGTTGTAGCGTACGCATATAAGCTGAATTCCCTAAAAAGAAGTACTTCCCTAAACAGGCGTGCCCATGGTTGCAGAGAGAGGACTCTCCTTGCATCACTTAGAGAACCGAGGCAGTTTGGCGTAGAGCAGCACACAGCCCACTTCTGTATCCGCGTTGTTAAACAGGAATATTCCCTGACATGCCACTAAAACAGCTCTTTCTTTGCACGGCTTTTTTCTATCTTTGTTCTCTTTTGCCTCTTTTTTTTGCTTTTTTGCTCGCTCTGTTCTTCCTTCTGTTTCTTTTTTTGCTTCTCCTTCTTTTCCCTTCCCAGCTGCACACTGCTTTTTTTAGACGTGTAGAAAACCTTTACATGCTCTTTTCTGTTGACAAATTTCACTAAAATATTCTGCACGCCCGCCCGAATCGCCCGAAAGTTTTCTATCTGCTGCGGGTCTGTCTTCCACAGAGTAATTCTTCTTCCATATATGTCAACACCCTTCTGCTGCACAAAACAGCTTGTTGTCTTTAAAAGGTTTTTGTAGTGCGCTGCTGTGCCTGTAGACATGCCCAGCTGCCTCTTTATGCTTCTGTATATCTGCTTGAATCTGGTCCCCATACCTGCACTCAGAATCTTCTGCAGCTCATTTATCTCAAATGCATACACGCAGGAGGGCGCAGCCACGCCCAAAAAATACTGGTTGTTCTCAAAGCCAAACTCAATCGTATCAGAGGACGTTATAAGCTCGTTGTTTATCGCCCACTGCTTGTCATTTTTTTTGTACTCTGCTGTCCACTTCTCCTGCTTCCCCTTTGCCGTGAATATTATTCTAATGTGGCACGAGAAAATTGGAATCGTCCAATTCAGAGTAAAGAACCGGCCTATTGTCTCCATATGCTAGCTGTCCTTTTCTCTTAAATATTGCTGCAACTGATCAGCATCAAATTGATCGCACACGAATATATTAGAGACTACAGCAAACCCTATCCCTGCCGATGCACACTACTGCAGTGCTCTCTAAATGCGCATGCCTGGACTTCATATATTTCTAGAGTTTTTTGTGCGCACTACTATTCACTGCACTTTAAAGGCACTGCATGGAAGAAATACATAATAATGCAGTGCACACATACATCAGTGTATAATGAATCTAAACATCAATAAAACTCACATATAAAAGCACAGCCAGATAACCTACATTCATACGCCTGCCCAAAGCACCCTGCAGTATTTCAAGTTATATTCTTAAATACATAGGCACGCTCTAAATAAAAAGAGTACATAGTACACAGAAGAAGACAAGAAGAAAAAACTTGTCTAAGACTAATATAGGCCCACAAGGAGCCAGCAGGTAACTAATACTCGTGCGGCCATATGCCTGCGTACACACCAGAACCCGTTCGATCTCTGAAGTTAAGCGCGTGACAGCTTTGATAGTACTGCGATGGGAGACCGCGTGGGAACACAGAGTGCTGCACTTTTTGTCCTTTTCCGCACCTGCACTGCACTGTCTCTGAGGTATCTGCTAGTGCACGGGGTCAGAGAGACGGGTACTTTCTTTGTGGGATGTAATTATTTGCTGGCTGCTGCACATGGCTTCTAGACAAACCTTGGGTGTAGTCTAAATAAATAATAGCATGCTTTTATTTAAATTTTCAATCCAATTGCCCTTTACTTTCTATTTTTATTGTGCCTCTGCAGACACATATATGCTTCTGGTGCTCTTGACAGCTGCTCTTTTGCTGTACATTGCGCACACTGCCATAAAGCATCAGGAGGAAGTAGAAAAAGTAAAGGGCCTTCAGAAAGAGATCCGCAATCTGAAGAAAGAGATGCAGGATCTGCGGGCGCAGGTGCAGAAGTACAAAGGATACGAAAGAAACTTCTATAACCTAAAGAAGTCATACTTTGATTTGCTGGACAAAGCTGTGAAGCCCAGAAAGAAGAGTGAGTAGCTACAGCATGTGGGGTAGAAATAAATTAGCACATTTTGCAGCAACTCATCATAGCCTAGGCACTCTACACATCTGCAGTATGTATCGTGCCGGCAGTTCTTCCAGACTTTGGGGCAGGCTCTTTTTAAGACTATTTTCCTTGCACGCACTAATATGCACTTTTCCTTAGCCTTTGATGCTTGGTGGGGCCACTTTGTCACTGAAATAAGATGGGACTTTATTAGACCTTTTTTTCTGAAGATACTCATCCTCAATCATTTCATCTACAATCATCTTTTTAACGCTTATATCTTTTTCTCTTGCTGCCTTGACAATCCCAACTGCCAGACTGAACATTGGCTCGGTGCATATAATTGTTCTATCCTCCATTGACTGCCTGAGAATGTGCCGATTCTTCAAAATAGATTCATAATTAACTATACCTATTTTTTCTTTTAGATACCGGATATGTATGAAGAACATCGCAAATTTTGCAAACTCAATTGCATTTTCGTGGGGCGGGACTTCAAATACAGGATTGCCTCTGTATAGCTTTTTTACAGGTATGCAGTTATATGTGTAGTACTTTTCTGGGTCCAGCGCTATTGGTAGGTCTTTTGAGATGGTGCATGTGCCCCCATTCAGTGCTTTAATAGCATCCATGTATTTGTACAAGTCCAGATTTAGGTCTCTCTGCGATTCTGGGACGTTTTCAATTCTGTCTTGGAGTCGGGTTTTCATCTCATATAATACTTCTGGGTCTTTATTTGCTTTGAAGTCTGCCCATGAGAAACAGTTATTTACTACCACGCACGGCCCGAAATCCAAGTCTTTTGCGTGCTTGCCTATTCTTGGCCGGCTATTGGATGTTTGTATGGTGACTAGCCAGTTTTTTGATGTAATCATTTCATTGAGGATGTATGAGGCGAGCATCTCGTTCGTGAATGTCTCGCTAATGTTCACACTAGAACTATCGGCGCACAGAGTTTTGTTAACATCCTCAAGCCACATGCAGTAAACATTAAAAATCGCTTGATCTACGTTAAGGGTATTTATGCATAGACCTCTTCTTAGAATCTCAGTGTACATAGTCATCATAATTGGCCGATATGTGCAATTGCTTTTTTTTTCATAGCTTTTCCTTGTTTCAATATATTTTATGTCACTCCAATACCTATTTATTTTGCTTTTCGCGCTTACTTTTTCAAAAATATTCAGCCCCATCAGACCAAAGATGTGAACATCTTTTATAAGCTCTGCGTTTCTGCTGAGGTTATTATTTAGATTGCCATTAAAGGTTGACTCTAAATCAAACAAGGAAGTTTTATATTCTTTCAAAGTATCGGGCATTAGATCGAAAATTTTATATATTGGAAATCGATCTCTATCTTTCCTGTCTGCTTTCAACAGTTTCCTATCTGCTCTCAATTGTTCCCTGTCTGCTTCTGATTCTTCTCTTTCTGTTTGCGGAAGTTCTCTTATTTGCAACCTTCTTTTCACCTGCGGCCCTTTCGTAACTAGTAGATTTGTTTTAGAGAGCAACTCTTTTTTAGCATCTATTGAAACAGAAGATTTATCTGATGACAATAGCAAGGGCAGTTTCTCAATTATAGACGAGTAGCAATTGAATATGCTGTTCTTTCCTGTGTAGACAAAAATATGCATAATCACAAATATCATGGCAGGAATGAGTTTTTCTGAACTCCCGGGTTTTTCAAGTGACACCACCAATATAAGTATAAGTGCCTCTATGGATAGGAAGGCCATTATGCTTCGGGGCATGTATGGTATCTTAACAAATAATGCGGCTACAGCGATGCATCCAAGTACAGTTAGTGTTATTTTCTTTTTAGCTTGTGTGTTTACTATATTTATGTTCATGCACTCATTTTTGTGTTTTACTTTATAGTCTTTTTCCCGGGATCATTTTCCTTATTTGGTAAATCCTCATTTACAGATCATCAGTCACACTGTATTGAGAAAGCATGAGACCATGTCTTTTTCTCGCATAGACTGTGTGTTTAGATGTGCTGCGCAGCTTTCATAAAAGCTGGCACAGGTCTGTGGACTGAACTTTCTCTGAAATGCAGAATAGACTCTCTTTGCAGTCATGGGGCCAAATGCGGCTTGGTGTGGTTCATGTCACAGCACATGTGTACGTGCGTGTTTAAGCAAGGATGAACATAAACAGCAGAAAACACGCATGGAAGGATTCTAACGGATAAAAATGATGCATGCATGCAAGACATCACCAATTCTTTAACCCCTTGGAGCTATTTTATATTTTGTAAATACAGTATAAAGCAGAGCGCGGTGTAGTTTTGCCATATATATAATCTTTTCTCTCTACGTAGCCCTATTCAGGTTTGTTTCTTATATTATTCATATTGCATATGTGTTTATATTTTCTGTAAGTGCTTCAGTAAAGTAATGGGTATCCTGTATGAAATGTAAAACTTATTTCTCTGGCTGCAGCAGCAATAAAGAAAAATAAGAGAAGCAGCAGGATGATATTGGTAAAAGCTGGAAAAGGACCTTGTGGACACTATGGCCAAGAAAAAGCTATAATACTGCAGTGCAGAGAAAATGGCAGCATCTTAAATGTATGGGTCAGTAGAAAAAACTATGAAATAAATTGAGAAGACTACATGCAGACAAAAAGAGTATTCTATATACATGAATAATTCAAGTGCGATTGAAAGTATAAAGAGAGAAGCTTTTATTGAAACTTATAAACCCTCTGTTGAGGGGAATATTTTATAAGTATTGCAAAAACACTTTATTTCTGCAGGAATGCAAGAAACAAAGATATAAAGCTAGATCCTTCATTTAGCAATGCTTCATGTCTTTTTTTCTTATAAGAAGCTAGCAGCACACTTTTCCATTTATTCTAAATTTTAATTTCTTACTTGTGCTGTTTTAATCCCATAGTTCAAAGAAGAATTAAACAATTTTTAACTTATGCTATGAAATTCAATTTGCACGAATTGTTTTCTTAAGGAGCCATTGCTCTAAGCCTTAGTATTTATTTGAGAACTCAACTTCAGGCGCTAGGCAGGGTTTACAGTGCCACACTATAGCCCAAAGCAAGCTTGTCTACTTCTATTGCTCAATAGTCGCATATTTAGCATACAAATATTGCGGAATGAGTCTTGTAAATCTAAAGAGCAGATCACAAACAAATAGTCATAAGAAAGTATGGAAAACAGCACGCACAGAAATAAATAATGCTAGTACTATGCCAAGTGCACATGCAAAATACTCCAGTCCAAATAGGCATGAGTAGTGTGAATAAATCCTCTTTAGAATCCCTCTTTATTTACAGCATATCTTGCTGCAGTGTGTTTTCGACTTTTGCATAATATACATGTATGATGCATAATTTTAGTTTTTGTAATAATGTTTTGTTTGTGTAAATAAAAATATAATTAAATTTCTGTATAGAAAAGAAAAACTGATTTTAAAATACAAATAATGAAAGTTTAAATAGAAATGAAAATACACACAATAATATACTGAGAAAGAATGCTAATAAGAAAGAGTATAGTATATAAAGAAAGGAAGAAAAGTGTCAGAGTGTCTGCTTGGTGTGCTGGAATATGCATATTGGGTTATCTAGTCATGCTAAGCCAAGTGTATACCAGAGTCTCTTTGAATGATATTGAATTACTCAAAAAAAAAGACTTTTTTAGCACAGATGGAAATACTGGTTGGAAAATAGATGTAAATAGTGTACTGAACCCACTGGCTGCACTGATGTGCACTAAAGCTGGATTTATAGACAGTAAGAGATTCGTACCAGGTGGCATTAAAAAAACTAAAACAACAGTGCGGTATATTGCAGAAAATGAGTATATATTAGAAGACACCCGTGACTTGAGAATGGATGAATTAGACCATATAAAAGGTGATAATTACGATATACAATATATTAATGATTATAACAAAACGATTGCTCTGATGTTCCCCTCTATGCATGGGTATGCATCCATATGGTCAGACAGAGAAGACTCTTTTTTCTCTTTTATTAATAGGGTAGATGTAAAAAAGCATAAATACAAAATACTTGCCTCATTGTTGCTGCTTGCAGAAGGAGTGAATGTGCCATTGGCAATTAATGAGAGTCAGAATAAGAAAACATTGGTTCTAGGCAATAGGTTTATATTTTTCAAACACGTAAGAATAGATCTAAAAAGCTCGAAAAGTAGCATAACTAGCAAGGAAGTGGGCGATAACACGCGTTTGTTGGATGTAGTCGATGTGATAAGTTTTTTCATAAACAACAGGGCATCGGTGTCTTTCAAAAAAAAACAGCAGAGTGACACCCTAGATGATTATTCTAAATTCATGAAAGGTATGTTCATTAACAGTCCGGTTTTTCTTATTCAAATGTATATATTTAACTGCATGAAGAATAGTGAAGAAACAATGCTGTTGGTCCAAGAAGTGTTTAATATGCTGCAGAAAAATCATGCAGATAAAGAAAGCGCAGCGCTATTTAATAAGTACTTCACAAGAGCAGAACAAAGTTCAGACTGGAATAACATTATAAAAGAAGTCGAAAATATAGTACAAAAGGAATTAAAGAATGATGTAGTATTTCTTTGGAACCACACAGTGAATTTGAGTCCAACTATATGCACTGCTTCCCAAGAAAAAAGCCCGAATTCTTTAAACCCGAAAAACCCAAAAGCTCCGAATGGACTCAAGTCACAAGTAGATAGTGGCATGGATGTTATGAATAAGTATCTAGATAGCTATTTAGCCAATAATATAAATATTGATAAAAACAATGCTTTATATTTTATTGACTACATAGAAACAGTGTTACTTTCTCTGTTCTGCTGTGTAACACAAGATTGTGATGGGGACACGTATACAACTAGAAAACTATGCTCTGCCTCTGAGGGCCTGAAAAGCTTTTTTGAAAAACACCAGCACATGTACGGAGTCGTGTCAAATAAAATGCATGAAGAGTGGAACAATGTGGTAAAAGATCTGAAAGACCCAAAAATATGGTATTTACGGAAAGATTGCAACCAGCTCGCTCCTGGTCTGATAAATATAATGTATACCTTTGCGAAGGTTGCCGGTATATATCAAATAAAACAGATAGATAATATTGCAGAGAAAATAGAGCAGTTATACGATGAAAAAATAATGACTAAAATTAATACCTACAAGGATATGTTATGTAAGAATCCATCCAAAACAGAGCAGAAAGAAATCATAAGCGAAATTGAAAAAATAATAGGTGAGAAAATTGATAATGAAGAAACACTCCCTTATGAGTATATTTACAGCATTATTGAAAAGCAAAATAATCTGATGGCGGAGTTAACAGATGCCATAAATAAGTATTTTAGTTCAGTAGTAGTTGAAAAATATGCGATGAATAAAAACCTAAAGATAGTTGTAGCAGTGGAGTATAAAGAGACCTCGAAGAATGAAAGAAGCGATTTGTTTGGGACAATATCGATAACCCACATGGAGAATGTTTCTGGAGTAGCTGGGTTCAATGAAAATCATGGCAATTACAGCAGATCTTTCTCCTTCTTGATCAGTTCAAAGTGGGGCGATCTAAAAGAAGCAATCGATAAGGGCACCACTCAATTTGTAAATAATGCCCCAGTCGACAATAATGTTATAACCACAGAAAAAGATAAATTATATCCTAATTGTAAAAAGTGCACTGAAAGTGGATGGTTCATTAACTGGTGTCTAAGACTATGCATACAAGCAAGCAATAATCTAAGCAATTACAATTCTAGTAGTTTTTCATATAAAGAAAAAACTCTAATGAATAGTATGGAGATAGCCAAGCTTGAGAAACAAAAAGACATTCTTCTTCTCAGTTTAATGTTACGTGACAGAAACTACAAAAGAGAATTTGCATTGTATCTCTCTATAGATAAGGAAAGCTCATCTTTACTACAAAACGACAATATTTTACAGTTTATTAAAAATAATGTTGTGGAAATCCCTACCTCGTGTAAGATGGAACTCTCAGATAGATTAATTATGCATCATATCCAGCCTTTAAATCATAAATACTCTGCAAATACATATGTCAATACAGATATAACCCGAAACATAACTTACTTTACAAAGAAAGTACAGAGAATATTAGATTTCTTTAAACAGTGGGACCCAAATACAGAAACAGAGGATACAAATTTAGATTCATCTAAAAAGTCTAAAAAAGCTATAATTCCAGATATAATTGGCCACGAACTATTGTATCGGATAGAAAGAGTGAATTTAAATGTAAAAATTTCATTGGAGCGCAAGATAGAATTGGAATTATTTGACAAAAATGTGCGTATGCTAGCTGAGCTGGTTGTAATGCGTTTAACAGACTCTATCTATTTTCTAAGCGATACTCTTAATTCTCAAAGTGACGATGCTAAGAAGTCCTTTCTTATATTTCTAACATGCGGAAAAAAACCCATGAAGTACATGAACAAGATTCTTGAAGATGTAGATAAAATAAGAAAATCGGTTTATATCAAAGAATACCATAGGAAAATTAATATTTTCTTGATAAAAATCATTCAGCTTGCGCTTTATTACAAAGATACCGCAAATTATGAAGATTTTATAAAAGGCTGTTATGATAAAATTGATTTTAAGATATATGACCAGAAAGCTACAGGGTATATAGGCGAAGTAGAAGATGGAAGTCAGGGGTTGAAAAATATAGAAGGTATATTGTGCAAAGAAATGAAACAGCCCAATATAGACGAGTTTAAAAGGATACTAGAGATGAATTATGCCAATGATAAAGCTACGAACACGGATTGCTATTTTTCTTTAAGCGCTCATGTAAAAGAATTGCCCAAACTCAATCATAACAGCTTACAAGCGTTCGACTCAGAAATGTTCGACTCAGAAGCTTCCTACTTTGAAGATACTAACCCGAATAGCCCTAATAACCCGAATAGCCTGAATAGCCCTAATAACCATAATAGCCCTAATAGCCCTAATGACCATAATTCAGAATCTACTGGATTTGATTTTGACACAACAGATATTGTTAGCTCAGAAGTTTCTAGCTCAGAACCTCCCAGCTCAGAAGATGCCAACCAAAAACCTATCAATCCAAACCATACCAAGTTAAAACCTACTAAGTCAAAATTTACTAAGCCAAAGCTTACCGATTCAAAACCTATTGACCTAGAATCTATCGATCCAAACCATAACAAGTCAAAACCTACTAAGTCAAAATTTACTAAGTCAAGGCTTACTGATTCAAAATTTACTAAGCAAACGAATAGAAAGAAAAGGCGTGTCAACCCAAAACCTGCCATCCAAAAGCTTGCTAACCCATGATCTGCCAAGCCAAATGTTGTTAGAAGAAACAAAAGAGCAATGATAGTAATAGACAAAACACTGCTTAACAACAAATAGAGCTAAAATTAGATCTGGATTGCCAATTAATTAAACTTAGGCCATTTAAAGGGGTAAGCCTTTGAATAAATACTAAAGTTTTAATAATGTCTTTTTTAAGAAACCAAGCGAACCAATCATTAAAGTTATTAATTTTATCTTTGTGTGCGCTAGAAATCGTTCAGATTGTATAATCCACATGCAATTAAAGCATATCTATAATGCAAAGCAGCTAAAAGTAGACTTGAAAAATAGAGTAAGAAAGCTGCAAAGACTGCATGTGAGTGTGGTGCAGGAAAAAATTTCTGGTCTTTGCAAAAACAAAAGCCGCTAGACTGCAGAATATAGGCCCGATGGCCCGCAATTTTGAGAGAAAATATTGACAGACACATAAAACCTACCCTTTGCTGAATTTACAAAACATGCACAAATGTTCCCCTGAGTAGATAATCAAGTGTCTGATATCCTGTTTTTTCCATTTATATGGGCATATATTACAGAGAAAGACTACTACACTTGTATAGTATAACCCGAAATAAAAAGAAGTCACTCCAGTTGTCAAAAACCTACGATCCAGCATCTATAGTATATAAACCGAGTGCACCATATAGTATGCATATAAAGCCTTAATATAGGTACACGCGCACCATCTCAATTTAAGAAAACTACAATTGAATTTAAATAGCTATCTGCAAAACTATATAAATAAAAATTTAGGTTATACATTAGATGGGCAGAAAAACACGAACACTGCGCGCTCTGGCTACTATAAGACTGATATGTGCTGGGTTTTTAGGTTTCGGGTTATATTTAGAGACAGGAGTGTGCTCAAAGTATACAGATATAAATTTTAAAGAAAAGCTTCAAACTAGAGAGCAGAATGCAAATATTCTTCACAGAAAGTATTTAAGCGAGCTAGATAAATTTAAGAGCAAAAGACATGCTGTGGATCTTGCTTGGGATGAGTATGAAATAAAGTATAGAGACGCTGTAAATGCATATGCCGAGAGAAAAATAGGTATAGATGCGCATGCTGAAAGATGGCGCAATGCAAAGATGAGCTCTCCAATTCTTGCCAGCATCTACTGCGAATTAGTGTGCATAGATAAAAAAGAACACGCCTCCCATATAGACATAGAAGATTGCGATTATCTGGGTTGCATTTGGGCTAATTCATCTGAAGTAAACGAGCTGGAGAAAGCTGCGCATTGTTTGGATGTATTGCTTAATAAAAAAAAGGTGGACTGCGCAATAGAAAGCACCAAAGTGTCACGAGTAAGCTATATAGCATATATAAGCCAGAAGCTAGAGGCGCAGAAGGCATACAGCAGCAAAATCAAGCAAGAGTACATAGCCTCAAAGGATATTCTGGACAGCTCACTAAAATTGCTATGTCTAGAGGATTTATTTGAAAGAATAAAGAATAAGTCAATATTTGGGACTGTGGCAGAGATAATCAATGTCTGTCTCAGTGCAGAAGGACACTCTCTGAAGAAAGCAGAGGCGCATCTGCAGGCAATGGAGTGTTTAAATAGCCTTACTTTCTGGATAAATAGTCTGAACGATCTGCAGGAGTTGTGTATATTAAAAACAGACATGCTGAAATCTGCATATCTAGCATATCACGTTGTAGCTAACCTGTGTGAAGAGCAGAATGCACTTGTAGAAAAGGCTGGCAAGGCGTACAAAATGGCGAAGGGACATTTAAGAGTATGAAGTGCATCGGTCTACTAAAGATATGCCTAGTATCCCAACCAATACAGACATTCTAGCAAGTACAAAGACACAGAGATCTATGCTGGGCCATAGGAACTGCAGCGCAGATTCTAGAGTGTGCTGTCAGTGGTCTGAAAATAAAAGGTATAGGCAGCAGGAATCTCTGTTGTGTAAACGCGGATTAGGTTTCTATGAGAGTATGTCTAAGAGTCTTTGTATCTATTAAAAGCTACGCACTATGTACAAGACACACGGGTTGTATTTTATTTTTTTTCTCAGCGCAGAGTGCTTAATATACACACTTCAGCTAGAAAGAAAAACATAGCAGTGCATGAGTTGCAGCGCAATAAAAATACAATTTATAGTGAGAGTGTTTATTTATCTTTGAAATGCAGATGAGCTCTGCCCTCTATAAGGATACTTAACTCTCCTGATATAATATGAACTCTTAATAAAATTGCACACTATGTACTTATAAGAGTTATGTTGAACTATTTTATTCTGAACATTCATGCATAGGCCTTCTAGACGGGGAAATAGTATAAATTTGGAAAACCCTGTTTGAAGATATAAAAGACATAAGAAATAAGTATGGATGGCATACTGGCCTTGTTATAGTCAGGCGCATTGGAGTGTTTATCTTAGAGAGTGTGCATTTAGCTTGTTTTCTGAATAAAAAGATACCCTATAGCAGTATATAGAATATTAATATAAAAATAATCATTAGATGTAAAGTATACAAGAAGAAAAAAATTAAAAAAAAGAATGGTAGATAAATTTGTAGACAATATAGTGTCCCCGCTTTTCGCTCTTATTGGGATGTCTCTTCTCTTCGGTATAGTTGTTTTGTATCTTTTTCAAGATAAAAAACCATTAATAGAAAAGCATGCTCATTATAATATTCCTACAGATGTAAAACCCGATATAACCCGAATTCTGGGAGAAAAAATAATAAACCTACTAACAGGTTCCAATGATCCGACAAGTGCAGCTGTAAAGGCTTTTATTGAAGTAGACAGTGAGGCAGTCTGTAGCGATTTGAGGAATAATAAAATAGGCGAAATATACAAAGCAATCAAGTCTGCCATCCCTGGTATAGTCGAGACATGCGATTTTTGCAGTATAAGGAACTACCCAATAGCAAAATACAAAAAAACAGAATATAATGGCCAGCTGAATGAAATTGAGGGTCTGAACTTAAAAAAAGATTCCTGTTTGAATAAGATTATAGATAAAAGGAAAATATTAATTGAAGGTAAGATAGATCTGGATCATGCAGATACGCGTAAATATGGCTCAAAGGAGCTCTACATTATTTATCTATCGGCGCTGATAGAATTCAAGTGGTTATGCTGGAAAGAAATGAAAATGAATTTAAAATATTTAAGCCTCACAGATGCCAAGGCAATTTTAGTGGACAAAGTAATGAAGAAAGAACTAGAATATGAGCGGAACCTAGAAGCATACTATGTTCTGGTCACAGGAGATCAAACTAATGAAAGTATAAAAGAAGAAAACATTCATTATACGGAGACATATATAGAAAAAAATGCGGAAAATATGAATAATATAGCTAAAAATTTAAATTTGCTAAAGAATATCTATAATCAGGAGACTGATTCAATTTCTAAGCTATTAGCAAAAGCAAATGATTATCTCTGTCTCTGCATATCTGAAGACGAAAAAACAGATCTCAGACGGCCTATACGGGATCTATCTACGCTATTTAGCGATGTTAAGTGCACTATGCCAAAAACTTTTAAGTCTGACTAGGCGGGCAAGTACAGATGCTCTAATATAGCTAAAGTACTTATGTGCTCATTAAAACGGTCTAAATAAGAGAGTTGAGTGGTAGTAGGCAATTACAGTGTCTGTGCACTATTAGCCTATTCCTTCAATATGTGCATAGTCAGAGAAAAATAAAAATAAAGCTCAACTCAGAGTGTATCCAGAGGATGTTTAACAGAGCTGCCTTTATGCTATGCATGCGTATAATGTGATGGATGCGCAGACAATGTATCAGCTGAATTTTTCTTTTTAAAATATTAGACTTAGTCATACTAAACTTGGATATAATTTATTTCTCATCATCTATATGGTTTGTAAAGTGGATACTTACTAAAGTTTGTTTACACAACAAAACAATATTATCACATTAGATTGTAATTTAAGACTTTGTATTACACAAACATAGATCACTATTATGTGTCGCGTAAGCAATTAGAGCTCCTTGTAGCGTGTTAGTCTACAGACAAAACCGGAAGGAAAAGACCAACATCAATCTACTTTTGCTAATCCGGGAAGCAGGTTTCAATGCCCTTGAGGTAAGGAAAGCCAACAGTATCTCTATATAGCTCTATGGTGTATAATACAGATTATTATGATGAGTGTATACGAGTGTGTGTATAGCTGTCAATAAATGCTTGTTTCGTTCTCTACTTACCTAGAGTATGCTGCTCTCTCTGTTTCTTCTCGTTTCTCTCTTCATGTCTGACGAGTGATGGTTCTTTGGAATGTGCTACTTTTCTTCTTTTCTCTGCCTCTACTGCTTTATTTCTCTTTTTATATCTATGTAAAATAAATTGCTTCACTATATGGAGTATACACTTTATTTCCCAATATATAGGAGAATAAAAACACATGGAGGAATTAGAAAAAAATAAAAGGACAAAGCGAGCAGATAAATAGTGGTGGATTATAGTAAAGAAAGCACTTTATCCTACAAATAGTAACTGAAGAAGAAAAGTTCTTTATATCAGAGAGCTTTTATTGATACCTTGAGAGTGTTTGTGGCTGCTTCTTGCACTGTGAGTTTGTCTTTGCTAGTATGCTCTCTTCACTAGGCCACACTTTGTTCTGTGGCCAAGCTACACTTCTTAGTTTTAGACAGCTCAGGCGCAATTATTCTATTTTGCATGTATTTTATATAGCCCGAAGGGTTTAAGAAAAATTGAAGTTTTGCTACAAACAGACTTGATTTCTTACAAGAAATCATTGTTAAAATTTATTATCTATTCAAAAACTCAACTCTTTAAATAGCTTGGTTTAAATTTAACTTTAACATACTTATCCAAATAACCAAACCATTCTTAATGCCTTGCGTGTAAAAAATACTGCCGTTTTTATTGGAAGTAAAAAGTCTTTATAAGAAGCTTACAGAAGATGCAAACGCTACTGAAGAAGAGAAAAATGAAATGAAATTACAAATATTAGGCGTGATTGATGTGAAAAGACTGAAGACCATAAGAATCCTTGGAGAGAAACTTAAAGAAGGAGAAAACAGAGAAAAAGCAGATGAAATCAAGCTAAAGATACAGGAACTAATGGATATTGACTTGTTATATAAAAGTTATATTGTGCAAGAGGAAGTGCTGAAACCGAACTAGTAAACAATATAAAAAAATATCTGACAAAAGTAATTACGAAAATTACACTAAGTAAGAGTATTTCTATTCGCATACATATAAGAGATATAAATATGATTGAGAAAGCGTATAATGATATATTTGGAGGTGTACACGTGCATGACAATCAAAAGAGGAATGCAAAAATTTCCGGTTACTATTTATATGAATTTGATGTCCATCCTGAGTATAATAAAGAAAGAAATAAGCTGAAATGGAAATCCCATTTTAAAATGCATAGGATAAGCAAGGAAGTAGAAGATGCAGTGCCATTTAATATAGAGACGCTTAACTCCTATATAAATAGAAGTATACAGAGAGGTAGCAATCTTAAAGCAGAGAGCAAAAGCTGCTCTAACCCAGATGAAAAGACGCAGCCCACTCTTCTCCATGGGAACAAGTACAATGATATCGATACTTTCCTACTTGATCCACAAATCCACAGATCAAACTATAAAAGAAGCATTGTATTCGGGGCTCTGCTATATGCAATGCCTGATAAAAGCCGAACTACCAACTACCCTATGCAACTAGCATATAACATCATGGGAAGCGCACAGTCCATGGATAAAAAGGATAGAGATATGATTTTTTTGTTGCTTAGTTTGGGGTTGGAAGATAGGTACCATTCACATATATGCATTGATAAGAGTGCATATAAAGATCCGAAAATTTTTATGGAGACAATAGAAGAAGTACTACACTTTGCAAAAAGCACAAACTTTGCATTAGATATAGGATATGCTGATATAATTAAAGACCTAATGATTAATTGCCGAAGAAATTGCCTGAAAGATAGTTACTATTCAGAATTGGAATCTTTTGCTAAAAAACTCAGTGGTATGCCTAAAGCAGAGGATTTATTTGTCAAGATTTTGACACGGGATGGAACCACTGCGCAGCACATCATTGAAATCGCTAAGTCTATGAAGAAAACAGAAAAAGCAATTCAGGTTTTTGATTATATGAGACATAGTAACCAGTTTTTGCTGTGGATTATTCTGGGTATAGTCCAATTTAAGCACGGCAAATGGCATACTCTGGTAAAAGAATGCTATGCCTTATTTCAAATAATAAAATCTGGGAATGACTTCAAAGACTATTCTCTTAGATGGGGATGTAAAGTAAGTCTAGCAAAACTGTTTGATGAGATAGAACCTATAGTGTGCGTTAAAGACAACAAGTAGAGTATGTAAAGGCTTGGATTAATTAAAAGATTATTCAATTAACTCATACATTGATAAGTAAGCTTTAATAAAGTTATTTAAAAATTGTGCGCTAATACTTTTTGCGCGCGAGCCTGTAGAAATAGGCTGCTTTAACTAAAGTACTTGCTAGGACACTAAAGAGCAGTAGCCAGAGTTATATTATAGCTAGTTCAATTGTATGCCGCTATATTGTAAATTCTTCACTGAGTTATATCCACAGAAAAGTATTAAAATAAAAATACAAATGATTTTCAATTATAGCATATAACCGGAAAACTTGAAGTAAACTAATAGCAATAACAATAGAATAAGGATGTTTGTTGGAATAAAAAGGCCATTTATTAATTATTTTTCCAATTATACCGAAATAGACAATTGAATAATCTCAAAGATATTTAAAGAGCTAAGTTTCCGAATAATACTAAAGTTTAATGATGGCGCCTTTTAAGATAAAAAGCTATTTTCTTCTGATTGTAGCAGGCCTAGTAGGTTTTGCTGAAATTAGGCTCTATTTAAGGGCATCAGACGCGCTAGTATTAAGTAAACTGCAGTCCGACACATTGGAGTGCACAGACGAGGGAAGAACAGCCATTACAGTGGACAGTGTGGGAGCAGAAGATGTACAAGCCAACTTATGCTCTAGTAGCACAAGCAATAAAAAGGATTTGTATGAAATCTTAGAAAATATAAAATCTGATCTGGATGCATTGTGCATATTAGAAAAAAGGACAGAGACAGAAAGTTTAGAAAAAAAAGAAGAGAAAATTGTTCCTGCGCTAGACTCAAATGAGAAAGAAGACCAGGATAGTGTGCAAACAAAGGAAGAAGATTCAAGCATACTAGATGAGTTAGTGGATAGTGACTTATGTACATGCAGCATTTCTATGCCGCAGCCTGAATCGGAACCAGGCGAACAAAAAAGCCCCACAATTATAGCAGAAGAATCTGACAATGGCATAGAGAATGCAAGACTGGCTGTCTATATAGCTGAAGAAGAGTACGAAAAGGAGTTAGAAATGATAGAAGAGATGGATACTGCTGTTAATTCAGCTTCCAGGGTCTTTCAAGAAAAGAATAATAGCTTAAAAACCATTAAAAGTACATACGAAGATCTTATTGATGTATACATTCTTTGCTATGAAAAAATAGATGCTATAAACAGAGAAATCAATGCTTGCTACAAAGCCAATAATCCTCTTGAAATACCAATTGGCCTTGACGCTGAATACGACAGACAAATAAAAAGAATCAACGCGCTATGTGCAAAAATAGATGCTATAGAGATGGATCGAAAAATTATGAATGATATGCACCTATTAGAGCTTAGTTATGCAAAGATGCTAAAAAATATGATGCACCAGTCAATCAATGACTCCTTAAAGTACTATTTAAATGAAGTAAGGGTAGAAAGACATGCCATCCAGGTTATAGAATGTACTTTAGATATGTTTAAAAGGCTGCATGCCCGAGATCAATTGATGTGCTCGGCGCGCGAGAAAGAAATTGAGTATTTTAAAAAGGATGAGGAGAGGACCAACCGGCTAAAAAAGCTGGTTGAATTGCATAGAAAGTACATAGTGTATGTGGAGGGGGGAATTGATGTTATAGAAAAGATAACCAGCATTCAGAAAGAAATCATGCCAGAAACAATCGAAGTATATAATGCATATAATGCATATGATATAGCAAAAAGCGCGTTTGAAAGGCAAGAGATAAATGTAAACAGAGCAGAGAAGGCTCTGTGTAAAGCAGAGAACAAGCTGAGGGAATATACTTTAAGCGGATCTCAATACCGACTTGTGACCCGAGTTTAGTCTTTATCGCATATAACCCAAATAACCCGAATAACCAGCAGAGAATGCAGCAGAGAATGCAGCAGTGTCATGTCTAAGCAGCCTTATGCGCTAGGAAGCAGAGTTCCTCAGGTCTCTAGGAATCGGATAATATGGGGTGTGTGCTGGCAGTAATTTTGAGCTGTGTGTAGTAATAACTAAACCTCTTATGCTATTTTTATTTTACTTTTACTAAAACTTATTTATGGCCAAGGATTCGAACTAGCTATTTGAGTTGTGCTTGCTAAGAGGTACAGAGATGCTCTTTGTATGAGTAATACTAGAACAAGAATTCAAATGATCTATTTTATATAGAGATGGTTTAAAGCATAAATGAGAGAAATGTGTAAGAATTTAGATTATATAAGGCATAGAGTATCAAAGTGCAGGCTATCTAGCACCACACGCAGTGGAGCTATACTCATTGTGCACGTTTTATTCTGTGCTTCCATAAATATCAGGAATAACAAGAAAGAGAGAGGATTTCTAAAAGATAAATATTTTAATTTAGATAAGAGCTAAAAAATGCTATGAAGGCTGAGAGTGGTAGAGAACGCTGTAGTTCCATGTCTGAGTGGTCTGTATGTGATGAGAAGCAGTGCATATCAGGGCTTTATCTGAGAATACACTTGTGTGCAAGTAATTTCTGGCTATGTATGGGGTAATAAATAAACCCCTGATGTCATTTTCACTTTTATTAAATTTTATTCACGGGGTAAAAACTCGGGCTATTCGTGTCATATTTATAATGAAATATAAATATGCAAATTTACTGGTCAATATTATAGCAAGAATCTAAATGATTAATTTATGCGCACATATAAGAAGAGAATAGTTGAAAGCCTGGATGGAGGCAATGCATAAGAAAGATATTATCGCAAAAGTCTCTGCTGTTGGCATTATTATACTTGGACTGGCAGTATTCGGAATATATTTGGGCGTGCGCACAGATGCTCTGCAGAATGCATGGCAGGGTGGGAAAAAGAGCGCATTACCTCCTTCTTTACACAGTATGGGAAGGAAAAGGGGGAAGATAAGAAACCAGCCCGCAGTAAAAAAAGAAGCAAAGAAAGCAGATACAGTCAGCTCAGAAAGTGACAGCACATCTAAGACAAACGCAAATACCGCATGTGTAAGCACAGTAGGTGTAAGCGCAGATGATGAGGCAGCAGAGAAATTGAAAGAAAAGACTAGCAAAGGTAAACGAGAAAAAAAAATAGAGGGGACAAACACTGGTGTGCTTGGGTTGAATGGGAAAGAAATAGAAGAGAGAAAGAGTGAAAAAACAGAAGACGAACACGCGCTAGATAGACAAGAAACTAGTGATGCCACTATTTGTGGAAGTTCAGATCTGTTAGATGCACCTATGCTAGACGAAAGAAAACCCCCTCTTTCTATAGAAGAAGAGAAAAGAAAGCGAGATCTTGCTAAGCAGGCTGTGGATATAGCTGAAAAAGAATATGAAAAAGAGGTAGCCTGTCTAGAAGAGCTGGGTAGAGCCGCAGAGCTATCTCAAAGTATCTTTCAGAATAAGAATAAAGAGTTTGCGAGGGTGGAAGCAAGTTATATAGAGTCTAAGTGGGAATATGATTCGGTTTATGAAGAATTAAGTTCTATAACACAAGAGGTTAACAAGTACTGCACCTCACCTATAAATGCTCAAATAGCCCCTACCATACGCCTTGAGTGCAGCAGCGAAATAAAAAGTAGTGGCGTGCTGCTGAAAGAGATAAAAGAGCTAAGTAATATCCTAGAAACCGAAAAAGAAAAGAACAAGCCGCGTCTTAAATGCATAGAAAAAATGCAAAAAACTGTTTATAATTCAAGAGAAGACAGCGCCAGATACTATTCAAGTGTAGTAGACATGGAGAAAAATTTAATTATTATATTAGAGTACACTTTAGAGATGTATAAAAAAATATATGAGAAAGAAAAGTTGCAGCTTTTTGTGAGAGAAAAAGAGGCAGAGTATTTTAAAAAGAATAACGAAGGAAAAGAGTCAGAGGCACTAAACAAGATATTAGAAGGGCACACAAAGCATATAGAAAGTCTAGAAAGGTTTATTCGCAAGAGTAGTGATATCTGTAATCTACAGAAAGACGTTATATCTGGGGCAATAGAAAGACATGAAGCGTACATAGCATACGATGCAGCAGAAAGCAAGTATGCAGAGCAGAAAGAAGTTGTTTCTGTGAAAAGTGATGCATTGACCCGTGCAGAAGAGGTGTTGGAAAGACATAATTCTAGAATATATAGTTCTGCATCTAGCTAGGGCCTTGGGTTATTCAGATTATATTCAAGAAAATAAAGTGCAGTTGGCTCTGTTTTGCTGTGTTTTTACTTGTATGTGAAGTAAAGCTAAAATTCTTTTCTTTTTGTTTTATTTTTAATTCTACTTCTTCGTAGTTGGTATAGAGGATGGATATAACTGCAGGTTTGTTAAGTCAGAAATTTATTTAATTTTAATAAACCTATGTTAATGAAAAGCTTTTACATTTTAAGTATGTTAGGAAAATGCGATAAAATAGTTTTCTCGCTATTTTGTTGTAGATACATCGGGTTCGGGTTATATTCAAATATAAATCTTAAGACTAAAAATTTGTTTTGAAGTATAGCTTATTTCTCTCTTTATGAATCGCTACACTCAATCATACAAAAATATAGAATAAATTTATTTCCTGTCCTTTATTTATGCCCGGCCAGAATAGAGTTTTCTAGACAAAAACAGAAGCATCTGAAAGATGTCTTTCGTCATACTACCCGAAGCCTCGTTAGCTATTCGCCCTTGAATGGAGAAAGGCTAAAAGTGCAACCCATTCAAAATGAATTATATGTAAGTAAGTATATCCCCTTGTAGCGTGCTTTTCTGCAGGAAAATCTCCGGAAGTCAATGGCTAGCATCAACTTATACTGCTGACACAGGAATTAGGCTTCACGCCCTCATCAATTGAATCTCGACAAGTATGCTACCAGCCCATCATACTTTTCTATGCCTTTGCTTTCATCCTTTGAGCCTGAGCAGAAGAAACCTTTATTTGCTTTTAAAAGATTTAGACAGTTTCTAGAAAATTCCATACGGTATTCTATTCGATCTGAACACACAAATGGTTCTGGATAATTATCAAAGAGTATAGAGTCGTAAACTTTCTTAACAAATTCAGGTGAGACTCTACGAGCCATATCACATGTATGGATAAACCATGGAATATATACCTGATTTAAATTATAGTCATCCATAGATTCTTTGAGAATGGATTGGGCTTTCACCAAGTTATTTACTTCCCCATTAGACATGATATGTTCAAATATACACATTAAAGTTATGCACTCTAATCCTAAAAACCCTACATGTAAGATATTCGCAGCTGCTATAAGATAGTTGCATGCGGCTTGTAATGCAATGGGCGCTGGGAGATCTAGTAGAGCATCGCACATCTCGTATGTTCCTATTTGATTCCAAATACAATCTTCTTTTGGGATAGGCTCCAATGGCTTAAATCCAAGCCTTGGATAGTATTCTTGCCAGCTTGTGTGAAATGGGAAGTGCTTTAGCATCATATATCTTGTTCCAGGATCATTGAGAGGAACACTTCCTAAAATGTTTGCTGTAAACCGCTTCATGGAGCTAGTTGAGCTTACCTCTTTGTCTATAGTACTGTCTATAAAAATATTCATAATAGCGCTTTTAACATTGATGTCAGAAATCCTTCCGAATAAGAATATTCTAGATATACCTTTAGATTCTTCCTGTATAGTTGATTTTATGGTTTTTCTAAGATTATTTGAAAGACCTGCGCGATTATTATTTAAAGAATCGAACTCCACACTAACGTACTGATTCGCAATGTATCCTAAATAGCTGTCTACACCACTGCAAGTATTTTTTACTTCTTCATACTCTTCTTTAATTTGTGAAGAGTTATTCCCTAAAGATCGAAGAAGAACAAGATTTGCATGTCCTTTTTTTATATCTAAAGAAATTTTATCCTGCTCTTCATCAAAAGTATAAATAATGTTAATCTCAGCGAAAATATCTGCCTTTCCATTTGGTCTTGTCTCAAGTCTCATTTGTTTGCACTCTACTCTCACATTCTTATTCTTTGACAAAGCCTTAATAATTGATTCTATCTTATTCGATATGTATTCCTTTTGCTTATTATCTAATTCTCCTGTTCTGCATATATTCTCTATACATTCAACTAACTTTAGTATTTCTTTCTTCTTGCCTGTTATTTCTGCAATTGCCAGAAATATATTTTCAACCCCAGGGAAAAGTTCATTTCTACTCTGCACGTAGTCAATCTTTTCATTCTTTAAGCAAGCAACAACTTTACTCCATCGTTTGTGCATTTCAAAGTTTGTGGTTTCTGTTGGCTTAGGATAGTCTCCAAAGAAGTCTCCCAACTCATTGCTTACTCCCTCTCCCATGTGGCTAGTTTCGTACTTTCCTGTCTCTGAATTATATGCTAGGCAGCAGAACAACCCAAGCAGAGCCGTCTCTACACAGTTGCTATAGTATAAGGCTTGGTCCTTCTCAAAGCCAGACTTGTCTAGTTTACAACGCGGCACTCTAGTATACTTCGGCAGCTGATTAGCATTGCAGAAGGGAAAATTAGTATTCTCATTTATAGTTTTTATAAAGCTATAGAATTTTTCAATGTACTTTATATTTTCACTAAGTTCTTCTTTTGCAACGAAAAGCTCATCAAATATTCTGCCCTTCTTGCCCTTCTTCTTAGTCTGCTCGGGGTTCTCCTTTTCAGTTACTTGGTCAACCAGTAGTTCATGCGCTGCATTCACAAAGTCCTTGTAGTCTTCTGCTGTGTCAATGAACTCGTAGATGTATGTCTGTATAAGGAAGGCTGCATTGTTCAGAAACTTTCCACTTTCAAACTCTTCTTTTGTGGCTGGCATTGCAAACTCACCTCCTTTCTTTAGCAATGAATTGTCTTTGCACTGCATATAGAACTTAACAATTCCAGCCGCCTCACTTTGGTAGATGTTTTCACTGTGCTCATTAGTAACTGGGTCTATACCTGCAGTATGCATTTCTACATTTACAAATACTTTTTTCTTGCACGTCTTACTTTTTATGACAAGATTATTTTTCTTTCCTTTGTAGTCTACTGCTATTTTAATGTCAACGCCCTCTGAGAGCAGCAGCAGCGCAGCGAGGATGTACTTTGTGTCCTTTTTAACATGATCTGCTCTTAGGAAGTTTGTAAGTGCATTTGACCTTCCTGCCTCAATGGAGAGGTCTCCATCTGCAGACGGAAACATCTTTATCAGCAGGGTGTGATACATGCTAAGATACCTGCCTTCTGGGGTTTTTGTGTCCATGTCTTTGTGTACTCTGTCATTCACTGGCTTTCTTTTAAAGTTGTACTCTTGTTCGTTTTCATCAGATATTTCTTTCTTAGAAAGTATATAGTCTGTGTCTATTTCAGAAGAAAAAAACCGCTTGTTGTACATGTATCCATTCTGGTTTCCAAT